ACCCCAACCCCAACCCCAACCCCTCTTTTTAATTTGAAATTTTTTTATTAATTTTGATAATTTAATTTATAATTTGCTTTAAAAGGAACGAATATTTAAAAAAATAAGATATTACTTAAGTGTTTTAGTTAATTTTACAAAATATAAAAAAAATTAAAAATAAAAATAATTCAGCATTTGGTGTTTTAAAACTTAAAAAAAACATTTGATTATGGAAATTTATATAGATTTACAAACATAAAAAAATTTTAAATCATAAACCAGCTAAAAGATCATCATTACCTTCATCTTAATTTTATCCATTATTTTCTTATTGATTGGGTTGTTGAGCAAATTGGCCAAACAAATTACCTTGATCTTATGAAAATTACTGATTTTATTACACATTTTGTTATTATGGCTTTTTTTGAGGATTTTTTAGCTTCTTTTTCTTTAATAATCTTGGAATCTAAAAGAAAATTTAAACCATTTAATATTAAGTATTTTATAAAGTAATTGTTTTACATTAGAAGGATAAAGATTAGTCACTGAGGGTTTTTGAGACAAAGCAGTGAATTCCTCTTAATCTCTGTCATTGTATGCTTTAATCATCTAATTTAAAAAACAATTAAAAATTTTATTAAATAGTAAGTTTTTTTACTGCTTCACAAATTTCATATTCTCTTGCAGAGTAAAATCCAGGGATCCTATTTTAAAATATAAAATAAATATTTCGCTACTAAGAATATAATTACTATTAGCAAAGAGTATTGAATTCAGATTCTGCTCTTAAAGCTTCATCTTCCAATAAGCATAAGCAAATGATGCATAGGGCATACTATTATTTTAATTTCCATTTTAAAATGAGCTATTTAAATTAAAATTACAGATGGAGTTTAGAATCTATTTTTAGAATCTGTAGGATTTGTGAATTGTTTTTTTATCATAGATATTGCCTAAGAATATCTTTTTAATATAAAATATTTAATATTTTTTCAAAAAGAATTAACTATAAATAAATTACTTTCCTAAATCAACTAAAACTTCTAAATAATAATCAAGTATCTCTTTTTTATTATACATCTTATCTGAAGAGTCAGCATCTTCTATTCCTGATTCTAAGAATTTAATTCCCTCATCGTGTTAAGAATTTTGAATTAAGTATCTTTTTTTTTTGATTAAAACTTAATAAGAAACGCTAAGATATTTTAATTTCATTTTTATTTACTTGGCAACCTTTTATTTCAATTTTATACATTCAGTATGAGAATCAGCTCCTTTAAATAACATACTTGCCTAATAACAGGAGACATATTTAATAAAATTTAAAAGAATATCTAATATTACTTCATTTGTATATTCAATAATAGTTTTAAATTCTTTTGATTCAAGCTTTTCAATTAAAATATTCAACATAGCTTCAATATTTCTTGCAGTTCCCCAAATTCTAATTTCATTAAAAGTTTTTCAATAAGAGTATAAATGATAATATTATCTTTATTCTAAGTAATTTAATATACTCGTGTAATTTGTCGTTACAAATTTTGCATTATTCTAAAGCCTTTAATGCCTTTTCCCAGCTACCTGCCTTGGTATATAGTCTAACTATTTATTTTATCAATTAATTTAGACCACTAAAAAACGATTAACAATTTTAATGATACCAGCATCATCAAAGTAAGTAACAGCAGAATTGTAATCTTTACTCCATTTAAAAATACCTGTTTTAATCCTGTTTCAAAAATTAAAAAACAATTTTGCTTTGTTTGGTAAATTTACTAAGATAATCCTTCTTTATAAGACTAATCTGCTTCTTTTAAAGTTTTATCCATTTTTAATAGCTACTAATTTTTAGTTTATATTAATCAAAATTAAATTATTTTTTTAATTATAATACTGATTAGCATACAATCGTGACTAACAAAAATATTTAATATAAAATTTACTAAATTTTGAATTATAGTTTATATAATCCATTCTGATGAATCATTATTTGTAATTAACTAGTAATAGAAAAATTATAGATAAAGTCAAAAGAAAAAATATATTTATCAATATTAAATTAATTATTATCTTTAAATTTTAGAACTATTTATTTTTTACAATTTTAAATATTTTAAATTACTTTTACAATAAAAATATTTATTTTATGATAAACTTTGTTTTATAATAAATGAATGATTTAAATACTTTAAAAAATCATTTATTTTAATGTTTATTTGGTCATCTACTTTCTTATAATTAATCATAATTATGAAATTCAAATTAAACTTGTTTAAATGAAATAAATTTTAATATAATTTTTTATTTTACATTTGTAACTTTAGTTTTTTTAAACATTTTTTAGCTAACATTTCATTTTTTTTCTCTTAATATTTAATAAAAAACAAAAATAACAACTTTTAAAGATAAATAACTAACTCTAAATTACAATTATGTTATTAAATATATTTAAAAGATATTTAAATTTTTTTCAATTAATAATTCAGCTAAATTATATTTTATAAAAAATTAATAAAATTGTTTACTTTAAACATTAAATATAATAATATATAACATTATATAATAAAGAAACAATATGATTTATGCCTACAAATTTATTATAAATCTAATTACTTTATTTATATAAGAAAAAAATGAGTATTCTTATTTAGATATTATTTCAAGATATCTCAATAAATCAAATAATTAATTTTATTTTTAATTTTTTAGGAAAGTTGAAGTTGAGTTTGAGATTTAAACTTATTTCTGTCAAATAAATGCAATAATTTTTTAATTTATAGTTTTTTAATTTAAACAAAAACTCAATAGGAACAAAAAAATAAATTGTATAGATAATTTACAACTTAAAACTTCAAACTATGTTATTATCTTTTAGCCAAAATAAAAAAACATATTACATAAAACATAAAATAGATTAAATATGATAAAAACATTAAAACTAATAATAAGCAAAATTCTTTATTGAAAATATTATATTTTTCTTTAATTTTGATTATTAAATATATGTAGCTATCTTAACCATAAAATATGTTGTCATTTGTTTTTTTTTTTCACATCAAAAATTAAAAAATAAATTTGAAAACGGAAAATTTTAATCAGAAAGATTTTTTAACAAATTATTAAATTAAAAATTTAATCTTTTGAAATGGAGGAATTTTAATTTATTGAATAAGTAGAAGCATCAAATGAAAGTATAAAACTAAGTTTATTTAGAGAGAATTGCACTTGGGATAGAGATAGCATTTAGAAAGAAGAAAAGGCTATTTTCTCTAATGCTTAAGGCACAGAAAATTCAGATGATCTAGTTGAAATAAATTACGTTTATATTTATGATTAAGATGAAGTAATAGTTAAAAAAGTTAAATCAATATAAAAATATGATGGAATAGAGATGAATGTGTATAAAAGAGCATTTAGAAGATGGTCAACTTAACAATAATTAAAAGATATTGATATTTTCCATCAAAATTATGACTCTGTAAACAAAAAAGTAGAAATAGTAATTTTAAACAAAAAATATATTCCTTATCCTCGTGTTGAGTAGATTGAACAAACAATTAGTATTTTATAATCCTAAAAAAATGCTATTTTATATCATAAGTAAAAGAAATAATTAAATTCTTTGTTGGCATCAGGTTGCTTTATGTATGAATTTTTAAACTCTTAAATAGATTCTCTAGTGCGTAAAAAATAAAAACTGATGAACTTAGAAGATGAAATTTAAAACACAAAAAATAAGATTAAGTAACAGCAATAAGAATAAATTAATCAAAATAATTAAAATACTGGTGAATAAAAAAATGGAAATATTAAAAGCATAGAAATATAATTATAACAGTTGTTGATAAAATAATAAAATGGAGATAATATTGAATAAATTTAACAAAAGATTTTTAACTGCAATAGACAAATAAAAATTATAGATGAGTGGGTATGGAGGATAGTAGATAAGCAATCTATGAAAATGAAATACTCTGATTTAATTAGGTACCTATTAATCAGTATTTAATATGAATTTAGCAGTTTGAGTTAATATCTTTATACTCAGCTTAGAGAGTATATTTTGAGATACTAAGATGTTATTAATTATGAAAATAAAAATAAATTTCTGCTCAATATAATTAGAAATAGCACAAGCGAGTATATTCATGCAACACCTAAAAGTGAGGTTATTACCCTGAATTGTATTTCTCCTTATGATTTGGATAAAGTTGAATAAATCTAAGTTGATACTGTTTTTTTTAAAAAAGATTTTAATTTATTTTATGCTCCTCATCAAAAGCTAACATAATAAATTTAAAAATACTAATATTTTAATGTCGAAAGAACTAGAACTGAACGAGCTTTTGACATAGATTTTTCAGAAAATGATTATCCCCATATTTATCATCTTAAATCTTTGCATAATAACGAGTAAATTCTTATTGGTATATAACAAAATGAGCACTCTTAAATTGAATTATACATTGAGCCTTTATACAGTTAATATGTTGATATTTCTAAATATTAAAAATATTAATTTAATTATGTTGGCTATATTGATAGAAATTATTGGGGTACAGAATTTGTACTATATAACTAAGGTTACTAATCAAAAAGTAGTACTTAAGAAAAAGAAATGATTTTAAATAACCAAAGAGACTTATCTTATCAACTACTAAGATATTTCTTAAAAGTTGAATACTACTAAGATAAATTCTACTCTATTAAAATCAACTATGAAACAAATATTATGGCTGAATAGCCCCGTAAGTTTACTGCTCAAGCTTTTAATTATAAAGAAAATAAATTTATTGATTTAAAGTCGCTAGAGCCTATTTATAATTAAGAAACATAAACATATTAACTAAATTTTTACGGTAGAGCCAAAAAAGCTTCTGCACGCAACTTCTAAGTGTAAGATATAAACGATGAAGATTAAATATTTTTGTTACATGGCAAGAACAGTAAAAATTCATTTTCTGTAGATTTTAGCTATCCCTTAAATATAATTTAAGCATTCACATTTTCAATAGTTAGTATATCTAAAAAGTATCTAGTCTAATGATTAAATTTTATTATTATTTTTCATTCTATTTCTTCAAATAAATAAGAAAAGCTCTGCATGATGAATAGTCAGTAAATAAATTATGCTATTAATTCTTTCTGATATTTTATCATTTTTTTTATACTCTAATTTCGTAAAATATGTTTTCATATATTTCAATGTCCAATTTATATAATTCGCATTTTCAATAGTTATTATATCTAAAAAAATCTAGCCTATGACTAATGCTAATCTTAATTTTTTAATTTTATTGTATTTCTTCAAAAATGTGAAAATAACTTTGCATTTATAACATCTTAAATATTCAGCAAATAAATGATACTTTTCTAATAAAATAAATATTTATTCAGTATTTTTCATATTATTAATATATATTTAAAAAGATATTTTATTGCTTTCTTTTACATTCTAAGAATAGTAAAAATTCGATTTCTTTTGATTATAGCAACCCTTAATATATATTTCGAATTTTCAATAGTTAGCACAACTAAAAATTATTTATCCAATGACTAAATGCTATTTTAATTTTTTTTATTTTAAATTGTATTTCTTCAAAGAAATGAAAATAGCTTTGCATTTATAATTTAATAAATATTAAGCAAAAAAAAAAATTGTAGTTTTTTAATCCAAATAAATAAATATTCAGTATCATTAATTTATATTAATTTTGATATTATATTACTTTTAATTAAAAAATAGATCTTAAACATTTAATTTTTTTTATCTTATTTACCATAGTATACTTAGGCTAAAAGTAAATTTTATTTATTTACGTAATTAAATGCACAGATAATATAGATAAAAAATATCAATCGGTAAAAAAGAAAAAAATTATCGCTAATTATGACATAATATTTAGAAGTTCAAAAACAAAAAAATAGGGATTTATAATTAATACCTTAATATATTTTTAGAAAATATCTATATACATCACTAAATAAATAAACTATTGTTTGTTTAAAATTTTGTTACATTATAACTATTAATTATCAAATATTTTATCTTCTTTTTATTATTTTATCAACATAGATAATTATTATTTTTAAGCCAAAAAACCTTTTAATAACCAGTTCATAACTCTTCACTAAGTCCTCTATTTTTCTTATCAATGTTATAAAAATATATTGAGTCTTAATTCAAACTATCATTATTATTAGCAGAACTGCTATCTGTAGTTGACCTATCTGCATTATTTGAGATATTTTATGGTTATTCAGCTTTAGCTGAGCTGGTATTTACTGGAATTTATAAATCAGATTTTTATTACTATTTTATCCTTCTTTTCACACAAAGACGCCTCAATAAACAAAAAAGAATTAAAGCAATAATGCCACCTATAACAGAGATAAAAATAATAATATAGTTTAGTGATTAATTAGAATATGAAGCACATTCATCAGAATTCCCACAGTGGTGATTAAAATCCTCCTTAATACAACAAGAATTGCATACCAGATTTTTGCAATTAGATGATAAATATGTTGCGCATTAAGTTTCTTCAAGGGCACACTACTAATGCATATCTAAGCAAGCATATTTACAGTTCTAATAAGTAGATTATACTAGTTATTACAGAATAAAAATTAGTAGAAGCCTGAAGTAGTAATTCATTTAAGAATTATAAGCAAAGTATTGGTTATGAGTTGTTTGTTTTCCTATAGTTTTTATCTTTTATAATAATTGTAATTAATTTTATTCTTTAAAGATTTTTAATTGGATACTTAGCAATATAACAAAATTAAAAATCCAATAATCGATTTTGCTTACAAAATTAATCTACAAACAAGAATAAGTAAATTTATTGATTTATTAACAATCAAAAATAAATAAATTTGTATATAAATTAATTATCAAAATATTATTTAGCTAGTTTATTAAGAAATGGATTTCAAAACAAATTTTATTTTATTTAATAAGTAATAATTGATAGAATTATAAAAGAATTAATCAAACATGAATAAAATCTAAAAAAATATTTATATATTTTAAATATTCAAATTAATAAAATTAATTTTTATTAAAATTTTAATCTATCTTCTTATTAAGTAAAAGTTTAAAGAAATTCTAAAATTTTAATTTATCTTTTGATAATAATTAATTTTTTAAACTCTTAATGAATTACTAATTAAAAGCTCATAATAAAACTAACTTTTAGACTAAAGACTTTATAGTTTACACTAAAATATTCATAGATAAATTTAAAAGATGATTAATTTTTAAATTCATAGAGAAAAAATTAGAATTGAATTATTAAAACATATAAATTTAAAAAATTTTATCTTGAAAAATAGAAATTAAAGAAGATGATAACAGCTAGGTTATTCTAATTTAAATAATCTTTTACTCAAATAATAAAAACCTGAAAATTTGATGTATATGTATGTTATCTTATTTTTAATGTCTCTATCCAACAATCTAATAAATAGATAAATCTTTGAATGAAGATGACGAGATTTAGATAAGAATGTATGAAACCTCCAAAATATTTTTTTATTTGAAGATATAAAAATAATGATACTTTAATAAAATACAGCAATTATATATTTGATAAAGGAGACAATATAATGCCTAAAGATTCATATAATATTAAATAAAATCCCTCTGAAATACTTCTAAAAAAATTTGATTCCATAACTTTGAATGTGATAATAATATGTATTAAAATTTCTTATTTTCACCTAAATAGTAAATTCAAACAAAAAAAGCTACAGATTTTTTAATGTATAAAAAAAATCTTTGAATAATGTGAAAACATTTTTTTATGAGATTATGCTGTGCAATTGTTTTGAAGAATTTAAACACTTAAAAATATAATAAAGAAAAACTCGTTTTGATTTATTTTATTTGAAATTTTAAAATATTTTAAAAAAATTTCAATCAAATCCTTCTAAATACTTTTAAAAAATAGTATGTCCTTCTTAAAATCTTATAAGGAGTGTCTTCACTGAGATTATGCTATTTTTTATAAGCATTTATTTTTTCTAATATTTAGTTTTAAGCTTTGATTGTTGGATCTTCAAATGATGGATTGTTAGAATTTTTTTCTACTAAAGTATTATAAGCACTACTAGTTTTCATATATCTAACTAAATCATCTAATTAAAAAATATCTTTTTCAACGAAACTATCTTCAGATATCTATTCAAAGTATTTGTTAAATGGGTAGTACTTATAATTAGTGTATAAATTGTCTCTATCGAAATCGTAATAATCATTAATTTAGTTATAGTATGACTCATGAATTTATTTTCCACTCAGCAACTCATCATTAATATCTATATCGAATCCATCCCAGTAATATGCAGCTGTTGCAAATCTACTATTCTAATTCTATTTTAAAATTTTACTTTGTGTTAGATGTAAAAATTTTTCAACTTCAAACCAATGAAGAGCTTATCCTACAGTAACTAAATCATAGCTTAGAGGTAAAGAATTTTTTTCAAGACTAGATATTATATTATTTGCATCACATTATATTACCTTAACATTACTGTATTCTTAATTATTTGCAATTTTTTCATTAGCTACAGATACTTATTTTTCTGATATATCAGTCCCTACAGCAAATTTAAAATGAGAATTCAGCTTAAAAAGCATTTATCCGGTACCACATCCTACATCCAAGTAATTTTCTTTACTATTTAGATTTTGGAGTATTAACTCAAAAAATTTACTAGGGTATTTTGGGCGGTATTTATCATAGTTCTACCCTTAATTTTCTCTACCAAATAAATCAGTTTTTTACATATTCTGAATAATAGTAGTTTTTTTAATTTAAATAAAACTAAATTATAAGTAAGTTATTGAGTATTTAAATAGCAGACAAATATTTTATAGAAAGTTCATCCAAATCATTATCTATTTTAAAATGAGGTAACATCTTTTAATATATTAATTGACAAGAAATACTTTATAGAATGTTCTTCCAATTTATTTATCTATTTTAAAATGAGGTTACATCTTTTAATGCTATAATAGACCAGAAATACCAAAAATTAAGTATATTTATGTGTAATTCCTTTTTATTATTTAATTAATAAATTGGAAACCCTACAATCAAATAGACCATAAAAATACATATATGTTTAAGATTGATTTTATTTTTTACATTATTTTAAAAATTAAAACATATTTTATTGGATAAAAGTGAGTTGCTTTATAAAATACGAGTTATATATGCCTTAGTTAAATTATTTTTGTGTGTTTTAAGAAATGATATATTATTTAATTCAGATTTTTTTATAATAACTTAGATAGAAAATAAATCGATCATAATTTTTATTAAATACAAGAATTCTTCAACAAAATAAAAATAATAAAACTGATTTTTTAAAAAATAGTTTTTTTTGAACTATTTTTTCTTCAACCAAGAAATTAAAATAGTTATAAGTATAAAGTCTAATATCTATTTAAAAAAATTTTATATTCTCTATATAATACAAGTGCAACCATTTCAAAGTGCTTAGGATATTTTTATAAGCAAATTGATTATTATTTTAGATATTAATTTCAACTTAAATATTTTTTTAAATATAAGAATTTAAAAAATTGTTTTTATATTTCAAATTCAAAGAAATCTATTGAGAAAATAGATAAATAATTTAAGGGATAGATTGTTTCTTTAGATTGTTTTAAAATTGATTACAATTTACATTAAAAAACATATAATTGAAGATCTAATTTCTTAAACCTTTTTCACTTTAAATTTGAATATATTTAGTTGATTACACATAATAAACAAAACTGAATTTAATAAGAATAGCAAGGCAGCAGATTGCAGAAAAAAATATTTGGATAAATTATGCTACTTGTTTTACTTATTAATTAAATCAATCAGTTTTGATATGATGGTTATGTTGAGCTTCCATACGTCTCTTAAGATCAGCTTGAGTTCTTAATCTTGCAATGAACTTAAGAATTTCGTCAAGTATTACGACAGGGAATGCGCATGCAAGAACCAATAACCAGTCGTTAGTTGTAAGTGGAACAGTGTTGAAAATATTTTCGAAGAAATCAACATAGAGAATCATGCAGTGGAGTAACATTGAACCAATAATGGCAAGAACTAAGTAAGGGTTACAGAAGATACCAATAGAGAGCAAAGAACCTTCATCAGAAAGAGCATTAAGAGCATTAAACATTTCAATAACTACCAATGTAGTGAGAGAAAGGGTGCTGGGTTTTTATTTACCCCATGTGAAGAAATTGCAAGGGTGCTTTGAGAAGTCGTACTTTCCGAAGCTGGCAACTGAGAAATCTTTCCATTAGGCACATTCACCCCAGTTTCTTAAATGCTTGAAGTCAATAAGAGGATGACCATCATCAGCCCACTAATTTATTAAAATAAAAAGTTATTTTTCATTCATACATTTGAAATTTCTATTGTATTCTTTTCTTTTCTTGGACATTAAAAATTTTGCAACACAAAAAGAAATAATTGAAAATATTATTAATATGTTAATTACATTGTATCCAGTGTAGTAATAGACGAAGATGAAGACAGTAGAAACACCAACATAGGTACCAATGATAAGATATCTGAAGAAAACGAAACCAGAAATGAGAGGTTCATCGTGTCTTCTGGGAGGCTTTAACATACAGTCAGGATCAGCAGGATTAAAGCTATAATTTAAAAAAGTATTATTAAATAAAATGTTTGTAAATTTTAAGTAGTTACGAAAGAGCAGTAGCAGGAAGACCATCAGTGACAAGATTAACCCAAAGTAATTAAACAGAGTTGAAACCATCGGGAATACCAAGAAGAGAAGAAAGGAAAATTGAAACAACTTCACCAATATTAGAGGAAATCATGTAACGGATGAAAGCTTTCATGTTAGCATAAATGGCTCTACCTTCTTCGACAGCAGCAACGATTGTAGAGAAGTTATCATCAGATAAAATCATATCGGATGATTCCTTAGCAACTTCAGTACCAGAAATACCCATAGCAATACCAATATTAGCTTACTTGATAGCGGGAGCATCATTAACACCATCACCAGTCATAGCAACAATTTGGTTTTATCCACTGAGAATCTTAACGAGAGCTCTCTTGTGTCTGGGATCAGTTCTGGAGAAAACGAAACCAGAAGGAGCGTCAATAACTTATTAGAGGTATTCAAGTTACTTTTCTTCACTGAGATTTTCGAAAGTGTGACCAGTAAGAGATCTAAATTCTTCATCACCAGCTTAGATGATACCAATATCACGGGCAATTGATTCAGCAGTTTCTTTGATATCACCAGTAATCATGATAACAGAGATACCAGCTTGTTTACACTTTTAAATAGAGGCAGCAACTTCAGGTCTAGGGGGATCTCTGACAGCAACAACACCAATGATAATAGGATCTTCTTCGATTTTAGCATAGTTATTAGAATCTTCTAATTGCTTGTGAGCAGGGTGAGAAGGACCAGTGTAGTCAACCAAAGCACCAGTGTCATACTTAACGCAAATGGCAAGAGTTCTTAAGCCAGCCTTAGCATATTCCTTAATTTAATTTTCAAAGGCAGTCTTAGTAGCAGCAGTGAAATCAACGACTTCTCCATCCTTGTTCATAATCTTTTTAGAGGCCTTAAGGAGATAATCGGGGGCACCCTTAATGAAAAGAACGTTTTTGTTTGATGACTTGCATTTGAGGAGAACTGACATAGATTTTCTGTCACGAGAGAATTCAAGAGTAGCTCTCTTTTCATAGTCTTAAGCAAGATATGAACCGTATTGTTCAACGTGACCGGTGCTAATGGGAACATACTTATTTTTGAAATCAGGATCGTACTTACCAATCTTTTCAGAAAGAACTTTAATAGCAGCTTCAGTTGGGAGACCAGATCTGTTAACTCTATTCTTGTCAAAGATAAGCTTAGATTCATTATTTAAGACCATAGATGTGGCAAAGGTCTTGATATTTTTAGCGAGTTGAGAACCGTTGAAGTTTTAGAAGTTAACAATTTCACCTTCAGGACTGTAAGAGTGACCCTTAACTTCGAAGGCAGCTAATTAAGAACCATCCTTGTTACCAGCAACAAAGAACTTTTCAACACTCATTTCATTGGTGGTTAAAGTGCCAGTCTTATCTGAGCAAATGATAGTGGTGCAACCTAAAGTTTCGACAGAGGGAAGCTTTCTGATGATAGCCTTCTTCTTAGCCATTCTTCTAGTACCTAAAGCCAAACATGTAGTAATAACAGCAGGTAAACCTTCAGGAATGGCAGCAACAGCCAAAGCAACAGCAACCTTGAAGTAGTACATAGCACCCTTAATCCAGTGGCCGAATACTTCATCTCCGAAGTTAGGGATGTTCATAGCCCAGCAAATGACACAGCTATTTAATTAATTTAAAAATCATGTTTAGATAAAGCGATTAAAAAACAATATTCTATTTATGTTTATATTTAAATATATCTTGGATTAATTATTTAGGTTCTTATTATTCAGTATTTATTAGGTTTTCTTTTGATATTGCTTAAAAATTTTAATATCTTCTTTGATAGAGGATGATGTAAAGAAAGATAGATAAATTATATATTATTAAATTGCAATGATTGGAAATTAATCATTTATTATTATTGATTGATTGATTAAATAATTAAATAAATAAATAATTGGGGAAATTAAATTATTTATTTAATTAATTATTTGATTAATCAATCAATTTCCTTTGCTATCACCACACTTGTTAAATTTTGCTATGCTTAATTTTTAACTCTAGGTAAATTTTGATAAGAAACCTTATATTTGTAATATATTTAAATCTCTTAATGTAATTTTCATTCTTTAATTAAATTATCCTTTTTTATAGTCATAAAATTCATATTTAAAGTAAAGCTAATTTACATGTAAGAGATGTATTTGGCAAGTTAGTCACCGAATTCGTTGATTTTCTTCTTAAGGGGAGAGTCATCATCTTTAGTTTCCTTGTCAGCATCTTAAACTTCCTTTTAGATTTTACCGATTTCAGTGTTCATACCAGTTTAAACAACAACTGCAATAGCAGTACCATTGTTGATTAAAGTACCAGAAAAGAGGTAATTGATTTTGTCCAAGACACCAGCTTCAGTCTTAGAGATAGGAGAAATAGCTAGAATTAAATAAGATAAAGTTAAACATCATAAAAACAAAAGAAAGAGTCTTAATAAATGATAAAAAGTAAAGTCTTTTTAAATAAAAAATGTTTATTTGTTTAATATTTAAAAATCAATTTGCTTGACTTTTATTTTTTTGAAATAAATTTTCTTTCTGTTTTTAAAAGCAATTAATTAAATAATTGGCAATTTTTTAAATCACTTTAAAGAGAATAAATAGAGGAAATGAGTGTAAATTATAATCTTTAATTACTTTTGTTAACTGGATCGGATTCACCTGTCAAAATAGATTAATCAGCCTTCAAGGTAATAGTCTTTAATTCGACCATTCTTAAATCTGCAGGGACTTTATCTCCTTGAGTAACCTTTTGAAATAAAATTAAGTTTTTTAAAATATTATAAATTAATATTTCTATTGAGCTATCAATCAATATCAGTTTTTTTAATTGATACATTATAATTTAAATTAAATCCTCCTCTACTTTAAATTTTTTGCTTATCTATCAACCAACAAAACTCAATACTCAAACAAAAGATTTTAGAATGAATAGCTCAATTAAAATAACTATTAAAATAAGTAATTCTTACTTCGACAATATCACCAGGGACAAGGTTTCTAGCTTCGATCTAGACCCACTTTCCGTCTCTCAAGACTAAGGCATGAGGTGATTATAACTCCTTTAAAGCAGAAATAGCTTTTTCAGCATCAAGATCTTACCAAATACCAACAAAGGCATTGCAGATAAGAATAGTGAAAATGACTGCAGGTTCAACCCAAGCAGGAACAGCATGATCTTCATGACTATCCTCTATTATATTAAATGAATTTAGATTAGTATAATGAGTTTAAATTCACTAAATTCAAAATGTATTTCAATGAGGCAAACTATTTTCTTTTAAAAATAGTTTGGAGATGATGTATAGGTTTGGCCTTAAAGAGCCATCCATGAGATCTTCTTTCGAGAAGAACTCATCCTTAAAGAGAAGAAATGTCATAAGAAAAAATTAATACCGAATTATGAAATGACGAAGGAAATCAAGGCAGCAAGCAATAATATTCTGACGAGGATGTCTTCGAATTATTCCTTGATCTTTTCCCAGATTGACTCACCTTCTTCCTTTTCAAGTTCATTATGACCATACTTGGAAAGAAGAGCAGCTGCTTTGGTTGAATTGAGACCTTACTCACTGTTTGTCTCTAAAGCCTCCAAAGTATCTTTAACAGTTTTGTTATAGAATGGAATACTTTAAGCCATTTTTTGTAAATCGCTTTTTTTACTTATTATTACTAAATAAAGATTTATTATTTATTTTATTTATTATAAATTTTTAATTAATTTTTTCTTTTTGAATCCCAAAATTTTCTTTATTTTTCAATCTAAATTTCTATCGAACAAACCAAAGGCGCATGTATATTTTTTTAATCATTTATGCTACAAATCACAAGATATATGGTTTCAGTTAATCCTATTAGCTTTTATCTCAATTTTTTAGATACTAACTATATACAATGTAAATTTCTGTGAAGGAAACTCATCATTAAATATACTTTTTTATCATTTGTTTGTTGTAAAAAAATTTTTTCTTTTGATATATAGAGTCTCACTCTTTCAAAACAAGTTCGATTTAGTAAATATTAGAACACCTTAAGCAGTACGCTTTTAAGCTTTAATTTTCCAAAACAAATAAATCTAATTGAATTCTTTTTTTATATAAAGAGTTAACTCTTTATGTGCTTGCCTTAAAGCTTAGGATAATAGATTTAAGAATGCTTTATACTAAACTTAGCATATTATCTAATAAAAATATCCTTGAAGATATTTATCTATATTTTTACCTTGAGATTAAAATAATGCTTTCATAAAATAGTCTAAACCACTACTGAAACAAATTACTCAATTTAAGGCAAAATAAAAATATATTTAAATAAAAGATATTCATATTTATCTGAAAACTGAATTACTCGTAACTATAGAAAAAATATATTAATTAATTATTCAGTATAAGTAGGTTTATAAAAAGAGTTATTTGAAGCTACTTTGTCTAAAAATTTGTTGTCTCATCAATTTTTACTTATTTTATTTAACTTCGTAGTGATTTTGCTTGTAAAAATTATATTATCTAGCTGATTAATTCTGATACTATCTTGCAACTAAATTTTACATATATTATTTGCTTCAATAACAGGATCGCTGTACTATTTTTAAATTTTTTTATTTAATGAAATCCAATGAAAGATAGAAGGAATAATTAAAAAAAAACAAAAAAACTCCTTATATAATTTTGCTGTTTTAAAAGAAAGTTCGATTTAAAATTTTTATCTCCCTTCCATTAGCTTATAAATAAAAATATAACTCAGAATAATTATAATCTTTCTATTGATAATTAAAAAGTAATCAATTTTTTTAAGTTCTTTTTGAGATCTGTGATGATTTTTACATTTAATTAATTTTTTATGCACAATGTAAAGAGAAAAATCATCTATTACTGCCAAATTAATTCTAAGCTAATTTTCCAATATATAATCTTCTATTTTTTTAGGCGCAAAAATTATTGAGAGTTAATTTCCTCGATTTATTCTTATTTGAAATGGTTATTTCAATCAAAGAAAATGTGTAAAAAAGTAAAATATTGTACAAAATATAACTTTGTTTGTGCTCTTGTTAGCTTATTTTTATTTAGGATAATGTAAAAATAGAAGTAAAATAAAAGTTAATTAGAGATGGATAGATCAGCGCATTTAAATTAAATATTGTTTTTAATTGAAAGAATTCCACTTTTATCACTCACCTTTGATATTAAATGATATCGCGCTAAATTATTACAAAAGCGAAAAAAAAATCAATTGCAGAATTTTAATTAAGTTGACATTCTTCTTCTAAATAAAATACAAACATTTTGTTACGATTGATTGAATAATAATAAAAGGCATTTTTAGGATTTTAATTTTTGGAAAGATATTTAATAACTCTTAAACTTCAAAATACTCATATTTCTCTAAGATTAATAAGAATAAAGCTAAGCGATTTTTCCAATAACCATGCAATTCTTAAATGATAATATAAGGCTTATTTTAATTTACATCAAAAAATAACACGTAAGTTAATTTTGTGCGTTCTATAAAAAATAAAAAAATAAAATTTGTTCTAAACATTTATCATCAATCCTAATAACCAGCAAGCAAATGGTTTAAAAATATCTATCTGTCATTAAAAGTAAACAAAGTATCTTTAACCATAATATAATAAAAAAGAATAAAATATTAAACTATTGTAAATCAATTAAATTAATAATAATAAATTATAAAGTGTCAAAACTAAACCAAATATGATTCGAATTGGGTTTGACAAAGTTTTCGATTTTATTTAATAGAGCAAAAGAAGATTTAGATGTAAAAGCAAAATTTATGGATTCTATGATATTCTTTATTTCTTAAATAAATCAAACAATATTTGTATTTGTTAAAGAAAAATATCCTCGAAATCTAAAGCTAATTTTTTATTAGGTAAAATTTTGCAATCAATAAATAATAAATAGATAATTGATTTTTGAAATGTAAAAAATAATCATTTGAATAAAATTTAATTATATTATTCATATAATTTTGATAAGGTACTAATTAACTTAGTTTATGGTAAAATAAATGTTGATTATGTATGTTATACTGAGAGAAGTAAATTAATAAAAATTTTATTACCAGATCAAGAAATTTAATTTACAAATCGTTATTGGTCTTTTGTATCTTTAGCTTAATTACACTGATTTTTGTAATATAAACTGTGATTTTATTTTGCAAAATTAATTCTTAGAAAAATGTGTCTATCCTCTTCCCAACCAAAGAGATAAGTAATTCGAAATTTACTCTGAAACCTGTTAAAAATAAATTAATTGATAAATTGTAAAAATATATAGTGTTTTCACTCATTTATTTGCTCAGACGTAAATCGATCGATACTTATTTTTCTAATGTAAACTGAACAAATATCAAAAAAAGTAAAAATAGAAGTGTAAAAATAAATATTTTTCCAAGTCTAAATAAATCACAACCAACACTCCATAAAATAATATTCAAAATATATTGTAGATATTGATAAAAACTATACTGATATTAAAGTTAAGTTATTCTAATTTTTGTAAACAACTTAAAATTCCAAATTTTTTTGGAATTCTTATTATCAATTTGTAAATGGAAGTAACAATGTCTCTATTTGTTTTTGATACTTAAAGTATGTAATATCTTAACGTAAGGTTATTTTTAGATATACTGAATTTAATTTACACACTAAGTTTGATTACATTAGCTTTTAATAAATTTGCACAATACGTATTGATGTATTTGTGATGATTATTTAATTATGAATAAAAAATTTTAATAAAAATCGATAAATTAAATGTGCACTCAACGAAACAAAGGATGACGCAATATTATTAGTTATTAGCATCAAATAAGCAATAAATATATGTATATATATTTAAGTATACTAAAAATTCTTAAGGTATTATTGATTTATCAATTCATTTTTGAAAAAATCTAATTTTTTATTTTTAGGGATATTTTATTTAAGATTTAAATTTATTTATTTATTTTTGACACCTATTAATCAGTCTTCGTATTCATCGCTGTCATCAACTTTAACAAAGAAACTCTTTTCTATTTTTGGATACTATGCCTTAAACGAGGAGTCGCACACAGTATCAAGAAGCCTTAATATTAAACCTTCAAGTTTATAGGCTAGCGATTACTGCTGTCTCTTCTCCCATGTCCATTCATAATCAGCCTATTTTTATTTTAAGAGTTGATATAACTATTGATTAAAACGTATCTTACTGGATATATTCCTGGGCCTACTGTTAAGCAAGCTTCTTATGCTATCCTGGTAAGGGCTTCATAAAATTCAACTTGACTCATTTAGAAAATTCTATCACTTTATAACTCATCTATTTAGGTCATCATGGAAAAATTAAATGCCATGTTAGCTACTGAAGAGCCAAAATGCTCGTCTTCAAGTAATCCAGCAACTGTGACAATTTTATTTAATTCTTCGAGACCTATTTATTTTAAATTTAATCAGTTTTTTTTTATTTTAAACCTATTTACACATAAAAGGAGGTTGTCCAGGTTTAACTTTTAATTTTGCAAACTTTTTGTAAATGTGGTCTATTATTTTCTTATAATTCTTTAAGCAAAGGTCTATATCTTCTATCCAATACTACTCTACCCTCCATTTATGTTGATTATATTTTTCAACGAATACAGACTCTAAGTGTTCATCCCATAGCAATTTTGTAGCTTCGTAGAATGTATTAACTTTACCATATTTCAATATGTATTTTTCTTCTGCAATTCTGACTAATGCTTCCATCAGCTAGTGTCTATTTATACCTATGAACAAAAATGAATAAAATCATAAATTTTTTAAAAAATTAAATGTAAAAATACCTCTTTCTGGGTTTCTAAAGTTAGATTTATCTCCACCAGATATCGTAGCTGTCCATTTAAGATTAATATCTGCATCTTTTACTTTTTAGTCTAAAATGTTGATTATAGAAATAAGTTCCAACCAGGGTCCATTTTGAATGCACCAAATATCTTAAATAGGAGCTAAACTTGCAAAATGCTTATAAGTTTCTTTAATGTGCTTATATTTTGATCTGAGAAATTCCTTCAATTAATCCTGATCTTCTTATTTCTTTACTTTCTGTTGAATTTTACAATTGTCCCTATTTTTTAATTAGGATAATAAATTAAAAGTATTATTATAATAATATATTCTATACCAATCATATTCGAAACATTTTTTAATAATTTCATCGTCATCAGGACGCCATTTTGCAAACAAAGATATAGGGAAGGTCCATTTTACTCTTTTCTTTTTTGTTTTAGCAGGAATATAGGTAGGGTCAGGAGTTCTTGGCAGGATAGAAATAGTGGGATTATAATTTTCATCTAAGACATTTTCATTTTTTTTGATATCAATTTTGTTAAGTTATTCTAGATCGGCATCTACTAGTTTTCCATCATATTACATGATACTAGTTACTTATTTACCTTCTGGATTCAAAGCTAACTTTTAAGGGTCTTATTTATCGATACATACAGTTTCATCTAAAGTATAGAAATAGAATAAATGCCCAGGTGGATACATTCTCTTATATTCAATAGTACTACTTGTTGGCTTACCAGTATAATTAGACCTATAGTTTTCAAAGTTAAAATGAATGAAGAGGGGATCAGGTACTCCTTCGCCAGATTTATCTATTTATTATTTTAGTATTAATAATAATAACCTTTTATCATAAAAAAATACCTTATTCCCAAGTAATGGTTTGCTCATTCCAGCCTTCACATATCCAGCAACAGTCTTAGAGATCAATATCTCTGTTATTTCTTAAAATGAATTAGCCCAGAGCCTTATTTCCTAAAAAGATTATTTTTAATTTAAAATATAAGAGTTAAAATGAATATAATTTACCATTAATTCTTTTTTTAACGTGAATACCAGTCAAATTTTATTCTTAACTTTCATTTACTACTAAGAAACCTCTTGAATCAATATATCCAGCATTCCCAGAATAATGAAAACCATAAATAGTTTTATTTTTAACTAATGCTTCAGATATTTTTAAGGAGCTCTCCACATTGAAATAGTTATTAGAAATATCTAAGTGACGCATTTCAACATTTTTAATTAAAAAGTTACACACCTCATCTACACACTAACCTCCAGAACCCATTGAGTTACAGCTCATATCTAATACTTTTAGACTTTCATTATCTGTTAATGATGTAAAAATAAAAGCTCCTCCAGGAGCTTTAATCTGATTCCAATGTAAATATAGTTCTTTTAGATAATAATCAGTATCTAAAAGAGATCCTAGTTTTTCAGCACTTTTATCAGTAAGGTAATTTTTAGATAGATTCAAAATTATTAATGTTTTATTGTTGCCTAAAGAGTTTAATATTAGAGAAACTGCTGCATCTCCTAATTTATTTCCTTCTAAATTCAAAATCTCTATTCTTTATAGAATAAAATATATTATTAACAAATAACCTCTAAAATTATTTAATACTTTGAATCTCTATCATATAATGCTCTTGAAATATGCTCACATCCAATCCTACCAATCTGATTTTCAGCTAGCTCCAGTACTCGAGCCTTCTTAGAAATTGTTTTAAGTAAATCGTCAGCACCTTTATTAGTTATCCTATTTCCACTCATATAAAAATTTTAAATATGGGGAACTCTTCTCATACCTTCACTTAATACTTCTGCATAAGAATCTCCATATTTCATATTTCTATTGGGAAATAATTTATTAAATATGTAAAATATACTCAAATAAAAATTTAATTTTACTTTATAACTAAATCTTCTTCGCTTCCTTTTGGTTTAATTAGTCCTATCTTACAAGGAGTAACCATTTTTTTTTATGATGCGGTCAAAATACTAGTGAATGTAGAGTCTAATTTAAAAAATAAATAAGTTAATAATATTTTTTTGAATTAATTGTAAAAGCTGAGTGAATTATAGAAAAATATTTGATAAAAATAAAATTGAAGTAAAATTAGTTTTAATATTTTGATGATTTTATTGTATTAATAATTTTAAAAGGAGATATTCAAAGAATGGCTCAAATTTGGTTGGTTTTTTTAAATATTTATTATAGAGGAAGAATTTATTGGAATTTTAATTTTTCTGTATTACAATCATATAATTAATGCAATATTTGTTGCAAAATAATTAGAGTAAATTGAGATGAATTTTAACTAATCTACTATCATGATAAATTTTACCTTAAATTTCGAAGAATTTATTTTATTATTACACTTTATCTAACTTTTTGTAATGCTTGTAGTAATTATCTGCAGCTTCATCTCCAATGATCACCTTTTAGTTGTTATCTTCTGCTGGATTTTCAAATGATTCATCTATTTTTTTCCATATTCCTTATTCATGTTACTCATCTTCTAATTTTTCGATTTCTTATGCTAAGTGCTTTTCCATTTCTTTATCGTTAAAAAAAACTGATTATTTGAAAGCAGATGATTCTTTGCCCCATAGAGAAATTTGCTACTTGAACGCACTCTTTGATGAGAGCTAAGGGCTTATACTTTGCATCAAATGCTTAGTGCTTTTAGCTGAATTACTAGTATACCTTAACTCTCTCCTTACTTCTAATAACTTAAATTTGTTATCCCATTTGTCTTTTTTGACACAGCTATAGCTTCTCATTTAACTAAAATCATGGTGAAGCATACTATTAGCAACTGTACTCTCTTGACTTCTAACAGATTAGTTTCCTGAAATCATAAAATTAATTCTTTCTGCAGGTGAATTCAGTGCAGATTAACTTTATTAAATTTTTGGTAAGTTAATACTACTAACTGATGTTTATGAGCTGTGCATTTTCAGTCAGATTATTTTTGATTCAAAGTTTAATTATGATATAAACTATTCTATAAATCTATATGATGTTCTACAAAGATGATAGAACAATAATATTAGTTTAAATAATTAGCGAAGCCCTAAATAAATAGATTATTTTTTTGCAATCTAATGCTATTTTTTGGGTTATATTATAAGTTAGAAAGTGTATTTAAAATAATTAATTCTATTAGATTATTGTTCAAATTAATGTAATTTAGAAATATGTTTTTATGAAGAGAAGATTATATTAAAAATAATCAAATAAACTTTACTTTTTAGGAATCAGTAAAATTTCTAATGCATCTAATTGTTTTATCAACTTACACTTTAAAATTATTTTTTATTTTTGTTTAAATATCAAAAAATTTTATTTCAGAAATTTTTCTGATAGTTATTTTAACTATTAAAATATTTTCAATTTTGATACATTTTATTTTTGCTATTAAAAACTACTTTTCTTAATTTTAAATTTTTGCATATTGGACTTTTATTGCCTAAATTTTTACCTATCAAAAACTTTTTATATTAATTAAGTGTATATATATTATATCAACATACAAATCATAGTAAGCTTTTATGATGAAATTTCTCTAAAAAAGTAATAATATTTTTTTAATTTATCAATTAAACTCACTGGCTATTGCTAGAATTCTAAAAATTTTAAATTTATTAAAATTAATATTGGCTTTTAACATAATTCTAAAAAAAACCTCACCAGTTATGTCTAATTCTTTTGTATAATAATGAATAATTAATATGAAATAAAATAAAAACCCATTAACAAAAAGTATACCTTTTATGGTAAGTTCTCAATTAATTTTGAAATCATATTGAGGAAAATAAATCGAAGTAACTATAATCATCATTTGACTTAAACTTAGACTTATCAACAAAAGAAATAAAAAGAATTAGCTTTATTAACATTAAATTTACAAGAGAGTGTTCTTTAATACAAGAATTTAGATTAAAAATTTTACTCATATCCCCATCGTCTTTAAATAAATTAAATAAAATATTGATCTAAATTATACCACACTTATTAAGTAAAAGTTAACATATTATAAATAAAAAACTTGATTAAAATAAATTATTTTTAAGTATATACTTTTTATTACAATTGAAGTAAGAGTAAGAATTTAAATTTAAAAGTAATAAAAAAAGAAATGTATTTAACTAAAATATTTACAGATTTATTTAAAAAAACTTCACTAAGAATTAATAAATATTATTGTTTAAATATTTCAAAATAAGAAATTTATTTTAATTTTTAAGAAAGGCATAATAAAAAATTTTAATTTCTTAAACAAAAAACATTATTAAATTAAAGAAGAAAATATATGTATGTTATTTCATTTCATTCCTTAGTTTATTTAATTCAGATAGCACTTAATTAATAAAACATGAGAAAGATATGATTTTTAAATACTAAAAAATACAAATAAATATTAATTAAAAGATATTTTAATATTTACTAATTAGCGTATCAATCAATTAAAGATTATTTATACTTCTAGAAGCAAAAATATATTTTTAAAAATGGAAAATTTAGAATAAGAATTTCAAAGTTATTTGAACTTCAAAGACGTTACTCAACTCTTTCATGAAGTATGTGACGGTAAATAAATAGTTATATTCATAAAAAAGAAAAAGATTAGAAATAATATATGAAGAAATCGAATAATTTACTATATTAATATTAGATGATTAAAATAATAATGATCTAACTAATATGTTTTACTTAATAAAATGTTATAATTACTTATAGGTTTAAGTTTAGGCGAAATGGTGCATACAGAATCTTTTAACTTGCATGATTCTATGTCTTCCTCAGAATTATGTGATCCTAAAATGGATTTAAAAGTAGGCTATAGGGAAATAGTTCATCCTAAAGATCAAATATCTCAAAAGTTAATAAAATCCGCAAATGAATTAAATAACAATGAAGTAATTCATTAATGAAGCAAATAAACTTATATTTAATTTATTAAATTTTAATTTAGATGATTGCTATGTTAGATAGTCTTTTAGCTTAAGAATTCATGTGGTTAAAAGGATATTCCCTTTCATAAACTCTTTACAAATTTGTGTAAATAACTAAAATTTAATCAAACAATATCTTTTTTAAAATAAGATCTGATAATTTTTTAAACTTTACTTAGAAATCTAAATAAAATATTTTGATAAAATATAATTTAAATCTTTTTTTTGTAATTAAAGTTACTTTTATGATGAAGCCACTTATAAAGATAACTAAATTATAAAATCTTATATTTAAGGAATGTTCTTAAGTGGTACAGTTATTTATGATACTCTCCGTTATTCACCTTACCTTAGAGAAGATGACTATATAGTTACTATATTTGGATTCCCTAAAACAGAAAGTATTCCTTTTATTTACAGATTCTAAAATTACTCTTATTCTAATTAAAAAAAGATGAGCAAGTTCTTACTGAAGCTATTCAAGAAGCTGAAAAATCACTTGATGACAAAAAAACTAATGAAAATAGTAAAATTTTATTCGACAACAGTTTATAATATTGTTCAATAACTTTTTTAAGTGAGAAAAAAGAAAAACCTTCAAATGAATGAATTCGATGCAATTGATGCTAGATTAAAGTATAGAAAAGCTTTTTTGAGGTTAATGCACTTAATGAGCAATTAAAATTTCACCACATAAATTGAATAGCAAATTTAATCGTAGATTAATAGCTGCAAAAAGAGACTTGAAGAGATTAAGCAAACATATGATCTTTTTGTTAAGAATAATAATATTAACCTATCTGCTTACTTCTAAAAGGATATAAACAAAACATTAAATTGCTTAATATCTCCTCGTCCTAATATTGAAGTTACTATTGAAGAAGGCTTTTAGATGGCTGAAAACTTCTATAACTAACTTGAATATATTCTTTCATTAAGTAAAGAAAGGGATTTCAACTAGATTATTGAAAGAATTAAAGAATTTAATTCATTCCCTAAAAATATTCTAGCTAAGGGCTATTTGGATGTAAATATTTTCTACACATAAGGAAAATACTTTTCTTAATGTGAACTTTCAGAAATGGTTAAAGTATTATAAATAAAATTTATTATATCCTATAAATAAAAAATTATTTTTTAATATTAAGAGTATTTTTAGAGATTTTGGTTTAAAAGACTCACACTTCACAACACCTGGATACAAAGAATATGGAATCCAATGTGCTATAGTCATTTAGGAATACATAGCTAAATATTTGAGAAATCCTTACCGTCAATACAGAGACTTCTCTAAGTTATATTAAGATCTAAGCATTTTGATAAGCTCTAGTGTAAATTTAAAATTTTTAAGATAGTTTAACAATAAAAAAATATATAAATACAGGATAAATATGAAAAGGAGAATCTAACAAAAAAAGATGAGCAACAAGCAGCCACAAGTTGGTGTTACAGTTTAGCTTGCAAGTTAATGGCTAACTAACTCCATCTAGGCTTTTAATTAGATCTTTACGATTAATCTGATTATTCATAAATATTTTTTGCACTTGAATTTATTTACAACATCTTGGAAATAAACGCTTCTTCCTACATTTTAAAAGTTGATAAATAGCTCTTATAAGGTAATTTATTTATTTATTTAGACAAACTGAATGTAATTTTCATTTTAATCTAAAGCTTTCTTTAACAAATAAAACATTGATTTGATGAAAAAGAAACTCAAGCCTTTCTAAAAAAGAATCTTCAATCAATTCATTTTCTATAAAGCTATGCAAGGATATTGTAAGGCAAGTGCCCGTCTTTGTTACATTATGGAACAGCTTAATTTGACTTAAGAATTTAATGATTAAGAAACTAAAAGAAATAGATTTATCAATAGATTCAAGATTTTTGAGAATGTATATTATTTGAAGTTTTCTACTTATGAATAATTTTAGTAGAAAGTTTCTGAAATCTGCTCAGACATTAAAAATGTAAGCTATTAATAATTCTCTTTAGTTCTCCTAAAATATTTGTTTTTTTAAATATTAGACTGAAGAACTTTCGAATGGTCTCAACGAAATAAAAGAGATGTTCACTCAATCCTAACAACTTTTCTAAAAAATACCTTAAGATGACGAATCAATAACATTAAAAATGAGAAACGAAGCACAAAAGCTTGTTAGAGTAAAAAAATTAATTTAATTTTTTAAAAAATAATTGTTAATTTAAAAATTATAGATCTGTGTTATTAGCAGCATGACTGCCTTAAAAATTAAAATGAAGTTAGGAAAACTAGAAAACTAAAAAGCTGTATTTAAAAATGCTGAACTAAATTGGTATCCTACTTTGGAAATAGCTTGATAAAAATAAGCAAATAAATAAATAAAAAAATAAATTTTATTATGAATTAAAGAATTAACTATTTAATTGTATTATATATATTACTTATTTAATTTTAAGAAAATTTGCATTATTTTTCAAAATATTTGTGAAATTGATTTTATTTTAATAATTTTTTGTATTAGCTTAAATTAATTTTTTGAATTTTAAATTAACTACCTTATATTCAACAATTATTTCCCTTATATAATATCTAAAGACACTTTGGCCGAGTGGTTAAGGCGGCGGCCTGCTAAGCCGTTTCCCTCTGGGAGCGTGAGTTCAATTCTCACAGGTGTCGAATTTTTATTTTTTTTAATTGAACTAAAAAAAATAAAAATAATGTTAATTTTTTTATAGGAATGAATATTAGGAAGTTGTTAGCTTGGTAATACGTTTTATAATTTATTTTTCCTCTTAATATTTAATATAAGATAAGCTTTCTTTATTAGAATAAACATTTATTAAAATGAGTATAAATTAATCATTTTAAAGTATATTTTTTAAGTTAAAATTGACAATTAGTTTATATTGAATTATATTATTAAATTTGAGCTTTAAGGAGTTTTTTTCTCATTTGAAGTTTGCAGAAATTAAAATTATTTTGATAAAATTAAATTAATTTTATTTTTTATTTTTTAATATTAAAATTGCTTATATAAAGTTTACACATTAAACATTTATTATATACATTTATTTGCTTTGGATAATACCAACAAACCATATGGTATTATTATTATTATTAGACACTTTTAATGAATGATTCATTACTAATTTTTAAAATTTTGTTTTACAATCTATAAATCTCAATCCTCTCTTTATTTTTACATTTTTATAACTCTAGAAAATTGAATAAATTTTATCCAGAAATATATTTTATTTTAAATACTAATGCGCATTCTGAAGGCTATGAACTGAGAAATTTAGATTGGTAATATTTGAATAATTAATTAAAAATAGAAGAAAATATGAGAGATTTAACTATTTTATTTATATGTTCAATCACTTAGGAAAGTAAGGAGGAATATTACTTTTATAAGTTATTTTACATCCAGCGCAATGTAGCATTGCTACAGCTGGATAAATAGGTCCCTATTTTAATTTATTATCACTAAATGCGATACCAAAAAATTGCCCATTTAAGGCAAAAGATAAGGTTCCTAAATTCATATTTAGGTGAACTCCTAAAACACCTTATGATTTGAATTTCATACCATAGCTTTATCCTTATGCATTATTTCCAGATCTAAGCTATCCTATCCCGTAGTAAGCATAACCAAATTAGTGATCACAAAAAGCTGTATTAAAATCAAAATTATTTTTCAAGGAAACGCCAATTTTCATTTCGTTTTCTGATTTTTCATCTGGCTCTATTTCCCAATAGTGAATTCCTTAGCTAAAGCTCTTTTTGTATAAAATTAAGGTTATTAGAATATTTAAGTTAATAAAACTATTTTTAATTAATTTTTGAAATAGATTCTGGAAAGTTAAATAAATTAATATATAGTACTTATTTTGTTAAGGCAGATCTAAATATATATGCTTATTCTTTTAGTAAAACAAAGTTCTCATTTTTTATTTATATTTAAGATCCTATGTAGTTTGGATCCCAAGTTAAATTATATGAACCGAAAACCATGTTAAATGGGTTTTATAGAGAAGGTTAAGGCATAGTTACTTTAGTGGCAGCTTATTAATTTTAAAAAAGAAATGTCAAACTTAATAACTATGATTTAAACTTAAAGAAAGTATTTAAAATAATTTAAATAAGTACCTAATTATTAGGATTGAATTTAGCCATTATTGCCATCAATGTTTGGATAATATCTTTGCATGAAATTGCTAATTTCTTTATATAGATTGCGCTAATTACTAGAGTGATTTAAAATATTTAGGAAAAACTAACACTCAGGTGAGCAAATATCAATTTTAGTTAGTTAAGAATTGCCTGAATTAGCATCGATTCTATTATTACAATTTATAAAATTTTAGCATTTGGGTAGACTGCATTCCCTTTCATGTTCTTCTATTATTTTTATGCTAAATACTTGACTGCAATAAACGCATTTTAAATTTAGATTTTGGTATTATTTTTAAAGGTTTTTATCAGCAAATGTATTATTTATATGCTACCTCTCGCATCTGAGTGGACATTAACTAATTTATTTTTATATTTAAAAATATTTTGCTTACATTGATTTATTTATCTATTTAATTTAAAATTCATTTCTTTTTCAATAATTTCCTATCTCCTGCTTTTTGATAAATTTAATATTTTCTAATCATTTTATTAATTACTTTGATTTTTTCAGCCAATCATCTATACACTATCCGCAAAAGCATTTTTTACATTTTTAGCACTGTTTAGGGAGCTTCGCTACTTCTGTACATATATTACAATCGAAGTCTTCTGAGGTGCAATTCTAAAATCTCCTTTTATCATATCCTTAAGGAGGATTATTCATTTTATAAGAATAGTATATATTTGATTGTAAATTTTGTTGAAATTCTAATTGTTTAATAATAATTAATGTTTATCTTTTTTTTAAAAAGGATTCCTATTGTGATAGCTTGATTTTTTAATTAATTAAGAGAATTAAGTAATTTAATATATTTTTTAAATTTTGGCTTCTTTTTTTTACTATTCAGCAAGAAAAAAAAAACATACTCATATTTAAAAACATTGAGAAGTGTCTATAATATAAATTAGTATTTTTTAAACCAATTAAAACAATATATATACCATATTTAATCAGTAATTTAATATTCATTTTTAAATATTAATCACAAAAAGCTAGGTTATTTATTATTAATTAATAATATTTTTAAAAATCAAAATATCAAATAAAATTTTTCATTCCAAAAAAAATTAATTTCAAGCTAAAATATTTTTATTTTATCTAATTAAAATTCATAAAAATTGTAAATAATTATTTTATATAGCATGAAAAAGTGTACTATTTTGAGAAGATATAAAAAACATACTAAAAACATTAAAGTTTATTTGTGAATAAAGCAAAATATTTACTATTTAAGAAACTTATTTTGATTATTTTAAATTTAAAAAATTGAAGATATATTTTTTTAAACAAAAAAGACATGTACGATATATAAATTCGTGAAATTAAAGAAAAAGTTTATTCGCATTTCATACAGCTTATACCTTAATGGGTAACTCCAAATCAAGTTACTTTAGCGTCTTTTATTTTTGGAATTTTTTCAGCGATTTCATGTTATTATGGAAAATATACTCTTGGATTATATTTATGGTTAATCAATAGATTTTTAGATGGATTAGATGGTAAATGATTTAAAATATAATAAAGCTTTAATAATTATAACAATGGAACATAATAAATAACAAATATATTTTATATTAAGGAACTCTAGCTAGATTTAGAAATTAGCAAACAGACTTTGGTGGATATTTAGATATCATAGTTGATTTTATTGTAAATATAATTTATTCAAACCTTAGATTAAATGCTTTATTATTTTTAACCAAAGGTATATTCTATCATCCCTATCAGTATTGCCATGAGAAAGAATAGTCTAAGTGTATACAGCTCTTTATCATTTATGTTAGCAACATTTTTTGTTAACGCAGCTGGGTTATTTTATTTGAGTGCTCTACTCGAAAAAAGAAATTTTAAAGTAAATATTATTATAAAACGCTAATTATATAATATTATTAAATTTCCTATTAATTTTAGTAAAATAAAGAACTTACTTCCGTTACTCTACCACCTGCATTAATTGAAGGTCTTGAAACATTTATTTTCTACACCTTATTTTTTGTTTTCTAAAGAGATATTGTAATTTTTAAAAGTTTAATACCATTTATTCATTTTTAATCTAAATTTAGTAAATTTTCTACTGGATATTTGGACTAGGAGTTTGTGTTACTATTTATCAAAGACTAGACTTTGCAAAGAAGGTTTTAAAATGAACATTTTAGATAAATATGTCTATCATCAATAATTTTAATCAAGATAAATAGAAATTTATCTTCAAAAATAATAAACTTATTTCAATTTTAAAAATAAACTAAACAAAATATCATTTCATATTAGTAAATAAATAAATAAATTGATTTTTTATAACTTTTAGCTAGTTTATATTCATTCAATAGTAAAGATATTTATACTTTTAAAAATAAAAATCATTTTTAGTAATTTTAAACGTTTTCGAAATAGGTTAAAAATTAATTAATTTCCTTTAATTTTCTATGGAATAATTTTTATTTAAATCTTATAATTTGATTTACATCACTTGGTTTAAATTATTGTAATTGAATTATTCAATTGTAAAAGATTTGTAGTTTTAATATGATGCTTTTTATTTTTGTAATGATTAAATGTAAGTTTTAAAATTAAGTAAAACATTGATTATTAAGAAGATTGTTCGAGAAAAAAAAATTTAATAATATGTCATAAAACTTTTAAGTTAAGAGTTAATCCTATAAATCCTTCAAAAGAGTTATAATAGATATTAAAATTTTTATAGTTTACTCAGTATTTATAGCATTTATGTTTTTTGATTCCATTTTAGGGTTAAATTATTCAGTTTTTTAGGATTAGAATTTGCATAAAAAAGTCATTTATGCATTAAATTTTTGTATGTTTATGAAAAATCAATGATATATTACCGAAAAAAATTAAGATTTTTTTGTAATTAAACTTTAAATCTTGATAAATCTTTTTGTGCCTACTTAATATTTATTTCATTAAGTTAAAAATCTTTAAGTTTTTGATATTTAGGAAACAAAAAAAATAGCTACTCTGCTACTAATCAAATCAAATTTAAAAATAAAACATAATAAATAAAAACAGCATTAGAGTAGGCCATGTTTAAATTAGGTAGATAGATATTTTGTTCAGCAGAAAGAAATGCTTTTTTAGCGAAAAAAATAATTGCAAGCTTTTCTGAGAAGACTGCTGAAGAAGCAGCAAAGAAAAAAGTTGATTAAAAAAATAAAGATTTTTAAACAGTTTACAGAATTATTCACCCAGAAAAGAAAGGCTTTATATTAGCTGCTGTAACTTCAGCCATATCTAGTGGCATTTTTATGCTTTACCCTAAATTAATTCCTCAGCTTTCAGATCTTTACGCTAATAAATATGAAAAAATAGAAGAATCTGATTCTGATGAATAGAAGCTAAATAAATAGAAAAACAACTAAAATACAAATAATGCTTATTTGAAGTTCTTTTTAACTTGGGGATTAGTTTGTGGCGTTTCAGGTTTTTTTAATTTTTCAAGGAGATATATTAATGGCGATTTAGGTAATAGAATTTCTATTCGTCTTCGTTAGGCAATTTATAATGATCTTATGACTAAAGATTCTACTTTTTACTTTAATAAATCTGTAAACACTGCAAAAATTATCCATAAATTAAGTAATGATGTCTCTTAAGTCAGTCAATCAGTTTCTATGGATTTATTTATTGCTTTTAGAGGCGCTCTATTTATTACAGGTGGTACAGGTTTTTTATTATTTTAATCTCCCTAGCTCATTCTACCTTCTTTGTTTGTTATGGCAGGCTTGAGTGTAAGTTCTAGATTCTTTGGTAATTACTAGCGTCACTATAAAAAAGAAGAAGCTTATGATCTAACTAAAACAAGTGAACAAGCACAAGAAGCTCTTTAAAATATCAAGCTTATAAAAATCAGCAATACAGAAATTAAAGAATAAATAGATTATTAAAGTACTTTAGCTCGTTTCTATAACTCTTCAAAAAAGGTTTAGTATTGGACAGGTATGAATTTCGGCTTTTTAGAAGGATTTGGTCTATACTCTTTAATTGGTATACTTGGATATGGTAGCTTTTTGATTTCAAGCGGGCTAGCTACTCCTGAGCTCCTTAGTTCTAGTATGTATGCATTCTATGTAGGTCTTGGTGTTCGTTCTATTGTAAACACATACACAGAATTAAAAAAAACGACTGGTTTATATGATGGTATTGTTAGCGTAATTGGAACTGATGTTACTTAGTCTTAAACATATAATAATCCAAAACTTATTGAAGAAGGTTAGGAGTATTTAAAGTTGTAGAGAAATAATGCTGAGTTCTATTAATAATTATACAGTAACAATACTGCTACTTTGCATTAATCTAAACCTCCTCATATTACTTTGAAGAATATAACATTTAAGTATGATGAATATGGTACTGAAAGATAATTACTCAGTGACTTAAATATCGAAATAGAAAGTGGAAGTGTAGTTGCATTAGTTGGTCCCTCAGGTTGTGGAAAAACTACAGTATTAAACTTATTGACAAAATTATACTAACCTACATCTGGAGATATCCTATTTGATGGTCAAAGCCTTTAAGCTAAAGACAGTAAATGGGTTCAATAAAATGTTTCTTATGTTACCTAAGAACCTATGATTTTCTAAGACACTGTTTACTACAATATCATTTATGGTAATTAAGGATTTGATACATCATAAGAAAAAGTTATTGAAGCTGCTAAAATGGCTAACGCCCATGACTTTATTATGTCACTCCCTGAAGGATATTAAACAAAATTAAGCGAAAGAGGATAAGATCTTTCAGGAGGACAAAGACAAAGACTTATTTTAGCTCGTGCTATTTTGAAAGACCCTAAAATACTTATTTTAGATGAAGGTACTGCTAATCTGGATAGTGAAAGCGAAAAGGCTATTATTTAGGATCTTAAAACAATATCTAAAAACCGTACCTGTATCATAGTTACCCATAAGATTGAAAATTTCTTAGGTTTTGTAAATAAAATAATTGAGTTAAAGGCTCCCATAAATAGTGAAAACAAGTTATAATAGGAAAAATCTGAAGATGAAAAGGCTAATTGATAAGACAATTTTAATAAATTTATTAATCTATCTATCTATATCAATTATTTTTATTTTTGTATTAATTTTTCTTTGGAATAAACTGTAAACAGAATTTGCTTTAATTATTTCAACACAGTTTTTTTAATCAGCTAATATCTTTCTCCAAATAATTTGGTTCGAGAAAATACATATTTTAGTAACACAACTTTATTCAATCAAAAGCAATTAATTAATTAATTTGATTTATCTTCAAATTCATTCATAAAATCCTCATTAATAGCAAATTGAGAAATTTCAAACAAATTTTTGCGATAGGACAAAAAAAAAGAGAAAAAAATAAATATTTTAGCACTTTTTTATTGGCATAAATTAAAAATGAGAAAAATATATTCATTATTCATTTATTAATCTAATTAAATATATGAGAACAAATTATGAAATGAAATTTTAAGTTCAGATATTTTTGTTTTTTTGGCTTTAAATTCAAAAAAAATCTTTAGAAAAAAATAATGTAATCAAGCAGAGATTTTATTTATGAAATTTGTTCATGACTTTTAATGTAAATTTCTAATTTTATGATTTAATAAGTAAGATTAATTTAAAGAAGATACTTATTGGTAAGATAATGAAAAAGGGGATATTAATAAAATAAATTATAAGAAAAGTAAGGATAAAGTAGATTATTGTAAATATTTATTTATTTATTGAAGAATAAAATTAATTGATTTCTGTACAAATTTATAATTTTGCAAAGCAAATATTAATTAATTTGTTTTTTTTGCTTGATTAATTGATTGCTAGCATTAATAATCAATTATGTATTTAAATTTTAAATTTATTAAAATATTCAAATCAGTTTACTACGTGCATTAAAATTTTATCTTTTATTTAAATACAAATTAACTTAAATAACTGTTATCTATCTAATTTAAAACTAGATTACTAGGTATATTATCAAAATTACAATCATTATGAGTAAATAAGGTCAAATAAGACAGACAGTTTCTATTATTTTAGATTAATCAATATCAAATTAATTTAGATTTTAATTTCGATAAGGTTGGGGAATGATTGAAGGATTTACTGATTAAGTGATTTAATTGTTTGCGTTAATTGCTTGAAATAGATAAATGCTTTCACAATATCTGAAGAATAATTAAGCTTTTAAGTTTTACTAGCTAATCTTTAAATACAAAAAACTTATAGATATTTCAATTATTAATTAATTTCAAATACAAATAAATTATAAAAATAATTAGCATCTTGCAAAAGAAATGAGTAATATTTTTAAATATAAACAATAACTAAATTTTAATAACAATACTTAAAATTCTCTGTCTTCCCTAGATGACAATACTCCTAAAACAATTGGTTCACTTAACACAGCTTCTTAGCTTTCCTTTGGCGAGCTAACTAATTCACCAATAATAGAAGATAAATCTTCTATGTATTACCAAAACTCAATTGGACATAAGAATAGAAGTGTGAATGAAAACAATAATCTGAAAAGAATTTAAAGGCATAGATAACTGGTATAAAATAATATTAAAGAGCTTGCAAAAGTCATCAATCATAACTATGAAAACAAAAGCAACAACTTATCTAAATAGAATTAATAAAATATCAATAACTCTCCTTATTTTAATAAACTAAAAATAAATATCGTCAGTAAAGATTTAAAATCTCTTACCAATATAACCAAAGATTAATAAAAAATTTTAGGTAAAAGAAAGGTAAATAAACGCTATTCAGCTTTGTAATCTGAAACAAAAAATTCTGCTTTAGACTAATCTGAGTATTTTAGTACTAGATCCTCTAAACCTAAGTTAAGCTTTTAGGGATAATTTGAAAGTAGTTAATCTTCTTTTTAATAACTCTAATTACCATCATTAACTTTTAAGGATAATCAGACTAGTACCTTAAAATACTAATCATTGGTAAATATTAAACTAAAAGAAAGTTAATAATCTGAAGAAAAACTTATCAAAATAGAAGATTACAGTAATGATAAAGAAATTAATAAAGGAAATCTAAACAACTAATAAATTACGAAATAAAGTGAAACAATAAATTCGATCAATATTGACAAATCTAATTTCTATGAAAAGTTTTAAATATTTTTACAAAATTTTCCTTCTCAGTTTAGAAAATTGATAAATAAAAATGAAAATCTTTGTAACGCACTTGACTTTTTTAGAATTGAAAGTATCAAAAGCTAATCTGCATAACTAGATTTACTCATTAAATTTTTGATTAATTGCCTTAAAATGTTTTTTAAAGAAATTAAATAAATAGAGGAGAGTTTAGATAGCTAGTTTTTTATGAATGATGTATAGAACATAAATCAGCCAATGAAACAGCCTAAAAATAAGATAATTATAAATTGCGCAACTGCTTAGCTTAAATTATCAAAAAATCTTTTCAACGATATTTGTGAAACTGTATTTTAGATATTATAAAAGTTCGAAATCCCCAATATACATTTCAAGGACATAAAAAAATTAATTGCATAATAGTGGGATTCTTAATTAAGTTGTGTGACGTTTGCTGATAAAATTGGCGGATATCGTAACTTATTACCTATTATTGATAACTTATCAAATTAGATTATAGATACGTTTTAACTTTCTAAGTAGGAGCAGGAGTATTTAGAACTCTAAAATTACTCAAAGCTACTAGAAATCATGAAAGAAATAATTAAAAAATATTCTCAAGAAGTAGAAGAAATAAATAAAGTCTAAGCAAAGGCAAGCAATTAAAAGTCTATGCTAGAAGATTATATAGCCAAAATAAAGGCTGTATTTCAGAGTAAGAGCTGCTTTGGAGCCTTTTCAAAAAATACTCCCTTCTTTTTAGTAAAATACATACTATGGAATGCCTTATTTAACTCTGCTTAAGGCAATCTATTTCCTAATGAGATTAAGCTGTTTATTATGTCTATCTTTGAAAAGTTGAGAAATGAATGCTTTAGCACTGCTTATTGGAAACAAGATATGATTTCTCAATAGAGAATGAATATTCTATATAACACTATCTCATCTAAATAGCAGCTACTTAAATACTTAGGACCTTATTTCGTCTCTCAAGAGAAAATTTTTTGCAAAGCTCTACTTTAATTTATCATAGGATAAAATACGACTTCGGAATTTTTAAATAATATAAAAGAATAAATAGACCTCAGTTCTAATTATTAATATTTCATGAACTAAATAAATATTGCCATGCAAGAAGCATTGATGACTAATAGTATGATAGCTCTTTCCAACATCAGAATCTTATTATAAAATAAATTCTTTTTAATTAATCAAAACTTAAATCAAAAGATATTCCTAAAAGAATCTTTCTTATAAGAGCATAGTATCTAAATCAAATCTAGTGATAGCACAAGTATTGAGTAAACCATGCAAATAATATTGAGCTTGCTTCTTTCTCAGTTTAATAGAAAGCAAGAAAATTAAGATAATTTATCAAATTATTTTATTAGCTAACAAAAGTTGAGTTATAATGAAAAAATTTAAATAGTAACCAAATACTTGCTAACTATAATTCTTGATACAAAATCTTATTCTGTGTTTGATATCTAGGAAATACTAGATATTCACTAATTGGAGAAAAATATTCAACTTAAGCAAAATATACTAAATGAAAGTAAAAAGATATTATATTCAATTAAATTGAGTATATAATAGGTAAATATCATTTAATAACTTCTGGAATGCAGTATTTTCCCAGCTAATTCTTGAGAAAGTCAAATAAATTTCACTTAACTAGACTTAAATTTTGTTAAATTCAACTTACACATTTTCTTTTCTAAAATATACTTAACTAATTTACTAATTAATAATCATATTAAAACTTACTAAAAATTAAATTAAATTAATTGATCTTCTCGACTGATAATAACTTGAGAATAGTCAAAAACTTCCTACTTCTTGTTTACTATAATTATAAATATATTATAAAATGTATATAACTAAAAATTAGTGTATTTATTATCACTTACATTTGTTAAAAAATATTACATATTTTATTTAAGAGTAGTAAAGATTACACTTTTATCAATATAGATAAATGAGCAATATTTGTAAAAATAAAATTTTTGTAATATTAACTATGATACATAATAAATCACATCACTTATTATTGATATTATTCAAAAATTCAAATTAAATAAATTCTTTTCTAATTATTTAAATTCAATTAATAATTAATCTTACAGTAGATACAAATTTACTTCCCTTAAAAATAGTTTCAACGCATTCTTAACGCATTTAGGCTAATTAAGCAGCTATCTAAAATTTTTATTTTAACTCATTCAAAATTGAACATTCTATAACAAAATATTATTTATTTATTTTAACTCCTATTTTGAAATGCTAATTTTAATTATCTACGCTTATTATTTTATTTTTTTTATTTGATAAAAAATTTCTATAAGATTTTTTACTTTTTCCTTATTTGGTTTTAGTAAAATTTATTAATAAGATGAATATATTTTAAAAATAAAATATTGCATTAGTAAATATAATTATAGATTACATTTATTAATTTATTTCTTATTATTATTATTCAGTTACTAGAAGTAAAATTAACAAGTAAGATAAACAAATAATACAAAATATTAGTAATAAACATACATTTATCATTATAAGAGTAGTTTAGATTATGAAAGTTTTATATAGAAGTATAATTATACATTTAAAATAAATCTTATTTCTAATGTGAGGCTGAGTAGGCTTATTAACCCAAAAAAAAGATTAAAGCTTTTTACTTCATAAGGTTTATTAAGATATTCAATAACATACAAATTAATTTAAGAATCTATTTGGTTTTTTATTTTATTTGATTAATCAAATAGTAACTAGCAATAAATTCAATGCTTATATTAAAATACATATTTTTTTACTATTTTAATTGCTTTTAAGTAGAAAAAGAATAAAGAAAAACAAAAATATACATACAGTAATTACTTTTCAAATCCATTTATAAAATAAGATTTTAAAAAATCTGATGAGTGAAATAATCAAAGATTAAAGAGAGGAAAAATACTCATCTATGTCTTTTGTTCCTCATACTGATATGAATTCGCCATTAAAGATAGTTAGGAATAAAAGAATAAACTAGGTTTAATCAATGATCGATTTAGATAAATATAAAGAGCAATACATCAAAAAACTCATAGTCGATAAAAATTTAATTGATATTTCTCCATAAATAACACATTCTAAAGCTATTTAAAACTCATATTACATAAACCCTAATTTTACTGATGCCTTAAATACGTAAATGTAGCCTAACGTCAAAAAAAGTTAATAAAGTCTACTATTTAAACAAATCTAAAGGCATTAGTTTCCTGAACGTGGGGTTTTTAGTAAAAATTTATTTCTTTAAAGCAGTAAGACCATAAAAAACATAGGTAAAAGCGTTCCACCATCAATTCAATAGTCCATGTACAATATCCTTCTCGATTAGTCTCATACTCCTACAAAAGTAGAAGAATCCTACTTAAAAGAAACAAATAATAAACAAAGTAGAATGAGCAGTATTATTTTGAATAATGACAATGATAGTATCTTTTACTAAGGTAGGGGTTCTTATAAAGCCCCTTCTCCAGAAAAAGACATGCTAATAACTAGATCTAAACTAAAAAAAACTTCTCTTTAACTTCCATCTGTTTCTTCTCCCATAAATAAAAAAGAAATGGTCTATCTCAGCAATAGCAAAAGTACTCGCTCAAAAACTATAGAAAAAATAGATGATAAGTTAAGTAACAATCCATTTTTACCAAATATAACATAAAGGAAGCAAAATAAGCTAAATATATCAATTCAAGGAGCATCTCGCAGAAGTTCTAATAAGGAAGATTCTTAGTTTGACTTAGGCTTAAGTTCATAATAATAGATCGATCTTTTTAATATTATACTCAATTCTTCTAAGAATATAACCATCCCTTAAATAGCTACAGGAACTAATTTATAAAATAACTCTAAATTTAATAGCTTGAAACAAATTTTCAATCAAAGAAGTGCAAGTTAACCATTGATAGATGAGTAAAACAGTCCCTAAGTTAATTCTCCAGTTTCTTCAGAAAAGAGCAAGCATCTTCTTGAAAAATCAGCACTTAATAATTACTCAAATTCATAGCTAAGAGAAAATATAATTAAAGAATTATCTTTAACACTAGCATAATGCATTAAATAGAATAAAGAGCTTAATGTAAATGAATACTTTTGTTTATTTATTTATCTTTATTTTCTATTTTTAACATAGAAACTATCTCTTATTTTCTTAAATTTAATCAATCAGTTCTACTGATGTATTTAATTAAAAACTTTGTATGTAATTGATATTTTGATTTAAATTGGGTAAATAGTTAAAAATTTTAATCAAAAATAGGAAGCATCTTACGACTTTTAAAATTTTTAAACTAAGAATGATTACTAGAATTCCGAAGTAAAAGTTTTAGGATATTAAATACGTAAAGAGTAAATAGTAGAGCAGTATTAATAAAACAAGGGTAATGATAGGATACAGAATTTTGCCAATTATCTCAGTAAGTTTTCAGGTTATATAATGGATCTATTATTTGGTGATATACCAAAAATTACTAAGGGAGAAGTTGAATTCGAAATCTAGCTAACAGAATAAGTATAAGATATAATTTTACCTATTATATTAGAGAAATTAAAAGAATTTGGAATGAAAGATTTAATAGAAAGATATCAATTAGTTTTTAAAAATGAATACTAAAATATGATAATTAAGACTCCTATTATTTAAGAAAATTAAATTGAAGAAGCTGCTGAATCTATAACATAAGAATTATTAGCAAGACTTAAACTTCATTTCTAGAAAAGCTTCACCATGTATGCCTCAACTTGTAAGGATTTGATTAAAGACATTCTTTCAGAGGGAGTTAGTAAAGAAAAAATAAAAGATTACATGGAATTCTTGAGGATGCATTTAAAGAGATCTTCAATTTTTGAATAGCCTTAAAATAAAAATATCAATACTCTTAATCATTAAAATAAAAGTGAATAGCATAAAGGAATAGTGGAAAGTGGAAACTATAAAGAATTGCTTAGCATTTCAAGTGCAGATTTGTTTTTTATCAAAAAAACTATTTATGAGGTGTTAAAGAAATAATGTCCAAATCTATCTTTAACAAGCAGGGCAAGAATTTTGGAAAAAGTAGAGAGTTTAAGATTTGGATATTTCAAAGAAGTGTACAGCTTGAACGAGAAGTCTAATTAGTAGCTGATTGAGATTATGAAAGTTTATGTATCGAATTCTCCTCCTCTTCTTGCCTATCTAAAAAGACCAGAATCCAGCAAGTAAATAACAAAGCTGCTAACTATTCTTCTAGACTCTATTTTGGGTGATTGTTCTCTCTAACATTTTGTTGAAAAATCTTCAATTTTATTGAATTAAGAGTTAGATTTACCTTTAATATCTATGTTGGAGTAGGGTGTCAAGGGATCATTAGCTTAACTTCAAATAAATATTGTTTTGATAAAAGAAATCGAATATAAATTTACTAATTTGAAAAGAAGGGTAAGACTTACACCTCCATTTAATGCTGTTTTTTATCAAATTGATTCAATTATAAAGTACATGAATAGTTGGATAGATCTTATGGCATAATAAAAATAAATAAAAATAGATAATTAACAAGAATTGTTATCTCAACTTAAATAAATTGATTTCTTAGAATTTTTCTTAGTCTGTTCTCTCTCAGATTTTGACACATTTTCATTTATCGATCTTTAAGATGGATTGAAGTATTTTAAAGTGAGAAAAGAAGTTTTCAAATTTTGGCTAAAAGGTATTAAGAGAATATTTGCAAAATTGAAACTAAAATAAAAGGAAATAAACCTGATAGATGATTACTTTTAAAAAGCATTTAATAACACTCAATTTTGAAATAAAAACTATATAAAAATACTGTAAATAATAAATAAATCTTTAAACTTGTCTCTAATTTTTTACTTTTGTAATAAATTAGTTTACTAACTAACTATATTTGTAATAAAAATAATTTGCTTTGTATTTATTTGTAGATAAATGTTTAAATTTTTTTTAATTTTAAAACTAGTTAAATATATATGGAAATTATTTGTATGGTTTATCCAGAATTTTCAAAAAATATGTTTGATAAATAAAGATTTGTAACACCAAATAATTTCTTGGTAGTAGTATCTTTACAAAATATACAAAATCATTCATATAGCTAAATATTTTAAGCTTTATTAAAACAAATAAAACTTACAATATAATTAAATTATTGAGGTAAATATTTTCGGTTTTATCACTACCTGAGACATTATAAAAAATTATACTCATGTGATAAATAACTAATTTTTCTAAAATAATTTCATAAAATATACCTAGAAGTATCTTCTGATTAAATGATAAAGCATTTTTAGATATATAATTTAAATAATAAATTTAACTTATTTTAATTTAAAATTTAAAAATAAAGTTTGCATTAAATTAACACGAAAATAAAAATATTAATTTTCTCTTATTTATTTTTATAGTTTTCAATATACATATTAAGTAATAAAAAATAAAAGTCTATTATCAGATCTAAAATTTAACGTTAAAAAAATAGCTTTTTTTACATTAAAAATAAGGGTTGATGGGAAATAAAAAATTTATCAACTACCATAAAAACAATATTTACATGCTTTTTAAATTAATTTAGAGTTAGTGTTCTTATTATTCTAAAAATTAAAAACTAAAAATAAAAAAGCTTATTTTGATATTTTGATAGTTTGATAGCATTTCATTTTAGGCTCGATGGTTTACAAATTTATTGTTTATCCTGGTAATAATTCATTTGTCATTAGAGAAGCACTTTTAAAAAGAGGGAATTGGAAAGAAGTAAATCTATTAAAAGATATATCATTCGCAAGAAAGATATGTTTTTGCATTTTAAATAGGTATAGTATGATGATCCTAATATTAATTTATCTGAAATTGATTTCATTTGGTCACCAAACAGCCTTTCTACTAAGGTATTACAATCCTTCTTTAATAATTCAATTTTTATCCTTGAATTTAAAAACTAGGAATATGAAAAGATTGTAGAATTAGAGAAAAAAAATCCAAATCATCAAGTAAATTCTTTATTTATTTCTTCTATATAAGCATAGTAGAGTTTACATATATCTTGATTTGATAACTCCTAGAAAAAAATATTAAAAATATGCTTAGTAACTTCAAAATATTTTGTAAATCTTTATAAATATTTACAATTAGATAGTCATCAACCATTTTGAAAATAATTAATCATTGACAACTAAATCTGACATGATAAAAGCATTGAATAATCATTACAGAAAAAACTCAGAAGCATGTAAAAATGATATTTAAAATACTTTTTAACAAATACAATTACAATATTTCAAACACTTTGTTGAAATAAAATGTCTCATTATGTTTAATAATAATTAATTATGATTTTTAAAATAGAAAAAGGAGGATATAATGTTTTCCACTCAATACCAGCTACCTATGTCCTTATAGTAGGTGTAAATGGCAATGATCAAAGAGATTTTCAAATTAAATTTAATGAAATATCTAAGTCTAATTTCAAAAGATGTACTCTTCCTGAAAAACACTGCTCTAATAACATTTGGATTTTAAAGCCTGATAATATGTCTCAAGGTAATTATTCTACTATAATAGCTCAAATATTAATTATATAATCAAATTTAAAGGAAAAGGAATAGAAATTTTTCAAAGTTTGAAAGCTATTTTGAGCTTTTTACACTATAAACCTGCATTTAGTAAATGGGTTATCCAAAAATATATTGAAAGGCCTCTGCTATATAATGGAAGAAAATTTGATCTCAGAGTATGGGTTCTTTTAACAAATAAGGGAGAGCTATTTGTCTACAAGAACGGATATCTTCGAACAAGTTCATCTAAATACAGTATGCAAACGTTTAATGAAGCTGTACACCTCACTAACTGGAGTCTTTAAAAAGGTCTTCCTAGTTATGAAAAGCATGAATAAGGAAATAGATTACCATTAAAGGAGGGATTATAATACATTTTTGATACTTAATTTAGTAAGTACCAAGTTGACTATGAAAAACACATTTATCCTAGAATGAAAGATTTGATTATTGATCTAGTAAGAAGCTGTGAAGTAAATATAAACTATTCTTTTTAAAAATTATCTATCTAATTAAGTAAAATAATCAAATTATTTTTTTTTTTGGTAGCAAGAGATGTTTAAAAGCAAGAAACTCAATAATTGCTTTGAGTTATATGGGTTTGATTTCATTATTGACGAGGATTTGAGAGTTTGGTTGATTGAAGCTAATAAGAACCCAGGATTCGGCTTACCTACTGAAAAGGCTAGAAAATTGATTGACGAAATGGTAGATGAATTACTAAGGTTAACTATTGATTAAGATTATACACCTAAAGCTGCTCTTTGTAAATAAATATAAAAATTTATAAAATAAAAATTCTAATAATTAAATAAAAAGAACCAAGATAAAATGTATTTGATTTAATATACACTATGAAACCATCTCCATTTAACAAATTTTAACCAAAAAATGACAGAAGACCTTTCAATATAAGTGTATATCCTATTCCATAACTTGAGCCATAATAATCTTCAGGAGAAAAGAGATATTAAGTTCTTAATCCTTTACAGGATATTAAACAAGAAAAAGAAAAAAGCAAACAAACTGAGATGGATTATTCCATAGAGGTACTTAATGAAGAACAATAAAAAAAATAAAACCAAGAAGAATAAGAAGATAAAAAAAGAGATGAGTTAACCTAAAAACAATAGAATGAAAAAATAATTGAAAGCAGATATACTCTAAAAGAGATAAACAATGATCCTTATATTTTCGAAAAAAACTTAGAATCTTAGGAAATTTGCTTAAAGCAATAAAAGGAGTAAACTAAAAAATTTAAAAGTAAAGATAATCTAGATAAAAATGTAGATGATATGTAAAAGGGGTTTGGTTTACAAGCACTAAATTCTTAAAATAGTAATAATAACCAATAAAGAATTCAAAAAATTATGTCGAGTACGCTATCACAGCCTACTTTCCATCAAAATTTATTAAGTTTTGCTTTGAAATCTCCTAGAAAATTAGATCCCTTATTTAACTCTGTTAAGTAATTTAAAGATTCTTCTTATATTTAAGAAGAGGAAGAAAACGAAAAAAAAGATGAGTTTGCTAAATCATAAAAAATAAATTCCTACATGGTTTAGTCTTCTAAAATAATACTTGAGCCGATTTCATCTAACGATTAACAAAAAGAATTAATAAAAAGATTAAACTAATAGTAAAAGAATTTATATCAGTAGTTAAAAGAATTAAATGATAATTCTGCTTAAGATTACAATTAAACATCTTAAAAACTGAGTGATGGAAATTATACTCCAATCTAAACAATGTAAAATAAATCCTAAGAAAGGAAGAAAATGTTAAATAGATAATAAAGCAGGTCATTATTTAAAATAAAGTTGTTGAATGAACAAAAAAATTAGTAAAAATAAGACTACTCAATTTAGCCGATACTTGCAAAAAGTATGAGCACAACAAGTAATTGGATAAAATAATAATAAAAATAAGATATAAACACCAATTTTCAAAAATATTAGATGGTTTAACAAAAAAAATTACCAGCTTTCTCACATTCACTTCATTAAGCTAATAAAAATAGTGAAATCAAGCAATTTAGCGAATAATAAAAAGAAATGTAATAACCTAGCATATTTTAATAAAAAGAAAGTCTTTACATCTAAAAATAAGAATTAAGTTATCTTAATCATATTTGAACCTTCAAAAATTATAAAATCAAAATTAATTTTAGTAATATAAAATGATTTATAAAGAAAGAAATAAATAAATAATAATCAGCTTACTTAAAGCAACAACTTCATTTAATTTTACAAGTTTGTAATAGATTATTATAAATATCTCTTAATTTAATATGTTTAATTAATAGTTAAAATTTATGTGGTTAAATTTACCTTTCAATCAATTTTTATACTCCTTTTCGTTCTACCTCTTTATTCAAAATTTTCTTTGCTAGTTTTTCGCTTTCTACATTTTTAACATAATCAAAATAAATTTATAAATATAACTCAACTATAACAATTAAAAAAATTATTGCATCACAAGAAAATATAATTAATAATTTTTAAAAAATCAAAAAATTTAACCCACTTAAAAAAAAAAATTATAATTTGCTTATAAAAAATGTTTGTGTCAGAAGAAGTTGATTATGAAAATCTGGCAAAAAAAAAACCAACAAACGTTTAAACAAAAAAAAGCTCCTCTAAATTTACTAAAATAACTATTTCTATTGTTGTTGTTTTGCTATTATGTCTACTTTCTTATTGTCTGTTTATTATTATTAATCAAATAGTTCATGTCACGTCTAGCTATAAAGAAACAAACCTTCCTCTTTCCAAGGTTTAACAAGAAAATTAAGATAGTGATGTCAAAAATCCATAACCTTTAATTCCAAAATAAAATGAGTAATCAGAGGTAGATTAATCAGCCTAACATTAAGATGAAGACAAATAAATGACATCTGATAAATAAAATGAAAAGACTGATAAAATAGAAGAAGTAAATGATTTATCAAATACTGATAAATAAAACTAAGAGTCTTAAATTAAAAATGAAAAATAATAAGATGAATACGAAGTAAAAAATTCTGGAAAATCTTAATTTGCTGAAGAAAAAAAAGCTGATTCAAAGACATTTGATAATAGCACTGATGAAAATAAAAATTATAAAAATCAAGAGAAAAAATAAGAAGAATAGACTATTGAGTAAACTGAAAGTAATGACAAATCTGAAAAAGAACTTAAAGACTTATAAACTTAAATATCATTTTTTGAAAAATTAAGATATTATTTATTAAAATTAATAAATTTATTATTTAGATATTAAAAGATTTATTTTGGTTTGAAAAAGAAAAAATTTATGCCATTTGAATACATTATTTATAAAGAATGATTAATTAATATTATGTAAAAAATGATATTAATTTCTTATTAATAAAGTTATTACTTTTTAATTCATTAATTATCAACTTAAATTAGACAATTTTTTTTTTTAATTTAAAATATTTAAATAAAATAAAAAATTTTATTATTTTTTGTTAGAACTTAAACAAGAAAGAATTCACTTGCATTCTAATATAAAAAAATTAAATAATACGCATTATCTTATCAAAAATAGATATTTTATTAAGTTTATAATTTTTATCTTTAAAAAAAATATCAATTGAATCTTTTAGATTACAAATAGAAAAAATCACCCATTTTTAGAATGCTTAATAACATTAGAAAGCAATTATTTTCAAGTTCAAGCTTACTTCCTAAATTTAATTCCTTTAAGGAAGTTCATAATTTGCCCTACAAAAAGCTTTCAGTAGCTTAAATGTAAGAATTACTTAACAAAGTTAATGCTGGAGATTGGAAAATTGTAAAAATATAATACATATGTTTCATTTTTTAACATTAAAAAATAAATTAAGTAAGGTGAAGGCTAAAAAATAAGAAAGGAATTAAAATTTAAGGATTTCATTCAAGCATTTTCCTTCATGAACAGTGTTGCTATAGTTGCTGAAGATATGTGCCATCATCCTGACTGGTTTAATGTTTATAACAATGTACAAATTAATCTAAATACTCACGATGTCTCTGGACTCTCTATTAGAGATGTTATTTTAGCATTCGCAATTGTAAATTTATTAAGTAGATGATAATAGTAAATTTTAATTTATCAAACTAGAATGAGATTTAACACCAAGCTAATAAGCCTTAAGGACTCAATGATGTTTCATACTTAAACTAATAAGCTATTTTATCTAAGTGGAATTCTCTTTGAAATATTTTAGAATTTATTAACAAATGTTAATTATTTTTTGATAAAATTTTAGTATATTTTATAGTTGATTTAAGATATGTACATAATTTCTAACTTATTTTTTAAAAATTAACAAATAATATTTTTTTAAATTTATCATAAAATATTTATAATTATACTAATTAATAATATAATTAGTCTAAAATTTTTACTTTAAGTTTTTATTAATTATACATAATTTTGTTATTTATAAAATCTAATTTAAACAATTTTGTAAGAATTTCAAAATTTTATTTTAAAATCCTAAATTAATGTTTTTATATTTAATCAAATTTATTAAAATGGAAGAATATTAAACATATTTATTGATTAGGATTTCATTTATCAATGTTCAAATATTCTAAAATTTATTTGGTAGTTTTTTGATAAGATGATAGTTTTAAAATGAAAATTTTTATAGCTATTATTTTTACTGATAAATTTGAGTATAAGGAACATAAAAAGTATATTATATTATATATGTTGTGTTTATAGGTTTGGCTGCTTTATTTTTTCCTTTTTATCAGTTATGAGAAGCATGTATACTGATTTACTAAATAAAGTCGTTATTAATATCATTTGTTTTTAGATTGAATTTTACATTTATTAACAATTATTGGCTGATTAATTTTAGATAATTTAATCTTTACATCATTTAAGAAATATATAAGAAATTGAAGAAGAATAATAACAAATCTAAATATATTCTTGACCTATAGTAATTAGTAAAATAGAGGTTTCTTCTTAAAAATAGTTGGAGTTTTAAAAATTTAATGCAAGGAAATAGAACTTAATCTTAGTTCAATAGTAATTTCTCATCAAGAATATCACCGATGAGTAAAATAAATTGAAAAACAGCTTCAAAAAATATTTTAACAACATTATTTTCATAGGAGCTACTGGATATGAAACTAATTTCATGAATAAATAGCCTCAATATATTGCTAATAATTATGTAAACTCAAGTTCAAAGTAAATAATGAGGAATATGTCCCCTTCTCCTGAATCTAAATAAATGTTAAATGAAAAAGTAACTTATAAATATCGCATTTAAGCAGCCATTAATTGATTCTCAATTCTTATTTATGAAATAGTTAAGCACAAATTAAAGTAAAAGGAGAATGTAAGCATTAAACAACAATAATAGTTATAATAGAATAATAGAAAAGCCACCAAAGGTAATTTATTAGCTTTATTTAAAATTAAATAAATTTAAATTGGGCTATTTATTTACATATTTAATGTTTTTTCAAATTTATTTTCATTTATACTTAGAATTTATGTTCATTTTAGATAGGATTTAGCATTAATTATAATTATTTTAATAGGATGGTTATGCACCTCAAGCATAAAATATATCTTAAAATATATCTTAAATATATGGGAGAGCATCATCAGTGAATAGATATAGCTAAAGATAAAAATACGGAAGTAATTAACCATATCTATAAATAAATAACTTAATAACAACAACTCAATAAATTAATTATAATGTTTTATTAATTTACAAAGAACTGATTGATTGTTATATTCGTTGATAATTCTATTAAAACTATTTCTATTTATATCTAAAATATAGCAAATAAACCAAATTAGAATTCATCTAATTTAAACCTGAAAGACGATAATCTTGCCTAATATTAAGAATCTATGTTGAAAAAATCTTCATCTTTCAAAGTTGGGAATAATAGTACTAAGGCTGCTCCTAATATGCTTAATTAAGTGAATATGAATTGTAATAATTCAAAGGTTTTAGATAATTCTTTTTCTTAGCACAATAATTCTTTCAATATGAATTAGAATGCTCCGAATAATGTTAGTAATGCTCTCAATGAGCTTCTCAATTAGAGTTGCACAAATTCTTACAATAATTGTTAAAATAATTCTAATTATTCCTCTGATCGTCGTCTTTAGCAAAGAAGAAAAGCTTCTGCTTCTAATCATCAAACATCGTTTGCACTTTAAGAAAATCAAATAAATGCATCTTATTATTAGCAGTCTGCATCTGCTTATAATTCAGGATAATAATCTACAACCAGTTAATATAATTCAGGAGTTCCTTCAAAAGGCTAGTCATATAATTTAGCATCTTCTCTTACAAACTAAAATAATTTTTAATATAACACCAATAATAATTCAAGTGCTAAAAATCAGACCTAGTTTAACTATGACATGAATCATCCAGAAACAAATAAAGTAAATTAATTATTTTTTCATTTTAAATAAATTAAAATATATTTAATATGTATCAAATAGATTGAAGGCCTAATACCAGGAAGTTTCGTAACTAACAAGAGTGATAATTAATAAATCGACAGATAATAAAGAATAAATGCTTTGTAAAATTATGTAAAGAATGTTAACTAACTCGTATAGGATGAAAATATTCCAGGAAATTCGTTATTAAAGGAAGCTAATATTTCAACAACAAGCTAATAAAATCATAATGATCTGGATAAGCTCTTTATAAATCAATACTCTAAACAAGATAATAATCCTTATAGAAAAAAGCTCTATAATAATATGAGCAATACTAGCTTTAACAAATCTAATAACAGTAATTAGCCCTTTAAAGTTCTATAGAATTATTAAAATATGAGCACTGAAATAAATTTGAATCCACAATCTATAAATATTAAACCTTCAAGTACAAATAATAATTAAAATAAAAATTAAGAAATAAGCCATGTTTTATAAGAGTATGATGTCAACACAAAATAACTGTAGTAATAATACACAAACTAATCAACAAACTATTCTACTGTACTAAAAACTACCTTTTAAAATACTAATAAATTTAATACATCTTTTAATATGAGCAAAGACTCTGTTTCCATGGCAGAGTCAAACACCAATATAGAAGAAATGCATTTTTATGCAGTTGAATTTTAATAAAACTGTAAAAAGTGGTTATCTTAAATTGAATAGCAGTTTTGAAATCGAATATGTATCATAAAAGTATCTATAAACATTTAGAAAAAATATATTTTTCATAAAAAGATAGAAACAAAATATGCATAAAAATATAATCATAAAAATAAAAATTTAATCTATATAAATAAATAAATAATTATTTGAATTCATTACCTAATTAAAAAATATATTAAAAAATAATGTATATACATAAATAACTAAGTAAATTATAGTAAATCATTCATAAAATTGTTTGCTTTATGAATATATATTTTTACTCCATCAATTAAAAAATTTAATTATTTTTTTCTTTTTATCTAAATTATTATTCACTTTTTATTATAAAAATTTATTTAAAAAAATTTGATTAAAAAAAGCTTTTTGAAAAAAGAAAAAAAAATTAAAAAAAATGTAAATCAGAAACATAATGATTTCAAAAATCTAAACTATCTTATCCAAAAATACATTATTTAGAAAAATAGATTTTAATACCCCTAAATACTGCCGGAGTATAAACTCACCGCTCTCCTTAAGTTTTTAAAAAGATCAATAAATAATGTAAATCAAAAAGATAGTTTATTTCTTTTTCCACTTTCTTCTATTACCCAGTCTCTTTTTCTAGGCAAACTAATTCCGAAGCGAATAAATAGAAGATTTTAGAAATTAGATTTAGTTCATCATCATTATCATCTTGCTCGAAAGTCTAACAAAATATACTACAACTATTTACCATTTAAAATTAAAATGATTTACATTTAAAAAAGCATATTGAAAAAATATAAAAAAAGAAAATATGAAAAAAATACGAATAAATAAATATTAAATAAATAAATAAATATAAATTAATTAAATATATTAAAATAAAAAGAAAAAGTAAATCAAAATGAAAATGAAAAAATAATTAAATAATAAAATAAAAATAAATATACAACAGTTGCGAATATAATTTTAACTTCATCTTGCTTTATTTTATCATTTTTCTATCGTATATTAGCATCAGTTTTAACATTTAATAAAAAATTTAAAGTAAAATTAAAATGAAAAAGATAAAAAGTGATTAATTTTAGATAAATAGTTTGAAATGTTTTTCCTTTCTTATAAATTTAATTATATTTTGAAAATTTGTTTTGCTTAATATTTTAAATGTAATTTTAATATATATCTTTTATGAAATTTTGTAATATTTTCTTAATTAATTTTTTTGGAAATAAATTAATTCCTAACTGATTTTCATAAATAAAAATTTCGTAAATAAGAAACTTAATTAAATCAAAATATTCATTTATTTAATTTTATAATTATTAATTAACAGTAATAATAAGTTTTTAAAACTCTCCTCCAAAACCACCAAAAAATACGAATACATTTTACTATTTCATGGCGAACGTAATAGTAGAATTCCCGGTTCCGATAAAAAAACATTTTCAAGGAAGCAACATCCTTGCGTTTTCAAAATTTTGAAGAGAGATTTTCTAATACTATTTTTCTACTTAAATTTTAAATTACTAAGATCTATTATAAAGAGGAGTTTATATATGTATATTAATTAGGAAAATATCATGAAGATAGGGAGACATCTTAATAAAAAAATATAAAAATATAAAAAAAAGAGAGATAAAAAAGATAAATTTTAAATTAGCTTCTAATAATTTTAATACAAAAAATATTTTACATGAAAAGATGAGATTGAACAATTTTAAAATCCATATTTTATTAAAAAAGAAGAAAAAAATGATAAATTAGAAAAAATACAAAAAATAGCAACACAAAAGCTAATAAGCATTGAATAAAACTAAAAAAAACAAAAAATAAAATAATTATGACCAAAATTGATAGAAAATAGAAATTATAATTTAAGCAAACTAACAAACATAAATATAAAATAAAAATATATTTCTATAAAAAATGGCTATTTCTCCAATATTTTATATGCCTTAATTTATCATAAATGATAAAAGTTTGTAAAAGTGCACAACAATATAAATTTAAATAAAGGAAATATTAATTATTTAGAAACTTTAAAATGATAGATTTTGAATGTATTTGAGTGATAAAAATATGTTAAAAAATAATCAATATTATTTTATTAAATTATAAATTTAGCCTAAGATTAAGTTTTTGTTAAAATTGAACTAATCTATTCATTTTAAATTACATTTTTCTTTTTTACTACTTGAATGAGGATTTTAGTATATTTTTAAAAATCAGCTGATTTACCTTTTATCATATTTGTAATTTAAAAACTATAAGTATGTAATTTATTAGATTAAAGTTTTTATAATTATGTGGGGGACTTACATAAAATGCATGTTTAATTTTTTTTTTGTTATTATAATTAATAAACATTCTTTTTTATTTGGAAAAGTCAAATATTATTCTAATGATACAAACTGGTGTTTTAGTCATTATCTTAAATAGCAAGGATTAAATTTTGCTAGGAAGAAGGATGGATAATAAATTGTACATAATTTAATTTTCCAACTTATTTTTTTAAATATAAAATTTTTATTATAGGCTGTCTCTTCCTGGAGGTAAAATAGAATTTGGAGAATCCTTAGAAGCTTGTGCTAAGAGAGAAGTTAAAGAAGAAACCGATTTGGATTTAGAAATTAACAAAATAGGTTAAGTAGGAGTAGTTAATGTAAATAGACCCTAGATGGGCTTTCACTCTGTCTGCATAATCCAATGTTATTTCGTTACAGAAGAAGAAAGCAATCACATAAAAAATACAGAGCCTCATAAATGCTATGGTTGGCAGTTTTATGACATTGATGCTCTTTCTTCATAAGAAATTTAGTAATAACTTGGTCACGCTATTAAAGAATTCCTTCTCAAATATTATTAAAATGATACAAAGAAACTTTTAAACCACTGCAAATCTTTATTGCAAATTAATTGATAATATTTATTATTTATATTTATACCTTAACTTAAAGTATTTACTTATTAAAAATAAAACAAAATCAATTGTTTAATTATTCAATCAATCAAAAATTAAGAATATTCATTTACTGTTCAACCATATCTCCTTTATAAATGTTAAAAGTAGTAATAAATATTTATTTTAAAACTCAAAATAAAATAAATTATGATTATTTTAGAGTAATTAATTATATTGGAAGCTTATAAGTAATAAATAATTATTTTATTGATAATTTAAAATGTGTACTATTAAAAAAGTAATTTGTATGATAGTTTACAATTTTGAGATCATGAGATATCTTATTTTGAAATGTAAGATATTTGAATACTTTAGAATGCCTTTATTTAAGTAGAAAAAATTTAAGACAATTTTATCTCTTTATTCGAATTACTTTCTTTGTTTTTGAATCATTAAAAAGTTAAGAAGATTTTTTTTATTTTCTAATATTTTTTAATTTAATTGAGCTAATTAATAGAAAATTTAACAGAGTAAAAGATTAATTCTACTGCAGTTCTGTTTGAGTTTAGATTTTTTAAAACGTTTTTTATTTTTATAAATCTCTCCCTAATACTCTTACAGTATAAAAATGATCTGCAATCAAAGCTTTTTAATAACTAGTGATAGCTTAATAGTAGGCTTAGTCTCTTTATGTAAATAAATAATAAATTTTTATTTTTTAATTAATTTCTGGTGGTAAAGGATTAACCTCTTACCAATTTTTTTTTAAAATATTTATTCTAAGATTTATAAAGATATATTTTACTAGTTCTAAATAAAATATCATTTATAAAGTTTCTAAGATTTTTTAATTTTTTTAAAGATCAATAAATAAATAAATAAATAAATAAATAAATAAATAAATAAATAAATAAATAAAAAATAATATTTTAAATAAGTAATAGCATATTTGGATTAATATTTAATTACTTTATTTACTAACAAATTAATGGCTTATGAAATTTAAAAGTTTTTACTTTTTTTTAATTTGTTTAGTTTAGAAAATCTTAGTAAGAGGTATGAATACAAAAACCTTAGTTAATGAGGATTAGCGTTATTTTATAACAAAAATAATAATTATATTTATCTAATAGATTCTCCATAAATCTTGTATAATATTTCTTATATCACATTTTTTATAAAAACTCAAATTATTTAGGATAATAGCGATTAGTTAATAGTCTTATTATTTATTAAACAATTCATACCAATAAAATTATGATAAACTTCAATCTTTTTGTATAAATAATTAAATTTGAATTAAATTAATAAAAAAAATGAAATCAATTTTTAAAAAGTTAGACATATTTTCTTCATAATTTTAATTTAATGTAGGGCATAATCAGCCAAATAAAGGAACTTTAACTGGTTTTGCTTTATCTTCTTTTGTGATACTGACAACAATAGCATATTTTATATATGAAATTATGCTTTTTTCAAGTAACTAAATAGAGCCCAACTTTAGATCTCAAAATTTTATAACTGAAGGACTAGTAGAGACAGGTTTAAATAATGACTTGATTGGTTTTAAAATGGATCCTGGTGAATCTTATGCACTTTACACCAATGCAACAAAGACATATCTTATTTATATGGCCTTCTTTCGCTATTAAACAAATGACACTTCTTAATTTATTCCTATTAAAGTAATTAACTGTACTAACCCAAGTCTTTAAGGTTATCAGTGTTTAGATTTTTCAAGCCTTTCAAATTATACATTTGCTCTTAATACTAAATAGAATTTGTATTCTTAAATATAAATATTTACATATAGCTGTTTAGACTTGGATTCAGTTAAAACTACAATTCCTGATAACTGTGCTAGTTAAGCTGAAAGTGATGCATTAGTCAATGGCGTAAATGCTGGTTTGAAATTTAAAATATTCACTTCTTAATACAATACAACATCTTAAGAAATGTAAGTAAACTATAGGAATGTTAATATTTATACATTTTCTAGCTAATCAATCATAACTATTTTAAATATGCAAACTCAAACTACTTCAGTTAAATAAGGGCTCATTATATAAAATGAATCCAAATATTCTTCTCCTATACAATATAATCAAATTAGTTAAAGTATGTAAAGGTAGTCAGCCCTAAAAGATGGAGAAGGCCCATACAGCTTGATTATGCTTTAAATCGATGAAATTATATAGAGAGTACAAATTCAATACTCAACACTTCCATAAATACTAGCTCTTGTAAATGGTATTTTCTCTCTCTTGTTACTACTGGGTATTATTGGACGATTAATTTCATCAAAACGAATAGAACATGACTTTTTTACGCTGTTCTTAAAAAACTTTTATACTGGTAAATACTTGAGTATACTCAAATAAAATAAACTTCTTCAATAAATATAATCCCCTCTAATTAACAAATAAGTATCTAAAAATGAAAATGAAATTTTGAGTAATAATTTAATTAACCTCCCTGTAAAGAATGGAAATATGAAAAGTGATTAGATGAGTAATTAAGAACTTAATAATGATAAAAAGTAAGATATTGAATTAATTGAAAGCAATTGCGATCAGTTCGTAGAAAATAAAGAAGAGCCAAATGATAATTGCATTCAGTTTCCTAACTTAGATTTCAAGTTTAAAAAGCAATTAGATAATAAAAAAAATAAACAAGTAATAAATTCTTAAATTTAATTTGATTTGAGTGAAAAAAATTTGTGTGAATAAGAAAAAAAATTGGAAATAAAAAAAGAGGAAAAATTTAATGTAAGAGAAAAGCTAAATATTAGTCATAACTAAGATATTTTTTTAAAAATATAATAATAATAAAGCATTATGTAAGATGAAGAGGCAGTTACTCCATAATAGAGGGAAAACATAATAACTAATTTTAACAACTAATATATTTCACCTCAGGAGAGAAGCCCATAAAATTAAATGATATAAGAAGAAAATACAAATTTAAACAAATAACCTAGTACAGTGGTTTTTAATTAAGCAACTAACCAATAAATTGTATAAACAAAAGGTTAATCTTATGCTTATCTTTTAACTGATAGGAAATTTTAAGAACCTAATGACTTGGGTTACTTGGATAACAATATTAATAAGCTAAAGGCACTTCAAAGTAAAAGCCTGACAAAATAAATTATGAATAGCATTTTTAGTTTCAAGTAATTTATTTTAGCTCATTTATCAATTAAAATTTATGATTTTATTTTTGCATTATTTTAAACAGACTTTATAAGAAGAAAAATTAATAAATATCTGATGATCTTGGAGAGCAACAGAAAAAAATAATTTTAGAACATGTTAACTAAGATTTAAATATTTTTTCATTTTATAAAGATGTTATATTCCTTAAAAAGGCTGTTATGCTTATGTTAGATTCCTAATAATTAGCAGCTATAAAGCTTTTAGGTTTTTCTTCAGATTTTTTAGACTCAGACTTCAAAAATATAAGCCCAAATGACCTAGAGCAACTAAGTAAGTTAGATTTAAATTAAAAAAATGAATTGTATTTTATAAATTATAAAAAAGCTAAAGATAAAAAACTAAGTTACTTGGAGGAATAATTTATAATATATTAGTCAGACGAGATATAATAATAAAAACTTTCATAATTTTTATTAAGACTTTAAAATCAAGAAAAGGGTAATGATATTGATTTTAGAATATTATCTTCTATACCATGAAAAATATTACTTACAAAAACTAAAAGTGTTTTTTTAATTTTTTCATAAATATTATTATTTCTTTGTTTTTTTATAGCGTGTTAATTGAATTTTATAAATATTAAGGTTCTTATCTTTTCTTAAAATTTATATTTTTACAAAAAATACAGAATTAACTGATTCAAATTTATTTAATTACTCAATCAATCATATATTAATAATAAATATATTACCCAAATATTCAAGTGTATAACTTAGTATGTAGCAAAAATTCCATTCACTTCATCTGATGTGAAAAATTTAAATAGAAATTGTTTGTTAAATAGTAATTTTTACTGACAAATAAGATAGTTAGTTATTTTTGGCTCTGCTTATGTATTTTAAAAAACTCAATAACTATGAAAAATATTCATCAGAATAACTCTCTTATTTTTTAAACAATAAAACATATGAATCAATCTCAAAAAAAAATCTGATAATTATTTATATTCAGTTTTTAATAAATTGGTAAGAATTTGATCTAAAATTTTATAATAAGATAGACAATTTTAATTTTATGTTTTTTTATAATAATTCAAGTTAATTAAAAATAGAAAGTTTATTAAAAATAAATATTATTGCTGAATAGTTATCTTAATAATTAAATTGATAGTAATCATAGATTTTATCCCAAAAAATACCTTAATGAAAAAAAAGAATCAACTTTTTCAAATATAAGATAATATTTTTTATTGAATTTTTACTTTTTATAATCAATAAAACTTAAATGCAACTTAAAATAACCAAAATAATTACAAAAGAGGTAGCCACATTATAACATGAAATTTGACTAGCAAAAAAGAGCTTTACAATTTTACTTTATTTTATAAAAGTTAATAATATATTTCTAACTCAAAAAATTTAATATGAATTAAAAATATATAAAATAAAAACATTTTGAAATTTCATTGTTTAAAAATAGGCATTTTATTTAAAATTTTAAAAAGTATTTATTATTTTTTATTAAAATCTCAAATTCAAAATAATTCAAATCTTTTAAATAAAATATTTGATTTCCATTTTTTTTTTGTAAGTAATTTTATTAAATTTTTAATACATAAAAATTTTTTAAATATTGTTTCTATGTTAAATTCTACTTTAGTTTTATTTTTTTAAGAAAAAAATTCCAATTATAACACAAACTACTTTAATTGAATATAAAACATTTTATTTTTTGAAAGGTTTTTAAAGATTATTAAAAATTAAATTCAAAAAGTTATATTTAGTCTATTTTATTCTTTTGCATATAATAAAGCAAATAGATTGTCTATATTTATAATTAGAGTGTCTAATATTTTTTTATTAATTAAATTAAAGGACTATATTTTGTTATAGAAATATATACAAAACTGGTTTATCATTCAAAAATTATAATGATATCAATTTATCCATACTTTTATTTTATAATCCATTTCTTAAAAATTCATTTTTTACATATGTTAAATGTTCTTCAGTGATGTCATTTATTGGTAGATCAAATAATAAACTAAAATATTTCCATCCTATAAAAGAGTATGTTTTGACTTTATGAAATCTGATAATAACTTTTCTATGCCATTTTTCTATATAATAATGAAAATCTAATTAAATTTCGAGTTTAAGGGTTAATTATTTGTTTTTATAATTAATAAAACAAATTAAAAAAAAAAAATCTAAATAGTAGAAATAAGCTATAGAAATGAGAAAAAATCTTAATTAACAATAAACCAACAAGGCATAAGAACAAAAAAATAAAAACAATAATAATTAAATTGGAAAAACTAGTTTTTCTTAGGCAAAATAAACTCTAATGAATATGGAGGCTTTTTATAATGATCAAGATCTATTTGGTACTAATCCTTAATAGCCTAACCAAGATTAGTAAAAACCATAAACTGAGGACAACTAGAATTTGGTTTTATAACCAAATTAAAATTAAGCTTTTAATGTTCCTTATCATTAAAAAAGCAGCAGCTAAAGTGGGCCAACAACCTTTGCTACTGCTTTAAATAGTGTAAATAATGTCAATTAGTTTTATAATAATATTCAAAATAATTCTAATACAAATCAGCCTAATATAAACAACCAAAACCAAATTAAAGATAGTAACCCCAATTAGAATCAAAACAATAGCTCATCGCAACCCTCTTCTTTCTCTTCTTTTAGCGGCTAAGGAATCTAAATAGGAGGTTCTTTACCTAATAATTAATAAATAATTAAAAACAACAATTTATTTGAAAGAGTATATTAAAGCGAAGATAAGATAAATAATATTTAATAAGCAAATAATAATTTGTATTTATCCTTCTCTAAGTACTTTTAAAAAGAACATGCTAGCCTTTTTTAAAAGAATATCACAGATCCTAAATTGATTTATCACTGGAATGCTTTATTCAATTCAGGTAATTTGCTTAGATAAAATATTTAAATTAATAACTTTTTTTTTTAAAAATAGTTCAAAGTGAAGAAAATCTATTTTTTAACTTTAGTAAATTCTAAAATGATTTTGATATGATTTATTACAATTTAGGAGATGGAGAAAAATTTACTGACTAAACGTTCCCAAACGATTAATCAGTAATTAAAAAACAAGGATAGTATTGCTTTAAAAGAGCAAGTGAGATTTATACTAGTGAGTTTAACATCTTTGATTTAGGTATCGAACCTAATTAAATTCAATAAGGAAGACTTGGCGATTGTTATTTAATATCATCTATAATTGCAATAGCAGAATATCCAGAATTCTGCGCCCGTTTATTTGTTTCTAAATAAAAAAATGATAAATGCGTATATGGAATTTGGTTATGTGAGAGTGGAGAGTGGAAATAAATAGTTATTGATGACTATTTAGTTTGCTAATAAAATAGTTACTCACCTAGCTTTGCATTATCAATAAGAAATGGAATATGGGTATAATTATTGGAAAAAGCTTATGCAAAAGTAATTTTCTTAAATATTAATGTAAAATTAGACAATTTTATATTTATAATAAAAGTGCTACGGCGGTTATGGTAACATTGAAGTTGGCTACAGCTTTGATAGTTTAAGAGATTTAACTGGGTCTCCTACAGAATATATAGACATTAAAAAGAATTACGGAGAAGCTTTTGACTTAATAAAAAAATCAATATAAAAACAGTTTATACTTACAATCAGTTCAAAAGTATCTGCTAATGACATAAACTCTAAGCATTCTTTTACAATACAAGACGCTAGAGAAGTTATGAATTCTAAAGGCTAACAAGTCAAGCTATTAAAACTAAAAAATCCTCTAGGCTATAACTTTTAAATGAATAAAATTTAAGATCAAACTATGGAAAATAATATTGGCGAATAATTACGTTAAAAAAATGGTGTAATCTGGATGACTTAATAAGAAGTTCTTGCTAATTTCGAAGTAGTCACTGTTTGCCACACACACCCAGGATATATATGTGGATCATATACAACTTTAAACAAAACAAGGGAGTATTTCTATATTTAGAATTTGGTTGAAGGAAATCACTGCTACTTTTCAGTAATATAAAAACATGAAAAATTTTATAAGTAAGGAAACAATGACCAAACATATTACTACAAGACTGCAAGACTAATTATTACCCAAATTAACTCTGATTCAAAGCAAATTATTGAAGTTTTAGGAGGATCTTTTTCCAATAAGCAATAAGTATTCTTTGAAGTTTAAAATCTTCCTAGTGGAGAATTTTTAGCTTTTGTAGAGATTGATGAAAAGATGGCGCCATAGAAAAACTAATTCACTTTCTAAACATACTCTAAAAATGTTTTATCGATTATTCCTGCTTTTAATATTTTACAATTAAAGGTAAAAGAGTCCGAATTAATAGAAATTATATTTAAGCTATATATTCAAAAAATAGATTCCTCTCCTGAGTGGAATACAAAGGTAAATGTTAAAAATATTCATATTTCATCAATTAATTATTAATCATTTAAAAATAGGTTTATGATAACACTAAAGGAACAGGAACTGTTGTTAGAGATTTCTCTAGTCTTTTTGGTTATGCTTTCATATCATATAGAAATAAAAGTGTTACGTAATTTACTGAAACTATAGAAGTTGCTGAATTCGTCAATTTAGATTTACTTGATTTTGATAAGATATCAAAATAAACAAAGATTAAAGTTGTGCTTGAGCCTAAAGAATCTAAAGTTTTATTATTTAGAATACTTGAAAATAAAGCTTGCTCTCATTCACTTAAATTTAAAAGTACCTGGTTTTTCGGATCAGGTATTGTAAAAATGCCTGTCTAATCTAATTAAAAACCTACCTTAGTTAAACAAACAATATCTAAACCAGTAATTACTAATAAGAAAGTTGTTAAAAAATGAAAGAAAAAAAATACTTATTAAATTTTTTAATTTGTTTTAATCAATTAGATTTCAAATTAAATATTTAAATTATTTTTTATAATTCAAATATATGTACTTTATCTAAAAACTAACCTATATTCTAAAACAATTTACTGCTTAATATCATATATTGATGTCTTTTCGTTTTGAGTGATTATTATATTATTCATTAAAATTTTAAATTTATAAATTATTTGGGAAATCTTAAAATAAAATTTTTGATAAATGAGATAACACATTAAACATTAATAATAATTACATAAATACATATTTATTTATTTAATTTAATTTTATAGATAGATAGTGATTAAAATATATTTATAAATTCATTAAAATATTTTTAATTTTTCATTAAATTTTTAATTTCTTTATGCTTCTAGAAAAATTAGAAGAAAAAGAAGTATTTTATTTAAATTAAGCTTGATATTTTTTATTATTAGAGTTGGAATATATTTATTTTTGTGGTTAATATAAAAATTTTCTTTAAAAATTGAAATCTTAAAGATATCTATTAAGATATTAGAAGATATTTAAGGAAATAAAAAGCAAAGCGAATCAAAATGGTTAGTAGAAATTCTAGGCATTTCTTTGGTTCTTAAATGGACTTTTATTAAAAAAAATAAGTTAAAAATTATTGATTTTTCAATAAACTTACGTAGCAGCAGCACTAAAAGGTTAACGAGATGTTGAAACTCCTAAATTGACTTTTTAAATTGCTCCAGGTGTAGCCACAGTATTGTTTGTTGTATTTGCTATTTAATTTATACCATTATTTTGATACTGTATAACAGAGGGAGAGGGATACTGATTAAGATTAGGGGTTGCTTGTTGTATTTTATTTACTATTGTCTTTTAAGATTAAACAGTTCTTATGAAATTGTTTTAAAATTAAAATTGGTTTGATTGATTAGGTAAAGTGTTCATTGAATTCTAGCCTAAGACTTAGATTGCTTATGAAAAATTTGAGTATGGAACTTAATTGATTTAATTATTTCTTTATGAGCAGGTAGAGATGGTTGGTGCAGTTCCTGTATATTACTAATATGAAATATTTTACAAATTAATTAAACCTACTTAATTCTATTGTATGTGTTAATGCTGTTATTAGCTATAAATTTGAGGGTACTAAACAGCTTAGCCAAATTAGCTTTGAAATCCGACATATTTTTTACCATTTTATGAAAGAGAAAGGGAAGAAATACAATTTTTATCATGAATATCTCTTAAAGGAGAGATGACTGTGTTTGTATTTTAATATTCATTCATTGCAATATTTGGTTGCAATAATAATTATTCAGAATTCTTCTAATTTTAAGCAATTTAATGAATCTGTTCCTATTAAGCTTCATTATCTTAAGAATAATTAGAAGCTTAATCATACTAATCACAATCTTCTTGGAAGTTAGAAGAATTGCTTTCATCAATAGAATTACTATTTCCATAATTTTAATTAATTCTATCTTCTTCTCCTAATTGTATAGTGTTATATGAGTATAAGCGAGGGGTTTAAGAATTTTCAACATTTTGCTGAGTGTATTAATAGTTAGTGTTAGTATATGATTAATCTTCATGCTCAGTAATAGTGGATTTCATTGTATAAATAAGATAAGGGTTGTTTTTTAAATTGTAATTCATGGGCTGAGATACCATATTGTTATTAAAAACGATTTGTTTGCTACTACTTGGGGTCTAGATTGTATTTTTATTAGTTAAAAATTCTTTTTCTTCATAGAAAGTATCTCTCTTATTCATATATTCAGTTGGTTTTGCTTGATTATGATAAGAAATAGACTATTAAAGCATTTGCATGTTCTTGTTGATCTGAGGTATTATTTCGTTCAATTTAGTAGTTATAGATTTGTAATTTTCGTCTAATACCACTTATTGTGTATTTTAGGTAGAAGTAGTATTAGAGTAGATATTGTTACTATTTTGTTAGTTATCTTTGTGCATATTAAACTAAAGAGAGCCAATCACTATACCTTCCTTATTAATAATTTTAGTTTATCCTAAATAAACTACACTGTTTTAATTGTTATTAGAAGAGTTGCTACTTGAACCACTGCTAATTATGCTTCCTGTAATATTTGATAACTGAGAGGATTTACCATCAACAACACTGCTAATATTTGTTTAGCTATTGCTTTGTAAAATGGTAAAACTATTATTGCTATTGTTATTATAGTATTTGTTATGAACGCGCTGAGAAATAACATCAGTTAAATCAATAATTCCACCACCAAGATAATCTTTTTCATCATAACTAGAGTCAAAAAGATCTCTCTCAGTCTAATACAAGGTATAATTATGTATTTCAACAGTGATTAGCTTTTCTAGCTAGTCTTATTCAACTCTCAAAGATAAGCAATCGTTCCAAAAAGCAGAGTTACTTACGACCTTGCAAACTGAGCTAATAATATTTTATCCATTAATCTTCATAACAATATAAGGATTACAGGATTAGTTGCTGGAACATGGAATAGAAGATGTGAAAATACAATTCAGCCCTCTAATTGAAAAGTAGTTTTGATTTGACACCTAAGGAGATTAGATTTAATTAGTAATGTTAGAACTGCCATTGCTTAAACTGCTATTTGTGATGCTACTTGTCATTTAATTTTGCATTAGAATTATATGTTAGAGGTGACTGATTCTAATTTTAATGCTATTTGCCCTTGTTTTTAATATCTAACTAAGCTAATACTTTTGAGGTCTTAATAAAAAATATTATTACTTTTTAAGATTAAGAGAAGAGAGTATGTTTGACTTTTTTTGTTTTATATATTTTTTGAATATAAAGTAAATATTAATTTTTCTATTAATTTAGATATATAATTTATTAGTTATTAATTTACCTTTATATTTAATAAACAATAAATACAATACAATACAATCAATATCTATCTATTTGAGTTTTATATGCACTGATTTATTTATTGATAACACATCTGATATTACATTTATAATTTATTTGTGTTTTTGAAAATTAACAATCAAAACTTCGCTAAATTTGGTATTTAGTCGTTGATTTTTTTAATTAACACTCTATCTTATCCAATAATTAAATTTTTATTTCCTTTTTCAGCTCTTTGTAAGATTAATATATAAATAAACAAAATCATATCTCTAACCTTTTATTTTTTATTAATTTTATTTTTATTCATGTAAAAAGGAATTTCATAAATTTTATTTGATAAAAATCCATCTTAATTAATTAAATTTTTTTACTGAACACTATTCAAAAAAGATACCTAAATTTAATAAGAAGAAAATTTATTTTATTCAAATAATATTTTTATAAAATCAATCTAATTTTTTTTAAAGAGGAATTAAAAATAAAATAAATTGAAAGAATTTGTTTTTTCAACAAAACGAAATTATTTTTTTAAAATTAAACTAAGAAAATAATAAAATTATTTCATTTTTTAATTGCTAATTCGTTTTTTAAATTAAACTTCACAATAAAAATTAAAATTAAAATAAATTAAAATATTGATATGAACTAAGTACTAATCAAATTGTCAATAGATAATTTAAATTTAAAAATTTATTGGCTGAAATTCATTCAAGCAATTAAAATAATGCAAACAATAAGATAATTTATATGTGTTAATCATTTAATATGTTTGATTTATAAGTTAATTAAAAAAGCAAAATATTATTGAATTATAAATTAATTAATCATAAATTATTTCGATTACTTTCGTTTGAAAATTTATGAATTTAAATTTAATAGTAGAATACCTACTTATTTTCATGTGAAAATGTGTATTTTTAACTAATAAATTTTCATATATTTCATATGAATTGATTTACAAAAATAAAGAAGTTTTATATAATATTTACAAATATTCAAAATTGTGAATCATTTAAAGAAAAGTTAATATTGTTATCTACTTTGTTTTAAATTAAATCTTCTATGTTTTTAGATTATAAAATTATTCTGTTTTAGTTAATAGATATGTTTTATTGGTCCTGACATTCTTTTTATATGCTTGAATCAATCTTTTTTATCTAAAATAAAATATTTTAATATAAAATTTAAGAATAATAAATTTACACTGAAGTTATTATTTTATAATGGGCATTAATTAAATGATCCTGATGAATGCTTATTGGCTGAATGATAGCTATTTTCATTTATTTTTTTGTGACTTGAGCTACTTTTATTATAAGTATTTAAGTTTTCATTATGCAAAGAATTGCTCTCTTACAAATTTAATTATTAAATATTAAGGCTTTCAACTTAATTTCCTAATACAAAATTATTTTAAGAGCTTTCTTTTTCTTGGTTTAAAATAGAGTTTTATTGATTTAAATCTAATTCTGAGAGTTTTATTGGGTCATCTAAAGATACAATTTCATTTTAATTTATGCATTTCATTTCAGAGCAAGCTATAGATTATACTGCATTTATTATTTATTGGGATTCATTTTCTTAGTACTAAAAATTTGAATTCTCTTCATATTACATAAAGTTAGTTGATTAAACTAAAGGAAATATTTAAGGCAATCCTTTTTTGACATAATGAATATCAATCGATTGCTGTGTTTCAGCTCTTGGTATTTCTTAATCATTCGATTCTTCAATCTATTCAGCTATTTCTTCTTGGATCAACTCTTTATTTTCTAATTTACTTTTTAACTTCAATATCTGAGATATATTCCTGTTTGAAATATTGACTTCTCTTATTTTTGAACTATAATCATAATCATAATTGTAATCATTTTCATTGGTCGTTTCATTATTTATTTATTTAATATAATCTTCATTTTATTAGTTTTTTGGTTGTATTCTACACTTATCTGAGCTCATCTATTTTTTAGAAGCTGATTTACCCAAAGTTGGTGAAATATCATATTCCTCAAAGCTTTCTAATAGGACTCGCTAAATATTTTTATCATAGCAGTTGAAAATATTGTTTTGATTTTACTCATTTAATTAAACCTAAGGGTTGAAATTTTTTTAATTTATGTTAATTTTATAGTTATTACAATATGGTTCTTATTTTTCTTGAATTTCAGAAATTTTTTCTGTTTAATTTGAAGAAGTATCAGCCTAATTACTATCTTTAGTTAAGCATTTATTTAACTCTTTCATAAGTCCTTGAGAATATTTATCTTTTTTAATGTTAAATGGAACTTCTTCTGTTGAATCTAACTCATTTATCTTTTAACATATATCATCATAATTCTTTCTGACACTATATTCTAAACTTATATAACTTCTAGAGAGTTTTTCAACTATTTCATTTATTCTGCATACTTATCTATTGAATTGCTTGAAATCACTAATAGTCTATTATTTATTTATAATTATTTAGCATTATCATTAATTTATTAATTACTTTCTGATTCTCTAGTTTGTATTGCTCAAAGATGGAAATATGCTCAAAAGTATTCTCTTCAATCTTATTTATTCTTTCTTCTAAATTTTAGTATTTTTAGTCAAGAGTCTACGTTTTCAATTCAGTTTGTGCTTTGAGAAACTTTGATTTCTGTTTTTCAAAAGTTTTTATTGTAAATCAAACCAAAAAAAAAAATTTTACATCAAAGCTCATTTTAAGATTGTAAATTTTATCATCCAACTATTAGACTGAGATATTTTCCTGGACTACTTAATGAATATTTTACAATTATGCATCTATCTATTGTTTTTTTTTGTCTAACTCTTTAACAACTTGTCTTTTGATTTCTGGAATTATTTATTCCTTTAGGCATGAGCTAATTTATTAGATTATGCTTTATTCTCTGATAGCAAGCTACTCTTCTAGAACTTTTCTAAAGTCTTTCATAGTCACATACTACTAAGGAAAGATATGAGAGCTACTGCTAGCAGAGGGAACTGTATTCTGTGGGAAAATAGATTACTTAGTAGTGCTTATTCTACTTATATTATTAACATTATCTTAGTAGCTATCTATACTTGTTTTATTAGCTATATCTATACTATGAGTTTATGAATTATGTTTAGATGGAGGTATATAGTATCCATGATGTGTCTGAGTAGGATAGTAATAGTTATTATGATTTATTTATTTAGATTACTAGCATGGACTAGCTGACTACAAAAAATTAGGTTGCGATTATAAATTGTGGGTGTTCAATTATTATTGCATTTATTACTAGTGTTGAAGTACGCTAGAAAAGGAGTTATTGCAACTGTGATTTGATGATTTACTTTTTTAATCTAAATGATTTTAATGAATGCTCATTTCAGAGTCTTTTAATAATTAAAAAATTAAAATATTTTATTTATAGTTTTTATAGCATTAAGAATAAATATTACTAATTATTTCTTATTCAACTTTTCTGATCATTTCATTGATACTGTGGGCTTTGCGCTATTTCTTATCAATTTGCTTGGAGCTACTGTATTAGCTATGAGGACTACTATTGAAGTAATCTTCTGATGTTTGTTTCTATTCTGTGTTTAATAGGTATGATCCTCTGTTAGGAGATGGTGATAGATACATTTTTTATTCTATATTTATGTATTTTTAATTACAATTAATTTCTTATTAACAGCTATATTTATTAATTTATTGGCTACATATAATTTTAAAAATAAAAAAGATAAATAGTATCTTTAATTACCCTTCTATCCTACTCAATATCCATTAAATATAATTAACAATTTAATTTTACTTAAAAATTATTACACTCCAAAGATTCTTTATTATTATGAATTAACAATCAATTTATCAAAATTAAGCATTGAAAGTTTTTTTTTCTAAAAAAGTTATTTCAGTATTAGATAAAATTTATCAAAGAAATAATTATTTAAAATTTTTATCCTTCAATTTTTACTGCAGAATTGTTTATTAAAAAAATATTAGTTTATTAAATTCAAATAAATTTAATTTATTTTATCAATTCTATAAATAAATTTATTTTTTATCAGATACTTAAAGGATAAATATTTAGACCTTTTTTTGATAATTTAAGCTGAATAAATTCTAAGTAGAAAATAAAAAGCTAAATATTGACAAAAATAAATAGAAGTATTTTGAAATTGTGTTCCTAAAGCATATTTGGATGAAATTTATGTTTTTATGGTAAATGAAAATTTACAATAATGATTATAACATAGTATAGATCTATCCCTTCATTAGCATAATATAGGCAAATTTATCTCTATTTTAAGTGTGAATGACGAGTTTCTAACAAAATTAAATATTATAATTACCTATGAAGCACATGTAAAAGTAAGACTTATTGGTTTTTGTGGAAATATAAAAATTAAATAGAATTATAATCTTTTACTTCAGTTTTTGTAAGAAAAAAGAAAATAGATAGGAAAAAAATAACCAATTAACTAAAAATGAATAATAATAGTAATTAAGAAGGGTAAAATTAAAAGTAAGAAGAGACTTAGCAACAGCAAAACATAATAAAAGGTTCTCAAAGATCTGACGGCACATTTCGAAAAGATATAAAAATAAGAGAGGGATTTGTAAATCTTTTAGAACATTAAAAATATGTAATTCCATCAAGAAGGTATTTTTCAAAATAATTTATGATATTTACACAATTATAAATATTTCAATAATTAAACCTGAAATAATATTTTAGCAAGCAAATTTTAAAAAATTATATATTCTTTTTAAAATATTTTCAGGGGAGATAATGGAAAATAAATTCAAGATAAAGAACCCTAAAGAAACCATTAAAACAGTTAAATAAAGTAATTAAGAAATTTATAAAATATGAACTAAGAAATTTTTTTTAAACTTAAAAGTGATGGCAAAAATTAAAATTACATTTAGCGCAGCTTTAATTATAGAAATTAATAAAGTAATGGTTATTAAAATTAGTCTAATAATTCAGAAAAACAAGATAATAATTAAAGAACTATAATCACTCGCTCAAATAATTACAATAAGTAAAATAATGAATCTAGCAATTATAATAAACTTAACGAAGGCGACTTTCCTGATTTTATAGATAAATTGGATAGCAAAAATACAAATATCAGCAAAGACTAAGCTAAAAATAATTAGAATTCTAATGTTTAGTAAACTAAGTAAAATGATAATTAGTAAAAGTAAATTTCTGACCAGTAATAAAATAGCAGTATCAATAAGGTAAGCTAAAGTAAATAATAATAATAGGCAAAGGAAGATGAAAATTAAAAGAATTCTTCAAAAGAATAAAGCAAGTAATAATTTAATAGCCAAATCTCAAATATCGTATCTACTGATTTAGTAAATAAAGAAAAAGAATAGAAAAAGCTATAAAAAAAAATAAGAGAAATAGAATAGCTAGAACAAAAATAATAAAATGGTATAGAATTATAGCCAGAAGCAATTGATAAAATAAGTAAAAAAGATGATTATATTAAAATGCTTGAAAACCTAACACTCAATTGATAATATTAAATACTTTTTCTATTCTTTGATTTATTTTATATTATTTTACTAAATATAATTTTCATATTTAATATCCTTTGTTCATAATCTATCTATCTATCAATAAATTATTTATTTATTTATTTATTAAATAATTAACCAAATACATTTTTTTTCTTCAAAATTACTTTTTATGTTTTTCCTTTTAATAATCTTAAAATTTTAGTTTAATAACTATTTTTATTTTTGTGTTCGATTTTAAGTTTTTAATCAATATTTAATATTTATATATATTTCAATTTTAAATATTTTTTTATGCTAAATATTTACCATTAATTATACACAGAATTCTATGGTGTCTTATCTATATTATTTATTAATTATTTAAAAGCTAGGATTTTTCTGTTTTTAAATGTTATCGTTTCTCATTTATTACCACCTCCTCTTGATTAAAATGAGAGTTTTTATGCTAATTATGGTTAAAAATTAAATCTAACACTTTGCAAAAATTTCAATTTAAGGCAAATGAATAACATTTAGAATAAAATTAATCTAAGGTGTTAATAAAAGAGGGCATTAATTTATTAGAAAAAAAAAATATTAATTTAATTTTATTTTTTTAAAATTTAGGAGTTGATTAAATATTAATATTTGTAATTTATTTTTAACTTTTAGATAGAACTTGTTGAAAGTTAGTTTATTTTACAAATTAATTTTATATTATGCTAAAATATTTATGAGCTTGGTTGATATTTGCAATCTTATTATTACCCAAAACTATTGTATTTTATAATTGTCTGTCTTTTTTATTTTCAAATATTTCATTTTCTATTTAAGATAATTTATTTGTTAAATGTTAAAAAAAATTTTTATTTTGTCTTTTATTTTATTGAACAATTTGACAATTCTAATTAAGTTAATTCATTCATTTTTATTAATTTTATTTTAAATATTAATTGAATTATTAATTTGCCATATAATTGTTAGCTACTTATTAATTGATAATATTTAATCGTTTTTGAATTATGTATATCAATTAAGAGAAAGATATAATTAAATTTATTTTAGATTTAAAATGATGTTTTAAATTTATAAATACTTTTAAATCTCTTTTTCAGTTTTTCAGGAAATTGGACACAAAAAAAACTAATCAATTTATTTCTAGATTAAATGTTCTTTTTAATTTTTAAATGAAATAAATAAATAAATTTAGCAGTGTTGTATTTCACCAAACTATAATGCATTTAGATTTTTCAAAAATATTTCATGCGTATTTTTTTGTGTTGAATATAAAAGCAAAACAAACAAGCAATATATTCACTAAAATAAAAAAGTATATACTATAACATTTATACAAACAAACATTTATTTTAATTTACAAAAACACATTTAAGTTTATATTTTCTTAAATAAAAGAAAAATTAAATAATATGCTGTTAGATTCTTCAAAAAAAATGAATGATAATATTTTAAATTTTTAAAATTTTGATTAAGTAGATTCAGAAATATAAACAAAATTTAGAGACAGAGTAAGCTCTGTATAAAACCAAAACTCTAAAATAGGGTTTACAAATAGGACAAGCGAAATTTTAAGCAATTAGGAGTTTAACAATATTCAACGTAACTATTTTTTATATTTCAATAATCAAATAGGATTGTTTACCAAAATATGCTAAATATGTTATAAATTTTTCAAAAGAAATGGATACATTTCAAAAATGCATAAAGTTGATTAATCCTTAATAATAAATTGAAAAATTATTTTAGGTATAATAAAAAGATTATTTAATTATTAGCCTTTATATAATCACTTGAATTATGGATTAAATCATTTTTATTAATAATAGCAAGAATGAACGACAGTTAATAGTAGAAGATATTATAGTAGGATTTGGTAAATAAATATATAAAGAATGAAGGAGGAATGCATCATTATAATTAGCATAAGTTTCTTTCTCCTAGAGAAAGCCCTTAGAAAGAGCGCAATCGTTTCCCATTTTTATCTCCATAAGGTAAATAAAATAGTAGCTTGGGGTATGATGATATAAAGTATGGAAATTTTTCAGTAAGATAAGACTATGTTTTAACGGAAAATAAGCAGAATACAATTTAGAATTAATCATATTCTTAATATACTAGTGGAATTGCAAATGTTAGCCATGATACGAAGAATATGAATATCTTAAGCTAAGTTGGAAGCACTTATCTGAATAAGGTTGATCATCATTAGAATAAAAAAATTGAAGATATTTAGTATGGTTTGAAAAAAGTACTTTCTACAGATTCATTATTTACAAGAAAAGTGATAACTGAAAATGAAAATATTAAAACTTAAGGACTAATTGCATATGGATTAAATGGAAATCAATAATAAAGTAGCTCGAATTTGCAGTAATCAACTAATTAAGAGAGTTAAAATGCTAATTACAAGACTATAATTAATACATCTTCATTTGCAAGTAAGTACCAATCAATATAAAACAACCAAAGAAAAAACTGGGAAAATTTTTCAGATGATGAAGATAATTGTATAGATGGTACTTAGTCTCCTTAATATAAATATTAATCTTTAAAATCTGTGATACCTACAAATAATGTAGATGATTAAGGGAAAACTTTTCAATATTTACAAAAATTTTCAAGCTTCCCCTATTCACCTAAGTAATAAATAACAAATTAAAATACATAAAATGGATAAAACGATCTAAATTAAAATAAACATGCTGCTTTAGTTGGTAACAGTAACAAATTTCAAACCAATTAAAATTTAGCTCAGAATTATAGTCTTGGGAACAACTAAAATTTGTCTTCTGCAAATTTCTCAACTAGACTTAATACTTAAGACAGTTAAATAAGCAGCAGATTTACTACAAAAAGTATAAAAAATTAATTTAATGATCATAAGCATGTATCAAATATGAACTCTCCATCTAGAGTTAGAGAAAGCTCTTAGTATAAATATTAGATTTTATAACAAAATTCAAATAACAATGATTAATCTCAATTTAAAGGCAGTAGTGAAGTGCTATCATAAAATGCCACCACAAAAAATAGTTAAGTTTTTACTAATCCTACTTTATAAATATACAAATAAAATAGTGAAACTTTTATAAGTAAAAAATAAGACAACAGTTTCTAAAATTTACTTGGTATAAATTTAAATTATGCAACATAAGCATAGTAGTAATAGAAATCAAATGTCCATTAAATTCACCAGCACCACAAATTCTTAACATATAATGCACCCAAAACGAGTAGAGATATAGATGAAACTACCTAAACTTAGTAAAGAGAAAGCATAAAGGGTTATAACAGTTAATATAATAGTTAATATAATGAACATAGATACTCTCTGACTAAACTAGATAAATATCCTTATAATTATGATTTTTAAACTGAAAAAGCGAGAGCTATTTCTCCAGACAATCCAATTATAGAAAAATTACAGAAAAATAATTTTTAGCAAACAATTAATAAATAAGAAGAAAGTAAAATAATTAATTATTTAACTAATTAAAACTTATTATATTAAACAGAATAGGAAGAATAATTCAGGTAATTTATATAAGATAATTCAAGTTAAAGTAGTAGTGGGCTTTATGGTTCAGGTGGATTTAATTTAGGATTTAGGTTTAACACAGGTTAGTAAAGTGAAAGAATTGCTACAAATCCGAACATCTTTGTAAATAAAGGAAATTTAAGAGAATCTGAATACAAAAATTCAATTGTGAGTTAAAATAATAAACCCAATTTAGATGCTTTTAAAGGTAGTTCTTATCTAAAAAATACTACTGATCCTGAAAAAAACTAATTTTGGAATATATATAGATACCAATCGTTTATTCAAGAAAACAAGGTAATTAATTCAATAATAAATTAAAAACTTAATTAATTTTTATTTTAGCCGAAATGAATAAGTTGAAAATTTAGACTTCAAAATATTTTCAAATTTAGTTTATTCATTTTTATTTTATAAATGAATAAGTTAGTTAAAAATTTATTTAGGCTTCAAAATATTTTCAAAATTTAATTAATTTTTATTTTAGTAATAAAATCAATAATTAAGAATTTAGATTTAAAAATATTTAAAAAATTTAATTTATTAAATTAACTTTTTTTTTTGAATAAACATTTTTATTTACAAAAATTTAATTTTTTGTTTATCTAAAATGTTAAAAATTATTCTAACTTTATCTAGTTTTTCTCAAAGTCAAAAACTCTTATTATTAAGCAATCAATTGTTTTAGTTTAGCTTCAAATTAATTCAAAGTGTTTTTTTGGATGAACTAAATAATTTTATTAGAAACATTAAATATTTTTAAAATAAATAAATAACTTTCTTGAATATTATTATACTCATACTTTAGTTAAAATTTATACTTTAAGAAGAAATTTAAATTAATAAAAATTTTTAAAAAAGAATTATAGTTAAGATTAAATAAATAAAATTGATTAAAACCTTGTTATTCTTGCTTACTAAGATAGCTTTAATGATTAGACCTTTTTCAAATCATTAATCATCATACATTTCTATCAGCTGATTTTGCAAGAAAATTTAGATATTTATAATTTATCTTTGTTTGATATGTATGAATGGGTAAATCAAAAGAGAATATAGTTATATTCTATACCTCTTAAAGATATATAAGAATAGAATCTCCAAGAATCTTACAAAAAGGTCATGTATGACTTGGTTTAGATGAAAAATACTTCATCAAAAGAGAGTTTATTTGAAAGATTCCTATATTACTTTACAAATGATGCAACTTTTAGTGAAGCATTAATTCAAATAATGAAGTAAGTAATAGCACAGTGTTGCAATTAAAAAGATTTTAGTAATGAAATTTAATAATTTAAGCATATGATATTATAAAATTGGTTTGAAATAAAACCTGAATTTCTTCCAATGCTGTCAAATGCACTCAATAAAGTTATTGAAATTCATTATTTACTTGACAACAAAATAGAAACTACTGTTTATAGCAATTTAAAAAATAAGTTCTCTGCTAATAACTAAAAAGTAATCAAAATAGTTTATAATTATAATACCGCTTTAAAAAAGTAATATTATATGCCGCTTCTAACTTATGAAGACTCTGCTTATTTTAAAATATAAAATAATTCTCAAGCTAGAAATAATAACACTATCAGCGTTGTTGCTTATCTTGAATAAAACAAACCCACCTTTAATTCACAACTTTCTGCTTAAAACTAGCAAGAAGGCAGAACATCTATTAATTAGTTAGAAATTTAAAATGCTTAGAAAGATGATCCAATAACTAATGATTATAATTACCCTGATTCTCCACTTGTTATTTCATCTAAGAATTCTACTTTAAAGAGATTAAAAGACTAGGTTATTCAAAGCCATTCCACTTAAGCTATCTAAATACAATCAAAAAGACAAAGCATTGAAGAATCCTCAACTTAATTATATTTAAAAATGAGAATGAGTCCTAAAAAGTAACATTAATAGTTTAGATCTAGCTCTGATTTATGTCAGGTTCAAGGAACAGGTTTTAATAACCAAATAAATAACCAAAATTCGCAAGTACATATGTTTAGTTCCCATTCTGCTAATATAAAATTATAAAAAGAAACTAATATTAACTAAGAGTTAAACTTACCTAAATATGACTATGAACTATTAAACAAAGGAGACTATAAGTTAAAAACAGCATTTTCTTCAGAAGCTTCTTTAAACGTAATTTAATTTAAAATATCATAATACCATATTAAAATTTTAATTAAACAAACTCTTTTTAGAAAATATTTTTACTTTAAATAAATAAAATAATGTAAATAATATTTTTTAAAAAAAGAACAAACTACTTGCATGTTCTCCAAACGAAAAATCTCCTGATAGTTCTGATAGCTATAATACAAATAGCGATAATTACAATTTTACTAAAGATCAAGTTCTAGAATAAAATAACCATAGAAAAAATGAATAATTTGAATAGCAATAGAAATAAATAATATTTAATACTAAAAGACTAACTGAAAAATTGCAAGCTTTTATGCTTTTTTGCAAAGATAACACAGCGATAATACAGGATTTGTTTAATTAAAAAAAGAATCAGCAATAAAACAGTTAACCCAACTCAAAATAAAACACATAATATCAGTCTTAAAAGACTTTAAATTAATAAAATTAGCATTTACATCAAAAAGTTGCTGAAAATAAATTCGTTTAAGCAACAAATAATGCCTAATAAAACTTTAAAAATCCTTCTCCTCTTTATCAGTAAACAAGCTAACAAAATCTTACCTCCATATAACGAGCTACATCCCCTATTCATCATTAACACGCATATACTCTTAGCCCATAGCATAATATTTAAACTCCCACTACTAATACTAATAGAGTTTTATCTCCAAACAGTTCTCAAAGATTTAATCAATTCCAAAACAACAATAATAATGCAAAAGCAAATACAATTAATAAATTTTCCGATGCTATTAATCTTTTAGGAAATCAACAATAATAGTAGCAACAGTAGTAATAGCAATAATAATTATAATAATAATAATTAATTTAACAGCAAAATACTCCTTAAATTAACAACTAATATTTATAAAGTTCAGGTTAATAACTATATAGCAATAATAACAACTAATAAATGATAATTTACCCATAATCATAATAGCCATAATAATAATAATAATAATAATAATAACAACAGTAGCATTAATAGTAAATGTTTATTCAAAATAACTAGATTTATTCTAACAATACATTAATGAACCAAAATGTTAGGTTCAATCATTTTTAAAATTCTAATACAGCATCAATTCCTTAAAATAAGTTACCAAATTCTAATTTGGGTACTCCCGTAAATTATTTAGGTAGTCCTAATACTAAATAAGCAAATCTAGACTTTTAAACAGCTACTTAAACTTATTTTCCAACAGTTTTAAATTAAAAATAATTTATCTTTGGTAAAAAGTTTTGAGCAAAATTAATTATGATAAAATTTACTAATTTATAATAAAATTGGCAAACTAGCAAACTAACTAATTATATATTTTGAAAAGCAGAAAATCTAAAAATTATGAAAAATAATTAAAATAAATAAATAAACTGTAAAAATAAATAGAAATATTTAATAAGAGTATTTATCTTATTTTTAATAAAAATTTAAATTAAATCATAAATTAATATTTTATTTTTAACAAAAAAAATTGAAAAAATATTTTCAAATTAAAATTAAAACAATAAATTAAAGCATATTATTTATTTATTTTTTTTAAGAAAAACATTTATTAAAAATAAAAAAAATAAATTCTTATAATTAATTTCAAGTTATGTTAAAAGTTGAAGTTAAATAATAGAGAAATATTCAAAAACAAAAATGAGTGAGTTTCACCTAATATAATTAACTTTTGTAATCTCTTATGCAATTAAATGATATGAAAATTAATTTTTAGAAGAACTTACTTAAATTGTTAAAATAAAATACAATTATAGCTAGCTAAATGTAAATGAAAAATATATTTAAATTAATTAAGTTTAATTTTAATAGTATTTGATGTAAACAAATCCAAAATAAGTCTTCTTTTTTTATATCTTTCTTTTGATAATTTAATTAAATCTTTAGATGTTATTATTTAATTATTATTAATTATTAAATTGGCTAAAATGCCTCTCTCATCTCATCTTTTTTGTTTTGCTTCTCTTTCTTTTTCTGCTTTTATTCTGCTTTTTATATCTGGCCAATTAACTTCAACCTTTATATATTAATTTCAATTTTATATAATTTATTTAAAATTTTTTAAGTTATAGCTATACCTTTAATTGCAAGAATTTCTTATCTGTCTCTTCTTTTTTAACTTACTCAAGGTATCTTTTTCTGTAACCTAATACCATATCTACAAACTAATTATTTTATTCTGCTAATTCTAGGGCTCTATTCCATCTAATATATTCGAATTACATTTTACTAAATAATTTCCCAAAAATGAATCTTACTTATATAGTTTAATATTAAGTTTAATTGCTCTATAAATTAACTTGTTTTTAATCAAGAGCTACTCTGCTTCAACTATATTTTAAGTTTTAAATTTAATATTTTAAGATAGAATATTAGAAATCTTACGATTCTTATGGAAGTATACACTTAAGGCAGCTTACTTAGATGCATCAGATGGTAATTCATTAATATACTCTATATATTTAACTTTATCAGCAGCCTCAATTGATGCAAGAGCTATTTCAGCTGTGTTAAGTTCACGTGAGTGAAGAGAAACAGCAGCCAAACAAGCCCACAAAGAGGACTCTTTAACAAAACGGCAAAGCTTAATTGCCTTTTCCCATTTATTCTTTTCACAGAAATCAAACAATATGCTTGGATAAGGAGAAATATTTAGAGTGATCAATCCTCCATCTTTTCTTCTTAAAATTACTTAAGAGCCATTGAAGTTAATCATTTAGCTCATTCTACCTATTTCTGCGGCTTCCTTTTTATTATTCATATATAAATATTTAAAACAAATTTAAGAATAAATATCAATCAATCTACTTTTGTATTCTTACAGAGATCCATCAAATCTTTATCAACATATATAGCATTAGGATAGTACCAAGTTTGAAGCCTTCCATCTGCTATGCAAGATAATATATCATGCTTATCATTCCACAAGAAACTATCTGCCATAGAAGTAAGTTTGATTAAATCTCTCTATTGTTTATTTTTGTGTAAATGTTTAAATTTGACAATTTCAAAATCTGAATTTATTTATTTATTTACTTTATGGACGGGAGATAAATAAAAATCTCTATTAGAATCAATAAAAGCAATCTTTCTATCTGATGCTTAGTCCGAGTTATTCAAATGAATTTCAAGTATTTCAAGAGAGTGGTCTAAAGTGAAGTTGAGTTTATTACCTGAAGCAATATCATAAAAACTAATATTTTTTGGTTTAATACCATCAACAATAGCTAATACATCCTGACTAATAGAGAGTTTCTAAGAGTTAAGCAATTCGAATTTAATGCCTTAGATTTTAGGATTAGAAATCTTTTTACCTTCATAATTGTATACAACAATTCCAGAAACTGCTTGTACCAAGCAGAAGTAACGTGGTGACTAAATAATTAAAGAAACAGCTTCTTTAATATCAAATATTTATGGAGTGTTCCAGTTCTATTTTAAATAATTTTTCATTTAATATGATTATAGATAATTATTTGAATTTATTTATTTACTTAGAATGAGTAAATGTAGCATTGAGAATGTGTATTAACAATTAAATGTGCATAAGCCATAGAGAGATTGATAACTCTTTCAGTGAAGTTAAGTTCTTCAATATTTTCATGAATTAGATTTGTAACTGTTATCTTGTTGTCTTCAATTAAATTAATTTCAAAGTTTTCATAAGTTAAAGATCTTTCAACAACATATCCAAAAAGTACATGTCCCAAACCCTGTAAAAATTAAAATATTTTTATTTTTTAAGACTATTTATATATAAAATAATTTGTTTACTCCACCTGCAGCACAAATAGTGCTGTCAGCAGACCATTTGATTGATTGTAAAGATCCAGAATCAGTACGATCAAAAGAGTATGTCCAACTAATTTAAATTCAAAAGAGTTTTATAAAAACGATTTAAAAATAGATAAAATATAAATTTTGTACCCTGTTTTATCACAAAGTTTGAACATATTATAAGCACCTACAGCAAAGTATAAGCCATTAGGTGCCCATCCAATTGAGGTAATGACGTAATCATATGGAGATGAGCTGAAGAGGCATCTTCCGTAGCTATCCCAAACTTTGTATCTACAGTCTTCACCGGCACTTAGAATTAAATTATTGCAAGCGTTCCAATCTGCTTTCAAAACTACACCATCATGAGCTTTCCATGAAATAGTTTTTTGTCCTGGCTATATTTATTATTTGAATAAAAACTTTATAAAGCAATTATTTTTTTTTTTTAATTTACTTAAAGAGGTTTAACATAAATATTCTTTTCAGAAGAGTAGAGAATAGCATTGCTGTCAGGATTCCAGCATAAACAATAAATTGGCTTATCAATTTGAGCTAAACTATTACTTCTAATATTACCTGTTTTGCTCCAAGTCTTAATTGAACCATCTTCTCCACCAGTAGCAAATTCACTACCATCATGGTTCCATTTTAGAGTAATAAGCTATTTGAATAAAATTAATATATTTATTTAAAATTATTTGCTGAAATATTTTGTTAAAAAATTTAACTGTTAAATTTTTTATATATTTTGCTTATTTAATAATTAATATTTCTATTTAAAGATTTGTTTGCTTCAATATTTATCTATTGATTTATCTCTAAATTTATTTTAAAACTTAAATAATTGCTATCACTAAATTATTATTTTAAATTTAAAAACCAAATTAGCCTTATAAATAAAGTATGGGTTAGTTTTTAGTCTCATTATTATATAAAAAAAGCTTATTTTACAGCAGCATCTTTATGAGCTTGCTTGAATTCTTTTTCTAGCTTGCCTAGTCTTGAAATCAACTTAAAACTTCCATCACTAAATCCAATAGCAACAGTCTCATTAAATCCTTTATTACCAGCTGGCATCCAATCAATAGCGGTTGGGAAACTATCCAATTCAAAGAATTTTTCATTCTATTTTAAAAATATGAAAAATACTTAATTTTGAAACTAATTAGCTAATAATATATTTAAAAATGAGAAACTATAAATAAAAGCTAATTGTCTACCTATAATGTATTACAATCCCATTTGTAAATGACGTTATCATCAGAAATACTATTTTTTGATAAAGAAATAATTTCATTATATTTGTTATATTGTAAATTATATAGATCGCTAATAGTTAATCAAAATATTCAGTAGAAAGATTATTTGATTGATAATAGATAGATAGATTGATTACCTATATAACTCATTGTTAATTGTCCAGGCAATATCATTCACTATTTCTGAATGTTTTTAAATGTCATTCTTCTTAACCTTAAACTTCATTTTATATTTTGTGCTTTAAATTCAATTTTTAATGGTTGGAAATCAGCTTATTTTTCGAATCCTCTTTATTTATTTCTTTGTTTTTTCAAGAAATTTTTGATTATTTAAGTATCAATACTTTATTTTATAATTGAAAATGTTGTATTTTTAATTATCAAATTATTTTTAATGAATAAATAGTATTTTTTCAAAAAATTAAACAAATCAATTAAAATAAATACCTAATTCATAATAAAAAATTAAATTCTCCTCATCTGCCCTTGTATTCTCCTTATTAATTAAATTTTTACTTTTTCGAAAATTTAAATTAAAAACTAATGATTTTGATCTTTGAATATCATTTGCTTACCAAATCTAACAAAATCTAACCATCTCTCTAAGATTTTACTATATCCTATAAAACTATTTATAAAATAATTAAAAAATAAAACTAACTTTTTTTCAAGAATGAAGCAAATTAATTTGAGATTAAAAATTTTCAAAAAATATTTTATATTTCAAACTTTTTTATTAATTAATTAATTCAATTCACTGATTTTATATTTAATTTTTAGAATTATGGAATTATTCACATTTATTTAATGAAAATAACAAAACTTTTACTTTATTTATTTATTTATTTCTTTGTTATTAATTAAATATCTTAATTTATTATTAAAGTTTTTTATATAAATTTTGAATAGATTCACGAAACAAATAATTAATGTCTAAGTCTAAGATATTACTTACTGATAAATCTAACCCTTGGCTAAATGGTTATAGGGATCCCGTGGCAAAAATTAATGCCTTCAATAATAATATGGATTTAATTCCATTAACAAGAGATGGAGAGAACAGATTAATAGTAGGGGATTTTGCAACAAATAAAATTTTAGGATATAAAGGAATAAATGTAGAATTCTAAATTGAAGTAAATGAGTAAATTATTGCAGTAAGCTCTTTTTATCCAGAACAAAGTTAATTTTCAGGTAATAATATAAGCAAACAATTAATTTTATAATCTTTTTTTTATATGTTTATGTCAAGGTATTCCATGCTTGTGTTTTGCTGTTGATGGATATATATTTATTTATCAAAATAACTAACCAAGGTACAAATTCCCTCTCCCTAAAATCGAAATACATCCTAAAGAATTAGAAGTTTGGTAGTAATTTTAAGAAGGATCAAAAGAAGTTTAACTAAAAATGATAGATTAATGGAATAAATTGAGGAATGAACAAAATATAAGTTTATCATCAAAAGCTCTTGATGTTTTAATTTAAACTAAGGCTATTAAGTAATAAGAATTAATTAAGTAATTTTTATCAGGAGGCATTGATATGTTAAATTTAGTTGATACACCTACATGCTTAACAAAAATAAATACTTACCAAGAGGGTGATTCAGCAATATCTTAGTTAGTTATTGGTACTGAGAATAAAAAATTATATATCTTAGACTCTGCTGGTATGTAGATTTAAAAAACAGTAAGCTATTTATTATATATACAGTCATTTAAAGAATTTAGTATAATAATGATGACTATTAAATTGATTTTATCTATTTATTATATTTTAAAGCTCATCAAGAATCAGGATTTATATTTATTTATTTATTGATTATATTTTACTCTTAAAAATTAGTATGAAATAGCTAGTGCTCCTACATCTATTATCTGTACAGGCATATTACAAGGCGATAATAGAATAATAATTACAACAAGAGATAATTAAATATAATTTATTAGAAATGGGTAACATGAGCCAATAATAATCGATCTATTATCTAAACCTGTTCAATCAATACTTGTCAATAATTCAATAGTAGTTGGAACTATGAATGAAACTATTGCTTGTTACAATTATAAGGTAAGCATATTTTTTTTGGTACCATTATTAAAATATTTTTTAGGGTTCAAAACAGTTTAGCTTTAAAGTTAACTCAGGAATAGTGGCTTTGGAAGGCATGTAAGCAGGATCAGCTAAAAATGCATTAGTAAATTTAATTTAAAAGTATATCATAAATAAATGTGTTTTAGGGTTATTTAATGGGATTAGAAAACTAAGAACTGAGAATTTATGAAGGAAAGCAGTTAGTTCATATTTTAAACATAGAGGTAAAACATTTTTTGACAAGAATTTTTATAAATAAAAATTTATTCAATAAAAATATAGTAATCAATTGTAAAATAAATTAGGGTATGATTTAAGGAATGAAGTTCGGTATGTTTGGGAGAGAAGACGGTGTTTTAATTATGATTTTAAAGAATAAAGGAATAGATATTAGAATTCTACAAAGAGGATTCAGTTTTTAAGTATGAAGATTTTTTATTATAGATTTACTTTTTTAGAAATTAATTACTTTTTCTAAAATTAACCTAACTTTGGTTGTCATTATATTTTATTAATTTTTGGATTTGTTTTTAGATTTGTAATCAACGAATTCAAGCAATATATTCAAACAAACATGACTTTGGTTCAATTTATTTCAAAAATAAAAATAATAATTTTAATATAAATTTTTTAAATGTTACTTTAATTAATTTTAATTTTATTTATTTTCTTAAAAAAACTTTAAAAAGTAATTCGTTTTTTACTTTTTTTTAATATTAGAGCTTCATGAGCTAAAATGCTTTGCATAATGACGAAGAGGAACGCCCATTAAAAATAAAAAGAACTAACTTATTTGTGGAATAGACTGAAAGAGAAAGAAATAATCCTGTTCCTATTTATAGATGTCTAGAAAAAGATTTACTGAAATTAAGATTAAAAACAGCCTAATCCTATCTTAAAGTTTTAGAAGAAAACCAAATAGGCGTTAATAGTGGAAATATTAACACTTCATCTAACTTACGTATATAAGCTGATATTTAAGGACTAGGACCTGTTTTTAAGATTTTAATGAAGATTGAAAATTTGGGAAATCAAAGTCTTTAAAATCTTGTAATGACTTACATGTACGATTAAAAATTATACAAAATTGTTAAACCTGTCAACAATATTCCATTTTTATTGCCACATGTAAGCTTCCCAGTTAGCACTGAAATTTTAAGTATAGATTAAAACGGTGCTTCTGATTAAATAAAAGTGATCATCACAGAAAAAAATAAACAAATTCCTTTGATAGGAGCAATAATTCAAATACCATTATCAGAAATAAGGGAATGAATAAGCGATATTTAATTGATTAATTAATTAGTTTAGCTTGCTTGTCATTAGATTTATGTTTTAATTTTAATTAAAATTTTAAAAAATAGTAAATAGATAAATTGTAAAATAAATTATAAAAATGTAATATATATTTATTCATTCAAGATAAGTATTTTATTTCATCAGCATTTGTACTTTATCTAATCAATTTAACAATAAATAAACTATTTAAATTTTCTAAAATATATATAATATAACCTATCTTTGATCTACAATTTTGTTTACAAATAAGCAAAACTCCTGGTTGATATTTAAAAACTCCTCACAGAATTAAGTAATATTTTTAATTTTTAGAGTAAATCAGTGATAAAATGATTTTAATTAAGCAAGAATGCTAAACTTTTAAATATATTTTGGTTTATTATCAATCTTTTATTTTCTTTATCATTGAGGTTATACTTAATTTTAAAATTATACACTTTTTTATTGCACTTTTAAAATAATAACCACTTCTAGTAATCAAAAAATATAAGACGAAGAAAGATCAGGAATTAATTATCCTTACAATTAATTATTAATAAATAGTTTGTTTTATTTATTTTTTTCAATCCTAAATGGCAGCAATTTAAAAAAATAATAAGATCCTAATAATTAAATTAAAGTTCTATATAAAAAAGATTATGTTTAAAAAGTTATTTGATAATAACTCAATCAAGAAATTAAAATTTTTAATTAGCGAAAGTATAATAAACAGAAGATTGAATAAAATATTAAGCATTTTTTAAAGATTTTAAAATTATTTAAAGCAAAAAAAGAATAGAGCTAGAAAATAAAATGTATTCATTATCATATAGCTTATTGCTTCTTATATTTTTTTATACTAACTTTATCTTTGGATAGGAAAAAGTAGATATAAAACCAATACAAATCAATTAAATATATCTCAAAAGTCCGGATTAATTATTTTATTCAAACAACACTATTTACTACCATAGCATAGAGCAAAAGTATTATCCTTCAAGAAATTAATGTTTGTCATCTTATAACAAGTAGTTAAAGCTAATAGAAGAATCAGAAGACTTCGACAAAGATTTAATTTGCACTCCTTAAAACTTTAACTAAACTAATCTTTTAAAAAAATGTCTCATTCATGCAGATAGTACATATACTAGCCTAGAATGCCACAACAAATTATTCTTTATACTAAACAAGGACATGATTGAAGGCATCAAATAAGTTTAAATGCCTACTAATTATACATAAAATGCTACAGAAAAGGTAGTCAATTGATTGATAATTAAATAATAGTTTTATTTCAGCTTTTGTTAATTCAAATGCTTAAATTTAAAAAATTTAGAATGAAAATATCATATTATTTTAAATTTTAGATAATTAATTTAGCATATTTCGTGGATAAAAAATAATTTTTTGTATTATTTAATTATAAGGGCTATTATAAGCTTAGAATATCTGATTATATTTCTTCAACATAGAATATACTGAAAATTTCTTAAAGCGGATATCAGACCTGTTATATTACTCCTACTTTTCTGCAATGTCTACAATAAATGGAAGATGGTATATTTAGACCAAAAGATCCATTATACATTATGGAAGATTAGAATAGCTTGAGCAAGCTCAATAATAATCTTACAAGGAAGTAAAAAAATTTAAAAACTTTCTTTAAAAAAATTTTATTTTTTATAACTAGTTTGTCTGACGAAAACACTACATCTTAAGATATTCAGCCAGAATCTGTCTTAAGGGAAGATAACTCAACTTAACAATCTTAATCTTAAAAGGATAAAAGAAAAATTTTAACATTTGGTTCAATTTCTTATTAAAGTAATAAGTCTATAATTTTAATAGTTCCTACTTAATCGCCTGATGAAGATCTGCATTTCATATCCATACATACTGAGAAATCTTTTTATGCTTTTGAATGCTAGCAATCAGATATTCAATTTTCTACATCTCAGATTAATTTCAATATGAAAACAAATAAAATACTTGATGTATAGTTAGTTTTAAATAAATAAAGAGGCTCAGTAAATGCATTCCTAGTAACAAATAGTGGAATTTGGATATTTGAAATCTAAATTAACTTTTACTAAAAAACTATAATGCATTTTGTTTCTAAAATAGATACAAAAATTGACATTTTTAGCATAAATAGAAACATTATTACTATTTTCAATAGGAAGCAGAGCTAAATAAGTATATATAGACTACTTGAGTTTTCTTAAAAAGTTTAATTTGTAACATCTATAGATGATGCAATTATTTCCACCTCACCAAAAAACTCTACATTATAAGAAACTCAAAATGATTTAAATTCAACTTCAAATTAAATTGATGAATAGCAAAATGATTTTATTCTTCGAGTATTCACTGATTAGAGTGAATCTAAAATAAATAAGTTCAGACCTGCTTAATACTTGATATTCTTAGTTAATAGTAAATTAAAGATACAAACAATAATTTCACTTTCAGAATTTTAAAAAAGTTAAAAATACCTAACTCCATTACATAGCATCATATAGTAAAATGTAGATATTCAAATAAATTTTTAGATAAATTCGGACGATTTCAAAAATTTTACACTTGCTAAAGAAGAGATTGAATATAATAAAGTATCAGAAAATGAAAAAAGTTCAGAATACATTGTTGATTTGTAATATATAAAGGATAGTACTTCAAAAAGCTATATCATTTTCTCGAGTAATCATGCTATTTATTTACTACCTATATGTTTCCCTAACAATTAATTATTTATAGACGAAACAGATGTTATCACATCTTACACTTACAATGGTTGTATTCCTTGTGAATTTTCAACTTATTCAAAAAACATTAATTAACAACAGTGCTTAAAAATAAATAATAATAGCTAAAGAATTTATGATTAATATGCTAAATATAGTACTTTTGAGCTAATAAATATGTAAGATAATTGTATTAGCTAAGAACTTAAAGGTCCTCAATGCTAAACTTGTACAGAATTTCAAAAAAGTTATTTACCTAATGAACAAAATATAAAATTAATAGATTAAACCATGAATTAGTAATTTGGTTAAACAGTGTGCTAATACTAATGCGAAGAAAAAAATTCTAACTAAAATTACATAAAAGGTACCATATAAGAAGAATTCTAAGATAATACATAGAGACGCAAGTTGAAAATAAATTCTCTCAAATAAATTTATGAAGTTGAAATCTCCTAAAATTCTTAAAATTATGAAAATCAAAATAATTTAGAAGAGACTCTAAACTATGCTGCTTAAGCAAATAAAACTTAATAGTCTTTTAACTTATATATCAGAGATTCTCCAAATAATAAAATAAGAAAATTAGATGATGCTAAAGATAAAGCAACAAAAGAAAATCAATTTAACAAAAATAAAGAAAACTAATAAAACAATTAAAATAATGATTAAAATTCTCCAGATAGCTAAAGTGAAAAAGAATTAAAAAATACAGCAACCGAGTGTATTGAGAAATAAAGCGAACTAGAATATAATAACTTCTGCTCAAAATTCAAGGATTGCTATAGTTGCTCCTACCATCCATTCTGTATTTTCAACCCAATAGAAAGAAAGTGCTAAAAACTGAATAATTATAAACAGCCTACGATGACAAATTTTCAGCAATTCATGATTTAAAACTTTTCTGAAAGCAGCAAAACTTTACTAGACTATCAAAAATATGAATATTGCAATGTTATTAAACATCAAAAAGTCTGTCCATTTTCCTAAAATATTAACAAGTATAGAGGAGAGTTTTTATTTTATAAAAATCAAAAGAAAAAAGACAGCAAGTAGCTTGGAGATAACAAAGAAGGAATAGAAATAAAAACCCAAGATGGAGATGGAGCAGAGTATGATTAAGTGGAACAATTTTAAGTTTGCAGCTGGTATGTCAACACAGATAAATCTTATTAGGACTTCGATTATGAAATTAAAATATATTTGGATGAAGGATTCATCTAAGGAAAAGATAGTTTATAAGCAAGTAATAAATTCATTTTTTTAATTATTTTAATTATTCTTAAAAAACTTAAATAGCTGTAGGAATCTGCCATAGTTATGAATCTGAAATTCAAGGTGAAAGAAGTAATTCTGAGCCATGTAAATTAACGAAAATGCCAATGACACTGAACTAATCTACCACAAAATGGATCAAGTTTGGAGGAGGAAAGTTTAGATTTGTTTTATAATTTATGGAAAAAGCCTAGATAGATGTTTCTAAAATATCAATCACATTTATGCCAGTTACTAACCATGACAAGCAACTAATAGTTGTTATTTGCATAATAGTTATAATTAGCATTTTCTTTTTATTGATCATTCTTCTGATCTTCAAAAACAAGGTAGTTCGTTTGTTTATTTATTTTTAGAATGAAATAAAACCTCTATTTTAAATAATAATAGATTCTTTATTGCATTAGAGTAAAGTTTAATACACTTTATTTCCTTGATTGGGAAGATAACACAGAACTCAATAATATTACTATAAAGCAAATAATTAAAAGATTAGAAAAATAAAAGCTTTTAAAGTTGCATAGTAAGAGTTCTTATCATACTGATAATTAGTACCATCATACAGAATGTTCTATTTGTTTAGTTGACTTTAAATAAGCTGATCCTCTCTATGTCCTTGTTTGTTCTCATATTTTCCATTAGCACTGTAAAATTAGTTTATCTTGATATTTATTTATTTATACATGTAATTTTACATATTTTAAATAGGTTTTGAAGAATGGGTAAAAGTACAATTTAACCCAGTGACATGTCCTAACTGTAAAATTTCTCTTAATAATAATGCCTTTACATTGATTGAAATGCAAAAATAAAATAAATTACAAAATAAAAATGCTGCTTCTACAAGTTAAAACTAAAGCTAAAGCTAAAATTCTTCAGCTGTACCTGAGTAAATTTCTATTGAAATGGAAAATAATGGTTTATAAGTAGCAAATAATAATGATTCTGCCGAAGGATAAGAAATAGAACATTTAATTAACGCAAATACAATTTTCATAAGCTGATTGAAATTCCTTACTATAAATTTGCAAAATTAATAAAAAACTAAAAATTTAAAATATAAAAACATTATGATAACTATGAAGTATGTATTAAATATTTTTACTTACAGAATTCTGAGAAGGATATTGAAAATTAAATAAAATTTATGTTAAATACCTATTTTCTTATTTTAGTTTTTGTTAGTTTTAATAACATTTTTCACTAATTTTTGGAAATTATAATTCAAAATAATTAAATTATATAAGAATAGTCATGTTCGATTTTTAAAGTTCAAATATTACTTACAAACATATAAATTAAAATTTAAATTGTGAGCTTATTTTAAATAATTAAATAAAAGCTTTATAGATAGAGAGCACTTTTATTTTGAATTTGTAATAAAATTTTATTGAAAATACCTTTTAAAGTATTTTTAACAAAAGCTTAAAGTATTTGAAAATTTAATTGAAGTCATAATATTTCGGAAATACTAAGAAATAAGAAAATGTAAATTTACAGGTAGATAAATAGATAGATGAATATATTAGATAACTTACTGAAAGTTGTTTTATAATCTGTAAAAATTATTAAATATAAGCAGGTAATTGAGTTTTTATATTTTATTATGACTAACTAACTGATTACTCAAGTAGTTAGCTAGCTATATTCTTAGATATTCATAGATTGATTCTTTTTTTGATATATTTTGCTTTTGGAAGGAAGTATTGATTTATTTATTTATATAATTTAATTTATTCAAATAAGAGTAATTTACAATTATAATTTTTTGATTGTTTGATTGACTGAATGATTTATTTATTTATTTTTCTCACCTGCTAATACATCAAGTTTACATAATACATAATTTATCATTTTATATTTATTTATATTGCTTTATTAAACATTCATTTTTTATTTATTTAATGTTTGTGTTTGCTTGTGAGTGTGCTTAATTTTGTTTTTCTAAAGCTTTGATAACTTTAAACATCTTAAATTAAAAGATTGTTTGTTTTATTTGATTTTACTATAATTTACCAGTATACTTGTAATTTTTTAAATTTTATTGAGAGTTGTTAAAAATGCTTATTAATATATCTGTCTAATTTGTATTTATTAAAAGAAGGTAGTAAGTTTTAAAAATTCGAGGCATTTGCTTTCATTCTTCGGTAATCCATTTAATACGCTTACCATCTTCCCAAATACCTTCTTTCCTTTCGTTTGTGGGCAAAATAATAGCACCTTTTTTTAGAAACGAAATACTTAATCTAAGTAAAAATTGCAAAAACTAATTGAATGAATTTACCTTTTCCATGTTATTTTCCGTTGAGCCACTCGCCTTCGTATTTCTTACCATTTCCCCATTCAAATACACCAAAACCATGCTTTTTATCATCCAAGTATTCTCCTACATACCTCTTTTTATCAACCCATATGGTCTCTCCTCTTTTAAAATTTAAAATGAAAATTAATTTTTTATCATTTAAGATCCACAAAAAAATTAAACTTTTTGAGTGTGGTAAATTATTCTTAATGATTTGTTTTTAATGTAAATAAATTTAATCTAAATATAAAAGACTAATTACTTTCCATTCATTTTATTATTTCTCCATTAACCTTTATATATTTTTCCATCCTACCAATAATATTCTCCGTAACCAGAAATTTCATTATCTAAGAATTCTCCAATATATTTGCTCTTATCTGCAAACAAAAGAGTTCCACTACCATTTTTTTTACCATTTAAGTAGCTTCCTTCATAGCGAGCATTATCTGGCCAAGTTTCTATACCATGTCCATTTTATAAATCATCTTTCCATTCTCCCTCATATTTAGCGCCGCCACTGTGAAGATAAATACCTTTACCATTAGCCATATCATTTTTCCATTCACCTTCATAAATATCACCATCAACATGGACCAATTTACCAAATCCATGGGCCTTATCTTATAGCCATTCTCCATCGTAGTAGCTGCCATCTGGCCAAGTATGCTTTCCTTTGCCATCACGCATACCTTCTTTCCATTCACCTTCATATTTACCTCCATTTTTCATATTAATAACTTCTAATTTGATTCTCTTGTTCTTTCCAATAGTTGAATTAACAAGATCAATTTAAGAATCAGTTGGCTAATTATCCTCATGTAGAGACTTTTTAACAGATCCGCTTGCTTTTTTGTTGTATTAAAAAATAAAATTTTTAGTTGACTTCAGAGGAAAAGAAGAAATAATAGAAAAATAAAATTATTCAAAAATTAATAAGGGGATAAGTAAGTAGAATACAAAAAATAACTATAGCATGATAACTTATTTATAAAAGGAGTAGAAAGAATGAAAGAAAAGTGTCGATCTATCAAAAATGAAAATAATTTATTAAATTCTAGTAGTAATCAATCAATTAGTCAAAAGCAAAATCAAATTTTATTTATTTTTTCTCATTATAATAGCAATGACATATTTTATGGAAAGTAAAAGAGTGTTTAAAAATTAATAAATTTGTGAATAATTGCTTGATTAAAAAAATTAACTAAATTTTCTTCCAATTATTTTTTATTTTTAATTGATTTAGCAAAGAAAATAATATTTATTACATCTCTAAACAACAATCAATCAAACAAGCAAACTTAACTAATAAGGTAAAAACTAAAACTAGTTTTAACCAAAGTAAATAAATGGTTTTAAGAGCAACTAACTCAAATTATTATTTTGAAAAATCAAATTACACTCTAAAATTATTTTATTTTTTGCTGAATTTTTTAAAATTATAAATTAATATTTAAGATTTTTATTTATTACCTGTTTAACCATTTGCATTTATTTAATCTTTTAAAGATCTTTGTGGCTGGTATGGCTAAGAGTCGTATTCATTTTTATTTGACTCACCATTTTAGCTTTTTGCATTATAAACCTTTTAATTAATCTTTTCAGAAGATTGTCCTGCATCCTAAGCGGAAGTTATTCTACTCTAATTTTGATGATGATCTGTTTTACCATTAGGTATTGTTATGTATTCTGTATCTGGCTATCCTTTATTTGGATCGCAAGTACAAGTAGCACAATTTATGTTTCCCATTTAAATATAATCTATCAAACTATAATACTATCTCTCAATCTAATTGGCTGAACTGCTTCTAGTTAATTATCTATTTGATTTTTTACATTAAATATGTTTATATATTTGTTTGATAAATTCATTTTTTTCAAAAATTCAATATATTTTATTTGTTTCTCACATATAACGACAATATTAATCGTTGCTATCTAGGCTAATTTATAATATCAATTTGTTATATTTGCTGTAAGCGTTAATTTGCAACAAAACCTATCCAAGCTAAGCTACCTATTCTTAGTTATAGCTGAGATAGGCTTTCTCGCAATTCGCAGATTTTGTATTTATTTACTAAAATATAAATAATTTTACATGTTTATTCTCTCCTTTATTTAGCTGGTTTTCTTATTCTTTTTGTCTTTTAAGAATTACTAAAGTTTTTATTTTTTTTCTTTTAGAAAGCTTTAATGATTGTTAATTTATAGTTTTTTCTACTTATTAAGTTAATGCAAGGACTTTCTATTTATATTTTCCCCACAACAATTCTTTCTTAATTACTAAATAAATAAATACTGGGTGAAATAGGGAACCTTTTAATAAAATGCATGTCTTTTATATTTATTATTATTATTAAATTTTATAAGGTTTAGTATAATAAAAATTATATTGAATCGATTTCAAATTTTATTTATTTGTTTATGTTTGCCTACTTTCTTGCTTGCTTTTTAGTGTAAAAATTTTAGAATATAATGTATTCTTTTAAATTACTTTTATTCTAATTATTATTCAAACATATTATAACGTACATTTATTTACTTATTTATATATTTATATTTCTTTTTTATTCCCATTCCTTTATTTGTATTGCATTAAGTTTAAATAAGAAACATGCAAACAAAAGCACGAAACAAACTACTTTTCTAAAAATACAATAATGAAGAACGAAGTTTATATTTTAATTTAAGTATAGATATTCTTAATATACAAAAAGAAATTACGAATAAATTTTTATACTTAATTTCACATTATTTCCATAATTATAATGCTATTTTACTAATTTTAAAAATATGGAAAAAGTATCCATCCAATCTTCATTTTAAAATCATTTTTTTTCAAGAAAAAGCTCTCTTTATGATTCTAAAGTTAGAGATATTACAATTATATATTTCATGGCATTTTATTATTTAGATAATATAACTATTTTAAATGTTTGCGCTTTCAAAAGTTTTTATCAAATATTCACTTTTTTGGTATAAACTGTAAACTTTCAAAAGTTATTTAATAGAAATCGTTATTACTTATATTATTTAAGCTTACAGATTTAGGTTTAGATTATGGAGTTAATTCATTTTTATATACTTTTTCTTTAGCAGCATGTTTGCCTTTGCCACATCCTTTAGAACACTTTAGACATTTGCCACAACAATTATAATATTCATCGCCTCCACATGTTCTACAACTATAAAATTTCAAGTTCCCTTAATGATAAATACAAGAGCCCTATAATAATAAATATGTAATAAGTACAGTTATTGTTAAAGCAATGTAAAATGAGAATTTTATCAAAAAAATGTTATCTTAATTCAAAATTAAAATAAACTTATTTATGCATTTTAAAATAAATTATCAAAAATTTGAGATATTTTTATTACTTCTTCATTACATAGAGGAGAAAATCTCTACTTACAGTGGATACAATACTAAATAACTAAAAGTTTTGATTCTTTTTTCAAAACTTCTTCCCTTTTGTTTAAAGTATCAGAAAATAGTTTTTCAAGCTTTGCTTCATTCTATACTTGCTATTCAGATTCTGCTATGAACATTTATAAAGCTGCGTTTAAGTTATCTTTATCTTATTAGCTCAGCTTGCTATCGCCAGATTTTACTAAATTTTAAACAAACTAAAAATCATGGTCCTAAGTAAAATCTTAATTAGAGTTGTTAGATTTTTTTTCTTCCAATTCTATGAGAGGTTCTGACTTAATCGCTTTTTCAAAATTAGCATTTGTATTTATTTTTTAATCATGATGTCCAATTTTATATTTTTTAAAAATCTAATTTATTTTTGCATTTTTCTAATAGTAACCTTTTTAGATTTCTAAAATTTCCTATACTTTTGGTTGATACGTTTCAATTTTATGTTTATACTCATTCATATCTTTATCTAATAAACTTTTATGCTATTCTAAACTAGCTAGCTTTTATTTCCCCTCTTCTATTTTGGGTTTTAATTATTCACCTTCTAATGTCATATTTTCTTTTGGATAATAAATAAATGAATGATTGATTTTATTCCTTCCACAAATTTAATGAAAACTACCTATTGTTAATCTATAATTTTCAACTAATGCATCTACTTCTTCTGTGGAGAGAAAGGTGTCTTCTGAATTAGAATTCTTCCCTTCGTTATCTATTCTATTATGCATTTTAATATCTTTACTACTTATTTTACTTTGCTTTCTTATTTTAATTTTTTAGTATTAGAGTTATTTCGATTTTTCTTTCAAATCACGATATTGCAAATTGAAGTAAAATTAAAAAATTTATCAAAATATTTAAGTACCAACACCAAAAAAATACCGAATTGTTAATTTGTGTTTAAATTAAATCACTACATTTACTCTCTTTAATTTATCAATTATCAATATTTAAAACTCTGAAGTAAAGTAACTTTATCCAAATTATACTCGAAATAAATCATACCTAAAAAAAAAGTATTTTTTGAATTTTAAAAAGTAAAAAAAATATATATTTTTATTTTAATATTTTAAATTTAAAATTATGAAAATTGTGAAATTTTTTATCATCTTTTATTTAATTTTTTATAGGAAATAAGCTATAAATATTATGAATCAATGAATAAATAAATTTATTATTTTCTAAATTTTTATTAATAGATTTTATATATTAGAAACTTTGTAAATCATCGTATTCCTCTAAATAATTTGTACAATAGTAAATAATAATAATAATAATAAATTCATCCAAACTTGTTATTAACATCTTTATTTATTAACTATTTTATATTTTTATAAGCTTATCTATTTTCCTAATAAAAATAATTTATTCGTAATACCTGCAATCCTCTATTTAAAATCAGAAAAAATAATTTTTTTAAAAATAATAACTAAATATTAATTGATTAATTAATTTTTATTTTTATGTATTTTATTTATATTTAGAACAGAGCTTTTAAGATAGATATAAATACAAAATAATAAAAAATGTAAAATAAACGTGCTCCAATCTAATAAACTAAATTTATTAATATTACTTTTGTGTTAAAATTTTAGTTAAATAATTTATAAGTAGTTTTTATAGTATCAGGTCACCTTTATGATGGATGGGTATGTATAACTTGGATTTTTAATATAGTGTGGTTATTAATTTGAAATTATTTTTAGTGTTTAAAAATGTTTAGTAACTATCTATTGCTTTGAAAATAAAGATCAACTAAGGACAGCAATAGGAATAACTATTATTGCTATTATAACTACTAATAATAATAATAGTAAGCATTTTCTTTTTTTGTTTACTTCATTTAAAGCTTTAGCCTTTTCATAAAAAAGAAAATAAAATTCATATTAAAAAACTACTAAATCTACCTACCTCAGTGAGTTCTTTATTAGCTTTAATCACATTTTACTTCGTTGCTTACACATTCTCACCTATTTCGCATATCTAATCACCTTGTTCGACAACCAATTATTTTATGTCTTTCATGATTTAATCTACTTGTATAATATCTTTTTATACCTCTATTTTTTTAAATAAAAAAACTTTTTAATTAATTTTAAATTAATCTTTTGATACACTTTATTCCTTCATTTTTTTCTTTCATCATTTTATATTGAAATTCTAAATCAGGGTGTACTTCTTCTTAAGTTGGTTACTTTTGTCTTTATTGCATTTCTAAGTTTTAGTTAGAGGTTTATTTATTATTTTTTTCAATATCATCAATAGTATTTTCTTCATAGTAACTCTCTAAATTGCCATTAACAGAAGGATTTATGCTTGATTGATTTAATGCTACATTAAAAAATTAATTAATTACTAAATAAGGAAAAGTATTTAAATACAATTTTAAATTGTTTCTCTTCGTTAATCATATTCTAACTTTTTGAAATCTAAAAAGACTTGACACTGTTTCTAAAAGTCTATCGCAGACTATTAAAAAAATTATATTTACTTAAATTATAAAATAAATTTGATTTTAATTTTCTTAAAAGCTGATACCAGAAATAATCAAAATTTATTTTTGATACCTCTATTTTAATTTATCAATTCTTTTATTCTCAATAATAGATAGCTAAATGATCTAGCTATTTAAAGTTTACAAATGAAAAATTGTAATTTGAATTATTTTTACTCCTTCAAAATCCTTTTTGAGCTTTTCTGCTTTTGATCTATCCTGAATAGGAAATTTTATAGTCCTGAATCTATTTTGAATTTATTCTAACAATTCTACTCCCCTTTGCTATGACTGAAAAAAAAAAAAAAAAATTATATTATCACTTCCGTAATAAAATATAAAAATAAAACAAATATAATGATTTACTTTAGTGATTTATGCAGACTGAAGCTTATAATCTATTATTTAATAAATTAAAAATATAAATTTCAGAATCAATTAATCTAATTGTATAGTCTTAATGACCATAAATAGTAATTTTAATCATTAAAAATAAATTCTACTTGTCTAATTAAGATTCTATTTCATGATAGCTATACAATTATTGAATTCAGAAATAAGCTTCTATTACTAGTTAATTTCGCTCATTGCTTCAGTAGATTTGCTTCTTTAAATTGAGTTTAAGATTTTGCTAAAATTTTAAGGATTTATGCTTTAAGTTTTTACAAAATTGTAAATTTCGATTTATAAATAGTTTTACAAAGAAATTTGATCCTTTTAATAATTATGTGAAATAATTTAATATTTTTTTTCTCAAATCAAATAATAGATAGATAGATATATTTGTTAATCTGTCTGTAAGGAACAACCCTTTTTCTAAATTTTATAATTCTCAAAATTGAATGAATCATGAATGGTATTTACTTATGTGTTTTACTACAACTTTTTACTTATTGATTTATATTTGTAGTTCATTTTATAAATACTTAAGGCTAATATTTAATAAGAGTGTTTAATAAATTGAATTTGTAAAAGTGAGATAATCTAGATAAATCAAATCGTATTCACTCATTATTATTCAAAATTTTTTAATTTTATTTAGTTAAAAATATTTTATGTTTTTATAAAAAATAATATTTAAATATATAAAAGTTTAAAAAAATCTACTTGAATCAAAATAAAAGAATATAATTTTCATAAAAAATATATCTTAATTAAAATTAAATCTAAAAAATTAAATGTAAATACTCTTATTAATTTCTTTTATTTGATAAGATAAAAATATAAATTTAATAATTGTAAATTTAATATTTTTTTTATATCGAGTTAATCTTAAAGCAAAATCAATTTCTAAAAAATTTTTCAATAAAATTTCAACGTATTAATTTATTAATCTCTATCATAATAAAATTTAATTTATAAAAAATTAGTTTTATTTGAATAATAATTTTTTAACTAATTTAAAATTTAAATTATTAATTTCTATAAAAGACGATATAAATTCCCTTAAAAACTATTTACTAAAATGCTAACTAAATTTTATGAAATATCATATTTATAATTATTATCTTAAAATATGATTTATTTACTAATAATTTTTAATTTAACTAATTTGTGAGATTTAAAATATTTATTTTCATTTTTTTATTTTAAATCAATTCTTATCTTAATAAAATCAAATACTAATCTTTAAAATCAACCAGAAAAAATATTTTGAGATTAAAGTTTTTTTTAAAGTATTCTAAAAAAAATTCAACTAATTTAATTAGTTGACAATTATTGTTTTATGCTTTTAAAAATTTTTAGCTTATTAATAGAAAATAAAGAATGTATGCTAATGTAAATTGATTCATAAGATATAGAACTTTTGATAATGAAAGATAAGAAATATTGTTAAGTAAATCTTTTTTGAAATTTTTACTTTTAAAAAATCAAACAAAAGCTGATAGATTGATAGATAAATAGATAAATAATCAACTCTAATTAAATAACTTTATTTCTAACAATTATTTTAAAAGATAAAATTTTAAGTAGAATAATAAATATTTAATAAATGGGATAGTCATTAGGAAAAGAAGAAGTAGAGTAAACAAAGGAACTATTTTATAAGTAGTACTCTTTTATTGAAGATAAGCAAGATTTACATTATGGATAGATTAAGGTTTTCGAAAGAAATTATGAATTTGAAAATTCTCAATAGCTAAATTAAGATGAAGGAAAAGATACAAAAAAGTCTGCTAAGCAAAGATTGTATTAGAAGGCACGCACTTTAGCTATAAAAGAAAGTGTTTATTAAGATTTAGATACCATAGACAAGGACTTGGTGAATATGAAATAACTTATTCATATAACAGAAGAAAATCATAAAGAAAAGCGAACTAAGAATTTAATTGATGTATATGAGTACTTTATACAAACAGAAGAAAAATTTTGTAGTTCAGTATAAAGAATTTAATTAGTTATAGAATATTTGCAAAGAGACATATAAATTGAAGTAAAAACAAAGAAACTACAAAACTAAAGGTTTACTCCTCAAGAAATATTTACAATTGCTTTCAGTTGTATTAACTCTCTTTATAATTTGTAGCTTGTTAATTTGGCTCATGGCGATTTAAAGACATCTAATATTTTAGTTTCTGAATATTTTGAAATAAAACTTTTGCACCCACTAGTTAACAAAATAGTACCTAGCTTTGCTACTATGATTTCATAATTAAGTTATGGTGAGCACTTTGACACACAAGGAATTTATCTTTCTCCTTTATTGACAAAAGCTGTTTCCTAAAAAAATTATTAGCCTCAACACAATCCATTCAAATCAGACGTATTTACTTTAGGTAATATTTGAAATATAATAAATAAGTATATAAATGAATATTATCCTTTCAAAGATATCTAATACAAATTATAGTTTAGAGTTCAAATTAAAATAATTTTATTTGTAAATTATCTTAGGAATTATACTAATCGAATGCTGTAATCTAGGAACTGTCGATAATTTATATAATTATGAGGCAGGAGATTTTAATGAAAATTAGCTTAAGATTCATATGAATATAATTAAGAATTAGTATGGTGTAGATGTCCATGATTTAATTGCAAGAATGGTAAAAGTATAGGAATAAGATCGTCCTGATTTTATAGAACTAGCTACTTAGCTTAACATCATAAATTAAATGAATGAAGTATATAACTAATAACAGTAGATGATTGAATAGCAAGCTTCTTTAAAAGTTGCTCCTGCTTCTGATAAATATGGTGTTTCTCTTTTTAAAGCACTAAATACAGAGGCAGAAGAATATAATTATAGTTAGAAACAAAATTCTGCTTCTAATTCTTTTGTATAAAATAACAATTAGAGCATTACAGCAGCAAGTAGTGCTCTTAACCCAAATAATAGTTTGAATTAAAATAATATAACTTCATCATAATAACCTAGCACAAATATTTAATCTCCAAATACTTTTGCATAATAAAGCTCCCAGTCATCTTAAATAGCTGCTACTTAAAGTTTCTCTTTTTAAGGAAATCCAAATAATTTAGAAAACACTAATAATCCAACTCAAGTTAAACCTAATGCATTTTTCCCTTAGTATTCTTAAAATTAGATAGCAGCCTCTACCTATTAGCAAAATTCTAACTAGCAATATTAGAGTTAATAGGTTTCTATTCCACCAGCAAATCCCAAAAACTAGAATTTATCAAGGTAATAGTCGCAAGACGTTCTCTAAAACTAAGTTATAAATTAATCACATAATTTTGGTAATATCAACTAAACCCCAATCAGTGGGGTAACTTTAGTTAAGAATAGCAGTTAAACTACAAACTCTAATTACTAACCAACATTACTTTAATATCATCTTAAGCCCCCATCAGTTCCTTATAATATTTAAAATCAGTAAGGCAATAATGTACCAGCTAATCCAAACTTATAGTAACAATAACAATTTAATAGTAATGGAAGCACAAACTTATCTCAAATAAATTCCGGCTAGGTTTAGTAAAGCTATTCAGGAATAACTCCAATTTAAAGTTCCAATTAATAGTAAAGCTATTAATTTTCTAATAATTTGATAGGAAATTAAATTAATTTATAGAATTAACCATAAAAACTATAACCACCTCCAACAGATTAAAATCTAGGTCAAGCAAACTATTAAGGATTTACAAACTTTAGTTTGCCAGGCTATGACAACAATAATGCAGGTATTAATTTATAATATAATCAGATTTCTCAGCCTTAGACTAATAATGGCTAAAATTATCAAATTCCAGAAGATGTATAAAAAATTATAAATGAATTTAAAGAAAAATAAAAAATAAACGATTAAATATACTCTGAAAAAGAAAAGCTGTCTTAAAGTAATGTTAAGTACTAAGTAATTCCAAAATAAGAGAGTCCTAATAAAATTGAGCAAAATTCCAGCAGAAGTGTAGTAAATATATCACCTTAAAATAATAATAATTTAAGTGGATAGAGCAATACTCAATTCAACATCTATCCTGACTAAAAATAATTTACAAATATCTAAGTTTCATAGCAATAACCTATTTAAAACTTGACTTATTAATAGCAAGAATAAATTGCATAGTAGTTGCTAGGAAATAACATATAAAATCCTGTAATCCAATAGTCTGCATTTTCTAATCCGATGACTACTAGCTAGCTTTAAGCTTAATAGCTGGCCGGATTGACAAATAGCTAAAATTAATTCATTTTAAGAAGCTAAAATCAATAACAGTACATATAATAACCTCCCCAATAATAGCTCATATAAGCTCCAACTTAAATATAAGGAAATTAATTTTATGCAGCTCTTCAATAGAATTAGAGCTTTAATCCTATGAGTGTCTAACCTTAAGGTAAAAATAATTAAAAATTTTATTAAATTAAACCTGTTTTTTATTAAAAGCAACAAATGTTTTCACTTCTACTGATTCATAAAGAAATAAATATGAGCATATTCATGAAACTTATGATGATTCATCACATTATATTGGTGAAAAATTAGGTAAAGTATTTAATAAAAATAGATTATTTTATTAAAGATATAATTTATCTGTAAAGGTGGTTTAAGGCATGGTACTGGAAAATTTTTTTATGCTGATGGAGGGTACTATGAAGGAGAGTGGTGTGAAGGTAGAATGGAAGGTTTGGGTACTTTGTATTATCCTTCTGGAAGCTTGGCTTATCTAGGATAATGGAGAAATGATTAGTTTAATGGAAAAGGCACTGTTTATAATGAATCTCCTGCACAAATTATTGGAGAGTTTGATTATACAAATTTTGATAATCTTGGAGAATATTGGGTTAAATACGAAGGTATTTAATAAAAAAACTTTAATTAATCTTTAATTTTTTTAAAATTAAAAAATTAGGTGATTTTAAAGATGATAACAAGGAAGGGATAGGAACTATATATCTCTCAAACGGAGATAGGTTTACAGGAAATTTCAATAATGACTTTGTTCATGGATAAGGAACCTATTTTAGAGAGAATAAAAATCCTGTTTCTGGTATTTGGGATTGCAACCATTTAATATAATATTTATGATAAAAATTAAATTAATAATTTAATATGTTTATAGTTATAAAATATAAATTTAGTTAAAATTTATCTTTAAAAATTTTTAAGTGTCTTACCTTAAAATATTCATCAATGCTTTTAAATATTATAAGGAAAGATTTTCCTTGCTAGGCATAGCAAAAACAATCATTTTAGAATTTAAAATGTATGTTCAACTTATTTTATTAGATGACTTTTTAAATATTTTAACATTTTAAAACAATTCACTATTCTAATTTTATAAAAATTTTATATAAAAAATAAAATTTTACTTTCTTACTTCTTTACTTTTAGCTTTAATGAAAAAAAATGAAAATCTTTTGATAGTTTCTCAAATAAAACAAATTTTACTTACGTATCCTCAAATCAAAAATCGGATCAATAAAAATAAGTATTGATAATTTTATTTATTAAATTAAAAAGATTTTTACAAAATAGCTTAAAAGTTAAATGGATACTAAGAATTAAAAGCCAACAGAAAGTAAGTTTTAAAAGCCAATTTGTTTAAAGTAGTAAATAATGTTTTTTGCTTTACAATCAAAAACTTAGGCTACATATATCCTCCTGCTCCCTTTACTGAGAGAGGCAAGCATACTTGTTTAGATATTCATGTTAATACAAATAGGATCTTATACACTTCAGCAAATATTGTAGTTATTAGAGACTTAAATGATTTTTCTAAAGTACATGCTGTTTTTTCAGAGCACAAACACAATACAACAGCAGCTAAATTCTCTCCAAATGGAAATTATGTTTGTTCAGGAGGTAAAATACTTCATCTATATTTATTTATCACAATAATGTATGTAATATTTATGAATTATAACATAATTTAGATGAAAAGGGTTTTGTAATTGTTTGGAATGCAGTTGGTAATAACTAGAATATTAAGAAATAATGGGATTTCCCTTAATTGAATGGTGCAATTAGAGATATAGACTGGACTTTTGACAATGAAAGAATAGCAATTGCAGGAGAAGGTTAGAAAGTTATGGCTAAGGTATTCTCAGCCGATACTGGTTCACAATTAGGTGAAATTAGTGGCCAATCAAAGAACTTATTAACTTGCTCTTTTAAACCTTCTCGTCCATTCCGTTTAGCTACAGCAGGAGAAGAATATGCTGTTTAATTTTATGAAGGACCACCTTTTAAATTTAAAAGAGCTCACAAAGTAAAATATTTAAATATAAAATTATATTAAAAATGAGGATACTATAATCTAATAATTTTTTAATATCTTGTTAATTATTAGCCTCATACATCATTTATTAACTGTTTAAGATTTTGCCCTAAATCTGAAAAATTTGTTACTGTATCCTCTGATAAAAAAGTCTTCTTATATGATGCAGTAAATGGTGAGTTAATTAAGGAGATATTTGCCAACGGACACACAGGAGGTGTCATTTATTGCGATTGGCTTGAAGATGGTAACACTTTAGTAACAGCTTCTTCAGATAAACTTGTGAGAATTTGGAGCTTATAAGATGAAAAACTTTTAAAAACACTTAGAGTATCAGAAAATCCTTAGGTTGAGCATTAACAAGTAAAGAATCTATTTAAATTTAGTAAAATTTATATAATAATATACTTAATTTAATAAATAAATAGGTGTCTGTAAAAGTAAGCAAATAAGATGTTTACTCAATTACATTGAACGGACATATAAATGTTTGGAAAAATGCACATTAATTAGAAGATAATTCTCTACCTACAACAATATTAGTTGGTCATTAAAATTCAATAAATCACATTTCTTAACTTAAAACTGGACAACTCATTTCTTCAGATATTAATGGAAGAATTAGTAAATTTTTTTTAGATAGAAAAGAATCTTACATTTTAAAAATTTAGTTATTTGGGATAATAATCACATCCCAAGATTACCTGATGGAAAATAGCATGAAGCAGGAATAGTTAAATTTAAAATTAGTAAGGATTCCACAAAAGTATTTTCTATTTGCAATGCTTAAAAATTAAATATTCTTGACTTGACATCATTTGCATTTGGGTAAATTATTAATTGCATAAATAGTTTGTTGTTTTATGTCCTTTTTTTTTAATTTATAGAGAATAAGTTGCTGTTTAAGGAAAGACAATTGATTTAGTGTCAAGCAAAGTAGATGATAACACTGTCTATCTTTTACAAGAAAATTTGATTAAGATTTACAAAAATAAAGAACAAACTGGTGAAATCAAATTTTAGCACTCCAGTACTGTTTTTGACATTTCAGAGAACGATTCTATGTTTGCAATTGGAAACGATGTATTTTTTTTATATAAAATAAGTAATTTAGTTATAAAACATAATTTAATTAAATACAGAAAGGATAAATCTTATTGATAAATCTTTAAGGAGAAAAAATTGGCATATTAGAAAATTACCCTTAAAAAATAACTGCTATTTCTTTTTCACATGATGGAAAATTGCTTTTATGTGGTGATTCAGGATTTAGAGTCAATGTCTGGGATGTTGAAAAGAAAGAAGTAAATTTTAACAATAAATTATGAATAATTAAATAAATAATAAATACAAATTTTTTTATAAATAATAATAGTCGTTAACTTAAAAACTTGCATATAGCTCATAAATGATTACAAGTGTTAAATTTAGTTCAAATGGTTAATATATTTTGACAAGCTCTCTTGACAATAAGGCAATTATTTATGAATCAGCTACTTTCAACAAAGTCGAATCTTTCGACTTCGTTCATAAAAGGGGAATGAATAATGCCATATTCGGATAAGATGGACAAAGTATTATTACATGTGGTTCAGATAATTTAATTAAGGTCTTTAATACTAAAAGCCAGTTTAATGTTTGAAATATTTGAATATAAAAAAATTAATTATTGAATTATAAATATTTTAAGAAAAGAATATGATAAATATCTCACAAATGCTTATTATATTAATTTTTGATTGGTATAAACTTTATGATTTATATGACGTAAAAAATATACAAGTGTTTGAAAATTTATTTTAACATATGGTCAGCAAAATGTTATTTCTAAATTACAAAATTTGATTGCTTGTTTGTTTGATTGATTGATTAAGTTTTTCTATTAATTTGATATACAAATTCTACATAAAATTACTAAATTGAATAAAACAATTTCATAGAATTAATGGATTCTTAATAATCTGTAGAGTGGAGCTCAATGTCTTTTCAGGACAAGCTGAAATATTTGAAATAACTGACAGATGATCAGCTTTATGATTTAGTATTAACTTCATTAATCACATTTACCATAATAAAATCATGAAATAATAAGTATGTTAATTAAAAAAAATTAGTCTTATGAATACCTAAATAAATTTATAAAAGAAGAACAAGCGTAAGACAATTAGATTAGATATTATTTGGTTAAAGCTTTAAAAAAATACAATATTATGCTACGCATTTATTTTAGTTTGATTTATTAACAGGTATTTCATCTAATATTTTTTATGTTTTTAGAAATTTGCAAATAATGGATCCGAATGACAAAAAGAAATTCGAAGATTTAAGGAAAGACATTGAAGAAACAATTTCAGATATGAATTTTTAATTAGATGAGATGAAAAATTCTTAGCATTCAGATTCGCATCAAATAAATAAAAATTTAGTTATTAGCTATAAAATATTTGAAAAAACCAATACAGTGTCAATTAGAGCCTAAGCTGAGCTAGATATTCCTTGGTTTAATTTAGTAGCACTTGTTTATGAAATAGATTTATTTAAAAATTGGTTTCCTTTCTGTAAACATGCCTACACAGTAACTAAGAACTTCAATTAAATTAAATATAAATTTTGAATTTTCTATTTCTTTTGCTTTTTGAAAGTGTATTTATTTTCTTCTCTAACTTTTACTTTTTTCAGATTAAAAAACCGAAGAAAGGTGAAAAAATTGGATATTTTGAAATGAACCTTCCATTTATTTCAAATAGAGAAGCCTATATTTAAGGAGTAGGAATAGATAGACTAGAAGTGAATGGTACTATTTTAATTAAATGCAAGACTATTCATGATGATCAATAGCTGCTAAAAGAACTAAATATTAACCTTAGTGAATCTAAAAATGTTTAAGTATAGCTTAACTTTTTTGCTTGCGAAATCTTCCCTGTTCCAGGATTCAAGTATTTAATTTCAAATAACTATTACCGTTTGTTTGTCCGTGGATTTTAATTTTTTGATAACCTTTATTTTGTTTCCTTAAATTTTTGGCTATTTTATGAGTGCCTAAAAATTTAATTACTCTGTAATTATGAGTTAAATAATTTTAAGAATGACATCACTAAAATCGCGTATGTATAATACATTAATACTATTCGGTATAATTACAACAAAATAGATATCAAAAAGTAATATAATATATGATATCATTATTAACAGATGCAATAAATATGGTGTCACTTTTTGCATTAATTATATATATATAGAAGATAATGAGAAATAAAATATTTGGTAATTAATGAAATGCAATAATATTTCTCTACATTTTTCAATTACACAATTACTAAGAAACATATTTATTTTCAATATTTCACAAATGAATATTCTTGTCGTTTTTAAATTAATAAAGGAACAAAGTCAAAATTACAACTATTTCAAATGTTGATCCGAAAGTTAAATTCTTGCCTAAATGGATGCTTAATTTTTTTGCAAAAAAGGTGAATTATTTGATAATCTTCAGCTCTGAACAGAATTCTAAAAAAAACTCATATTATTTTAAAAAAAATAGTTTGGTACATACTTAATGGAGAAGATATTTAAGTTAGCATCTGATATTAAAGTAAAATACTATTTTTAAACGAAATCATTTAAATACTTTTCACACAATAAATAAAAATTGATAATTGCATGATAAAGTAAAGATATGATTTATTGCTCACCTATTCATATCAATAAATTTTTATTTTTGATTAACTCCCCAATCTAAAAATATTAATATCAAATAGTTTACTGATTTTTAAATATTAATATGTGATCACTTGAATAGACTAGACTTATCTTTTTGCTCCAATTATCTAATTTTTTTTTCTATTTTTATATTTATCTAAATGAAAATTTATTCATGCATGATTATAACTTACTTATATTTGCAATATGTTCTTTGAAATTATTATTGATCATCACTTACTCCACTCTAAATCAAAAAAGAAAAAAATAACATAAAATTGATTTTTTTTATTTAAAAATTTTTAATAAATAGGGCACAGAGTGGGAAAAAGCTATAAATGCTCCAGAGAATTAAGAATTTTACTAATGGGTATCTTAAAGAGTCTAACTGCATGAAGAAAAAACTCTTTAAAACAATTAACAAACCAAAAATTAATAAAAATGATAAATAGTTGTTATATATGTATTATATACCTATATTTTTAAATATTAAATAATAATTACAACATACTTAGTATTTCAGTTTTTATTTTTAATTTTAATATAGAATAAAACAACTAACATTCTTATCTGCTTTAAAGGATACAAATCTTTAATTAAACACCCAATAAAATAAATTATCTTCTAGAATAATATAGAGCATTAGCTGTTTAGGCTCAAACAATTTTCATAAGCTAAAAATGCAATTGTATTAAATGGTATAATACTTTTTAATTCATGATTTTTTTAAAAAATATTTGGATAAAACATAAAAAATTATTAAAAAACTGCTAAAAATAGACAAACTTCCTTTATCTGAAAAAAAGATATTTGTAGAAAAATAAAAACTTACGTTTTTTTACTTCATTTATATCCTAAAATGTAATTTATTTGATAATCTTTCACTTAAACACAAGATTATCGTAAAAATAAATGATATCCTTGCTGTAACTAAAAACATTGTCAATTTATACAAAATTTTAGTTTTATACATTTAAATGCTATTTTAGTAATATTCTGATCTGCTTTCAATAACTAATTTCTATTGATTCAATAAAATTTGATTAATATATTATAAAATAGTACGTAAAATATTTCGAAAAAAGAAATATGCTTTGAGGTGGGTTCTATTTTAGATTTTTTGCAGTTCTGTATATTTTGCCTTAAAATATTATTCATATATCTAATTTATTTAGGATCTTAAAATAAGATTCATATATCCAATTCATTTACTATCTTTCCTATTGTTATATGTAATATGCTGTTCATTTTTTTAAATAATATGAATTAATTTATTGTTGACGTCATTGTAATTTATTCAATCTAATCTAAATTAAAAACGGTATTTTTAAATTATTGTTCAAATATTTAAAACCAATCCCAAATATCACAAATTTTATAATTATTTAATCAAAATTAATTTAAAATAATTTGTGAAGGTAAACCTAAAACAAAAATGGCTCAATCTTAATTCACTAATCTTAGAAACTTTAACTATTATGACTTCCTAAGTCACTTAGATGATCACACCATTGCAGAATACATTTGGATTGATGGTACTGGTAAGAACTTACGTTCTAAGACAAAGGTATATGAAAGAAAACTCACTAAATTAGAGGAATTCGAATGGTGGACCTATGATGGCTCTTCTTGTAACTAGGCTACTACTGGAGATTCAGAAATTTGGTTAAAGCCCGTCTTTTTCTGTGTTGACCCTTTCAGAAAGGGTGTGACTGCTTATCTTGTCCTTTGTGAAACCTACCTCTCTGATAAATAAAATCCTGCTAAAGGTAACTTTAGATACATTGCTGAGAAGGTTATGAATGAAGCAAAGCATGAAGACCCTTGGTTCGGAATTGAATAGGAGTATTTCTTATTTTCTAGAACTGGTACTACTCATGCTTGGCCTTTAGGTTGGCCTGATGGTGGTTATCCTTTCCCTTAAGGAAGATATTACTGCTCTGTTGGTGACTTCAACTGCTTTGGCCGTGCCATTACTGAAGCCCATATCAGATGTTGCCTTGCTGCTGGTATTAAAATAGCTGGTATCAATGCTGAAGTTGCCCCAAGTTAGTGGGAATACTAAATTGGTATTACAAAGGGAATACAATGTGGTGATCACATGTGGATGTCAAGATACATTTTGCTCAGACTTGGTGAAGAAATGGGTGCTCATGTTGTATTTGAACCTAAGCCTATCAAGGGAGACTGGGTAAATAAATAAATTCTACTTATTGTTTTTATTAAAATTAAAAAAATTTCATTATTTTAATTATTTTTTACTAATTTTAGAACGGTTCCGGAGCTCACACAAATTATTCTACTAATTCTACTAGAGCTGAAGGTGGTCTTGACTTTATTTTATAAAATCATTTACCAAAGTTAAGAGAAAAGCATCTTGAACACATAACAGTTTATGGTGAAGGTAACAAGCATCGTTTGACTGGATCATATGAAACTAGTTCAATTCATACTTTTAGTTATGGTTTAGGAAGTAGAAGTTGCTCTGTTAGAATTCCAGTTTATACTGCAGATCTTAAAAGAGGTTATTATGAAGATAGAAGACCTGCTTCCAACATAGATCCTTATTTAGTTAGCGCTATTTTAGTTGATACTACAGTATTAGATTCAAGGTATTGTGATACTATAGTAGCAGCATACAAAAAGTTTAGAAAAGAATAAGGAGGTGAAGAAGAATCATCTTGTTGATTGATTAATTGATTGGGTTGGTTGCTTTGACATAGTTAAAAAAATTTCAAAATAATAAAAAGTATAAAAAAAGATTAAATATTAAAATAATTAATTAGTCGTATCTTTTTAATATAAAACAAGCAGCTGTATTTTTCTTATATTTTTTAATTAATTTCCAACAAACCATTCAATTTTTTTTATTACTTTAATTAATTATTTTAAAAAAGTATTGATTTAATGATCAAAACCCCAACCATAAAAAAAGATAAATTAAAATTCTACTCCTACTCGTCTTATGGGATATTTAAGATTATCAAATATTTCAAATGAAAAATTTTATTTAAACGAAGAAGTAAGTTTGAATGTTTGATTTCTGAAATAATTTTCTTAAATAATTTAACATATTTTCATTTATTAATAGTCCGAAAAATTTTCAATACTACTGCAGATACTTTGGATCAAATTTTTTCAGTAGAACCACTTATAAGTTGTTTTCTCATTAATTTTAATCAAGTAAAAAAATAAAGTAATAGGTGTTTTATAACTGAATCAATAAATTGAGATTATAATGGGTTAATTGATGTAAAAATGTGTCCATTTATTGTAAAATTCTCAATTTTTTTTTTAATATGAAATTAGACACCTTTTGTTTTTAGCTCAATTATATTACCTTGCTTTTTTCATTTTTTTTAGCCTGAGTGTTGTGTTCTATTTGATAAAATAGTTGCGTCACATTTATTTTGTTAAATATGAAAAAAATGATGTATTTAAATTTATAAAAATAGATCAGCTAAATTATTGATCGGATATTAACAGTATGAATTAATAAACTTATTTCTAGAGACAGGAATACACTTTTCTTTCATAAAAAAAGTAATTATTCATAATGGATGCTGAGTTATCAAATATTATCTTAATTAGGAACTATCGCAAATAATTTTAATGCTATATTTTGATTAGGTAAAATCTTTTATTCGTTTTCCCTTGTTAGGTAAAGTAAATTTGGATCTTTCTTCACCTTTTAAAGTGAGCTACAAAATAAAATATTTATAACCTAAATTTCTCCAATTAGATCAAAGAGTACAATTTTATGTATGACCTCATACTTTCCTATGAAGTAAGTAAATTGGTATATAAAAAATAAATTTACCTAATTTGTTTAAGATATAAAGCTTGCAGCAAACCATTTTTGATAATAGATATCGAAGAGAAAAAGTATACAAGATTTTTATTAGAAAAGTCATTAAATTTTAATGAATTAAAATTTAAATTTGATATTTTATTAGGACAGTGATACAACTATAAAGTTTAATAGCTAATAATTATAACATTAGGATATTTTATAATTAGATCATTAATCAGTAAATACTAAATAAATTTGTGTATAATGATCTAATAATCTTGCACATTATCAAAATTAATTTTGAGAAATTTAAACTAGACACGCTTTTAGCTATTAATAGAAAAGGATGCATTTTTATCCAAATTATAAAAAAAACTAGCAAATATGTTTAAGTCAGCAAGAAGAAGTCCCTGCTTTAAGCTTTAATATAATAATTAATGTAAAACATCAAGCATAAAATAAATTTAATATATTATAATAGCAAATTATTTATTTATTAAATTAAATAATTATTTAGGAATAAAGTTTAAAAAGTATCAAAATCAAGGAATTTAGACATTAATTTAAGAATATTTAATAGTGTAAGATTTAAAAAAAGGAAAAAGCAATAAAAAGGATTTCAAAAATAAGAATAAGCAAGGGCGTCTAATAAGGATATAGGTGAGATTTGAATTAAAAGTAAATGAAATATTTATTAGAAAAAAGTTAGTTAGTTATTTCTTTTGTTTATTTATTGACTTACGTATTTATTTGATGAAATGAAAAATGGTAGTATTTGATTCGCAATTATTCGTAATGATAAAAAATATTTGACGATATAATAACGGTATACAAAGCGATTTAGATTGAATGACTTTTTGATGAATCAAAATGATTTGCTCTATTTTTTATTTAATGTATTTAAATATCTCCTAATATATATCTTGCTAGGTAGGTATTTAATTAATAAGTAATATTTATTAAAGATAAATAAATTAATTAAAAATCAAATAGCTAAAGCATTAAACAAAAAAACAAATATAGATAAAATAGATCCAATAAATAAGATGTCTCACAACGCCTAATTCACTAATTTGAGAAACTTCAACTATTATGACTTCTAAACAGACATGAGCAACCATACATTGGCTGAATACATTTGGATTGATGGTACAGGTAAGAATCTTCGTTCCAAAACTAGAGTTTATGAAAAGAAAATTGAAAAACTTGAAGACCTCGACTGGTGGACCTATGATGGTTCTTCTTGCAGCCAAGCTGTTACTGGAGATTCCGAAATTTGGTTAAAGCCTGTCTATATGTGCAAAGATCCCTTCAGAAAGAATATTCATGGTTTACTCGTTCTCTGTGAAACATACTAAGGAGATAGAACTACTCCTGCTAGAGGTAACTTTAGATACCTAACAAAGAAAATTATGGATGAAGCCTAACACGAAGAACCCTGGTTCGGTATTGAATAAGAATACTTCTTATTCTCAAGAACAGGAACTACTCATGCTTGGCCCTTGGGATGGCCTGAAGGTGGTTTCCCTAACCCTTAAGGAAGATACTACTGCTCTGTTGGTGATTTCAACTGTTTTGGTCGTGCAATTACTGAGGCTCATATCAGATGCTGTCTTGCTGCTGGAATCAAAATTGCTGGTATAAATGCTGAAGTTGCACCTGGTTAATGGGAATACTAAATTGGTATTACTAAAGGTATTGAATGTGGTGATTAAATGTGGATGTCTAGATATATTTTACTTAGACTTGGTGAAGAAATGGGTGCTCATGTTGTATTCGATCCTAAGCCTATCAAGGGAGATTGGGTAAATATTTTAATTTTTTTATAAAAAAGAGAAATCCTAATTGTGTTAAAAAAGCATAATCATAAGCATAAAATTTGATAAGCTAATCTAATTCATTTTTAAAGCAAATAATTCAAAAGTAGTTATTCCTTAGTTTAAAATATTTTTATAAATAAATAAATAGAATGGTTCAGGAGCCCACACCAATTATTCAACAAATAAGACAAGAGCAGATGGTGGTCTTGATTATATTTTGAATAATCATCTTCCTAAGCTTAAAGAAAAGCACTTAGAACATATTTTGGTTTATGGTGAAGGTAACAAGGCTCGTTTAACAGGTTCATACGAAACTAGCTCTATCCATACTTTCAGCTATGGAGAAGGTAGCAGAGCATCTTCTGTAAGAATCCCTGTCTACACTACAGGCTTAAAGAAAGGTTATTATGAAGATAGAAGACCTGCCTCTAACATAGATCCTTACTTAGTTAGTGGTATTTTGGTAGACACTACTGTCCTTGACTCCAAGTATTGCGATGAAATCGTTGCTGCATATAAAAAATTCAGAAGATCCTTAGTTGATGTTACTGAGTAAGACTAAGAATGATTTAATAATTGATATATATACAAATTATATAATAAATAAATAATTTAAGTTAATAAAATATACCACACACTAAATAATAAATAATTTTTTATATACTTATTTTATCTATACTTTGCATTATAAAATTTGCCATCTATCTTCAAATAATCCTCTAATAAAAATTATTTTTCATTTTCAAAGAATTTCATGAAATTATTGATTAAATTAATATGAAGTTAAGTAAACTTGTTAATGTTAAAACTAAATATCTTATATAAAGGTTTTTACTTTAGATTAAATAAATAATACATAGCAAGCTTTTATTTTTAATTAAATAATGACAAATTATTGTTTATTAAAACTGTAACAAGATATTTTAAATAAAAACTTTATCAAAAAAGTTTAATTACACTAATTTTAAGCTAATTAAATTATTTCTTCCCTAGTACTATTTTTTAGTTTATCTTATCTTTCATGAGTAACTTTAAATATTACTGTCTTAAAATTTTGAAATATATCTTCTCAATGATATTTAGATTAAACAAATGGGGGTTGGGGTTGGGGT